TACGACTACTTCTACTTCAACCGTTACCGTCGCCATTGCCGTTTCGTCATCTTCTCCCGCGGCGCCAACCTCGATAGCCTCGTCGTCTGCTCTTTCCTCCTTCACTGCGGAGACTTCGACTTCTTGTGTCACCCTCCCACTGCGGTCGCTTCCTCCTTCTAGACCCGTCGGATTTTTCGCATCCCCGAATCCCCGTCTATCGCCGTTGAATCAGCTCGCCGGGAATCCTTGGTGTTTATCGGCCTCCATCAGCGTCAATTGTGCACCCATCCGATCGCTTTCTTCCCTCGTCTCCTCGATCCGACCGCGCTCGGGTTCTCGCCATTTATTGTCTTCGTTCTCATACGCAATGGATCTGAACGGGGATGCCGGCGCCAAGCGCAAACGCAGCGCCATCGCCGCCGCCGTTGAACGTCCATCCAAACACCTCAAGCCCGAAAACTCGACTCTAACACCCGGCGACACGACCCCGGCCAACGGCACCGTCTACGACGTCGAGGACGAGGAGGATGCCGGTCGCGTCTTGGCCATTGGTCCCGCCCAAGCCGATTCGCCAGAATGGCAGGCGACCATCGAGGAGGTTGTCAAGAGTGTGGTGTCGATTCACTTCTGTCAGACGTGTTCCTTCGATACGGAACTTTCAATGAGTAGCCAGGCCACAGGCTTTGTCGTCGATGCCGAAAGGGGGTATATCCTAACCAATCGACATGTTGTCTGTCCGGGGCCTTTCTGGGGGTATTGTATCTTTGATAATCATGAGGAAGTGAGTGCTATCAACAATGGGATCGGTTTTTCTAGTCGGCTCCCATGCTAATTGGCTTTTTGATTAGTGCGACGTTCGTCCCGTCTATCGGGATCCTGTACACGACTTTGGTCTACTAAAATTCGACCCCAAGGCGATCAAATACATGAAATTGACGGAGCTGAAACTGCAACCGGACGGCGCTCGCGTGGGTTCGGAGATCCGCGTCGTAGGTAACGATGCCGGTGAAAAACTGAGTATCTTGTCCGGTGTCATCAGTCGACTAGACCGCAACGCTCCCGAGTACGGCGACGGCTACAGTGACTTTAATACCAACTACATTCAGGCGGCGGCGGCGGCCAGCGGTGGCAGTTCTGGCAGTCCAGTCGTCAACATCGACGGCAACGCGATCGCCCTGCAGGCTGGTGGTCGTGCAGACGGGGCGGCGACCGACTACTTCCTGCCGTTGGATCGACCGCGGCGCGCGCTGGAATGCATTCGCCGCGGCGAGCCCGTCACACGAGGCACCATCCAGACCCAATGGATCCTGAAGCCGTTCGACGAGTGTCGCCGCCTAGGCCTAATCTCGGAGTGGGAGGCAGCCGTGCGCAAGACGGCGCCGACGGAGACGAGCATGCTAGTGGCAGAAATCATCCTGCCCGAGGGCCCCGCAGATGGCAAGCTCGAGGAGGGCGACGTGCTCCTGCAGGTGAACGGGGAGCTACTGACCCAGTTCATCCGGTTGGACGACATTCTAGACTCCAGCGTCGGGCAGACGGTGCGTCTGCTGGTGCAGAGAGGCGGTCAGAATGTGGAGCTCGAGTGCCAGGTTGGCGACCTGCATGCGATCACGCCCGACCGCTTCGTCACGGTGGCCGGCGGCACGTTCCACGACCTGTCGTACCAGCAAGCGCGACTCTACGCCATCGCCACGCGCGGTGTATACGTCTGCGAGGCCGCCGGCTCTTTCAAGCTAGAGAACACGCTGTCGGGATGGCTCATCGACTCGGTCGACAAGCGGCGCACCCGCAACCTGGACGAGTTCGTTGAGGTCATGAAGACCATCCCCGACCGTTCGCGCGTGGTCATCTCCTACCGCCACATCCGGGATTTGCACACCCGTGGCACCAGCATCGTGTACATCGACCGCCACTGGCATCCAAAGATGCGGCTGGCGGTGCGTAACGACGAGTCCGGTCTCTGGGACTTCTCCGACCTAGCCGGGCCCCTACCCGCCCTACCGCCCGTGCCGCGCAAGGCCGACTTCATCCAGCTCGACGGTGTCAGCCAACCGGCCGCCGCCGAAATTGTGCGCAGCTTTGTGCGCGTGTCGTGCACGATGCCTCTGAAGCTGGACGGGTACCCGCAGGCCAAGAAGACGGGATTCGGCCTGGTCATCGACGCCGACAAAGGTCTGGTGGTGGTGTCGCGCGCCATCGTGCCCTACGACCTCTGCGACATCAACATCACCGTGGCAGACTCGATCATCGTCAACGCCAAGGTGGTCTTCCTTCACCCGCTGCAGAACTACTCCATCGTGCAGTATGACCCGAGCCTGGTGCAGGCGCCCATCCAGAGTGCCAAACTGAGCACGGAGTACATCAAGCAGGGGCAGGACACCATCTTCGTCGGGTTCAACCAGAACTTCCGCATAGTCGTCGCCAAGACGGCCGTGACTGATATCACAACCGTCTCGATCCCGGCCAACGCCTCGGCCCCGCGGTACCGCGCCATCAACCTGGACGCCGTCACGGTCGACACGGGTCTCAGCGGACAATGCTCCAACGGCGTCCTGATCGGCGAGGACGGCGTCGTGCAGGCGCTGTGGCTGAACTACCTCGGCGAACGCACGCCCTCCTCGCACAAGGATGTGGAATATCATCTTGGGTTTGCGACGCCATCGTTGCTGCCGGTGACCTCGAAGATCCAGCAGGGCGAAATGCCGAAGCTGCGGATCCTGAACATGGAGAGCTACGTGGTACAGATGAGCCAGGCACGCATCATGGGCGTGTCGGAGGAATGGATCCAGAAGGTGACCCAGGCTAACCCGTCGCGGCATCAGCTCTTCATGGTGCGCAAGGTCGACTGTCCGCCAGCCGGGTTCTCTTCTGAGTCTACGGACTCCTTCCAGGAGGGTGATGTTATTCTCACCTTGGATGGCCAGCTGATTACCCGCGTGTCGGAATTGGATATCATGTATGACAAGGAGGTCCTGGAGGCTCTGATCGTGCGGAACGGGCAGGAGATGCGCATCCACGTGCCGACAGTGCCCACCGAGGATTTGGAGACGGATCGAGCGGTGGTATTCTGCGGTGCCGTGCTGCAGAAGCCTCATCACGCCGTGCGCCAACAGATTTCGAAACTTCACAGCGAGGTTTACGTGAGCGCCCGGGTATGTATCAACAATCCCCATCTCTTTGAGATCATTTACTAATGAAGCCCAGAGTCGCGGATCACCGTCCTACCAATATGGTCTCTCCCCGACCAACTTCATCACCGCCGTCAACGGCGTCCCCACGCCCAACCTCGACCGCTTCGTCAAGGAGGTCCACAAGATCCCGGATAACACCTACTTCCGTTTGCGCGCCGTCACCTTTGACAATGTGCCGTGGGTGGTGACTATGAAGAAGAACGATCATTATGTAAGTCCTCCCTGGCTTTTCTGCCCTTTTTTCCGTTCCTTTATCTAACTGTACTGCCAGTTCCCCATGTCCCAATACATCAAAGATGCCTCGCACCCCGCGGGCTGGCGCACCGTTTCGCATGCCCAAGACAAATATAAAGATGGCATCGATCCCGACGTGGCGAATCTGAACCCGGACGCCATGGACGAGGGATTCGATGAGGTTAGTGATATAGAACCCGATACGGAGTAGGTTGGTGGTGAAGGACTGTATGATAGAAGATTGTTTTCGACTGGAGGGTGAGTAGGATGGTGGTCAAGGTGGATAACCGGATCTCCCTCTCTCACTACGTCAAGTAGCAGGGGATTAGAGAAGTGGATTGTACATACATAATACCTGCATTACCTACACATGCATACTCCATACGCCATACGCTATATGCCATATACGCATACAAAATGAAGATTCGAACAAAGGTGAAAAACCAGAGAAAATGGATGGATAGGACAGGAATAGGGATATGGGACATGGAAAGGGATCAAAAAAATTTCTACAATTTTAAATTTACTCGAAGAGCTACTCACTTACTTCCTGGTTATTTATTGTTTGAATTTATCTTGACTTGACTTGTTGTGTATTCGATACCTCCCTAAGGAGTATAATTAAGATACCTGGATATGTAAAGCGATAACCTTTCGAATGTTCTGCTAACTTAAAGCACTTCCAACTTTATATTTTTTAAAGAAGAACCGGAATACATCAACTAGCATCATTGGTCTAGTGGTAGAATTCGTCGTTGCCATCGACGAGGCCCGTGTTCGATTCACGGATGATGCATTTCTTTTTTTTGATATCTTGTATCGGCCATTAATTTCACTTTACTTCGTCTCCTTCTTCCTCCATATTCATTCTTCTTCTTCTTTATCTCGGATACCTCCTTTGTTTAATTGCATCTTTACTTAATCTTCATATCTTTCTTGTTTAGGAGTGCTTGGTTGAATTGGGTTCGGATGAATTTATATGTATCCGAACCGAACACCATACATTGCTTGGGGAAGGTGTAGTCGTAGACAGAACAGGCATTTTTCGTGAAATATATGTTTACAATTGTTATAGATAACTAGACCTACTGGGTTATAAATCATTTGTTGGTGTTGGCTAATTCCTAATCCAACTAGATAATTAACGAGCTACCTTCTTCGTCTGGAGTGAGAGTGGATATAGAAGGGGAGAGAGATCTGTCTGTCTTGCATTAAGTACTGTAGCCCCATCCTACCGTTCTAGACCGACACCATCCTCAGATTAATCAACTGTTCCAGGTAAACGATATCAAAAAGAGCCGTCCATTGATCATTGATAAGAAATCCTAAGCTCTATGGGAATAGAAATCAAAACTTGAACTAGAAGAAACAAAATCGATAAACTTCTCGAAGCACCAGAACCCCCTTCCTGATGGATACATCATGACTAAAATGAACAACGCAAAATAGAAACACCACCATGCCATAAGGTTTAAACCAGAAGATAGAAATGAGAAAAAAAGATGAAGACCCGGTGAGTGATGTAAAAAGAAACATCCAGCCATTCAATTGTGAACGCTCAGAGTGAGAAAAAAGAGGAGAAAAGAAGAAAGGTTAATTTCCAAAAGTCCACCCCCCATTCAATCGCAAGCGTTGTCGTTCCGCAAGATCACGTCGAATTTCTTCCTGGGTCAATGCGTCGGTACCCGCCCAGTTCGCACTGCTGGTTCGCTCGCGGAATTTCTTGATCTTCTTGTCGGCCTTGAAAGTATCCTCCAGCGAGAATGGCGCGATGGGCCCAAAGATAGAGTCCACTTCCATTCCCTCCTGCTGTCGAAGAAGACTCTCGAGCTCCTTGGGCTGGGCCCATTTCGGCACGGGAAGCATCTCGGCTTCCGAGTCCTCGTCTTCACTGTCGGTGGCGATCTCGGGGAGGTGAATGTTCTCGCCGCTGGGGTACTTGGGCGACGGCTTGGCTGGTGGCTTCTGAGACGAGCTGGCACCAGGCGTTTTGTGCGGCGCAGGCTGTTGAGCTTGCTGAGCATTGGACGGTTCCGCGAAGGGGATCTTGCCGGTCGTGTACTTCGCCATGTCCATGGGGTGGGCAGGTCTTTGAGGCTGAGCAGTCTTAAAGATTGACGATCCAGTCTGGTGCGACAGGGAGGGCTTCCCGTGGCCGAAGATAGAAGGTTTCGTAGGATCCTAGCAACGTCATTAGCACAGGTTCATCGAACGCTGTCTGATATCAGAGGGGACTCACCTTGCGAATGTTTGATTCCTTCCGGATATTCGACTGCCGGATAGGCGGTGCCATCGTGGGTCGCATAACCGGACTGTGTTCGTCCTCGGTTCTTCTCCGCTTGGTCTCACCTGAAGGCTGGATGGTACTGGTCTTGGTTGCAGCCGGGCGGTGGCTCGCTTCCTCGTCCAACCCTCGCTTGGGCGGTTTGGCCGGGTTAGGCTGAGGAGGGTTGATCGAACGACCAAAAGGCTGGATAGACCCAAGTCGGGACGCAGGCCGAGCAGGCTGGGCGGATTGTGATGCTGTCGACGGTGCCTGAAAAAGATTTGGTTAACATTAGATCCTTCATTCACCGAGAAGAATCAAACTTACCATCTCATTAGGCTGCTGGCTTCCCTGTCTCTCCAACCGCCGAGCATTTTCCAACCTCCGCTTTTCAATTGCCTGCATCTGAGCGGCCTTCTTGGGGTCCTCGGCAGCAAGCCGTTCCCGTCGCTCATTATCAGCCCGGCTTCGCATCTCCTGACGACGTGCCTCTTCCTGTTGTTGGGCAGCCCGTCGGCGCTCCAACTCCCGTCTCTGTTCTTCCTTGCGTCGTGCCTCGCGCTCCTCCTGTTCTTTCTTCCTTTCACTTGCGAGCTGGGCTTTCCGCTGCGATTGAGTCGACGCCGTGCTCTTGAAACTGCTGTTTGAGGATGCAGTGTGCAAGGACTGGTTGCTAGCTTTTTTCTTGAGACCAGGTTGTTTCGTAGCCGAAGCTGGCGTGGGCGCCGGGAGGCTTGATTCTGTCACGCTGGACGCCATAGGTATATGCCGAGAGAGGGCGCTACCGACTCGAATAGACACGGGCTGAGGTTTAGGCTTCTGCAATGTGTCCCGGTTGGGCTTGGCAGGTCGGCCAGGGCCCTGCTTAGGTGCCTGAGAGGCAGTTTCTGGCTCTCTTGACGTATGCCTTTGCATCTGAGGAATTCTCTGAGGGGTCGGGGCCGTGATGGACGTCGAGTTTTGAGCAGCACGCGCCTCTTGCTCTGCAGCAGCGGCAGCAGCAGCAGCCTTCTCCTGGGCGGCCTTCTCTGCTTTCTCTTGAGCAGCCTTTAGTTGTGCCGCCCGCTGTTTCTCTTGCTTTTCCTGCCTAGCCCTCTCGGCTCGCTCTTCCTCTTCCTCTTCTTCACGCTTGCGGTCTTCCTGCTCCTTCTGCTTGCGCTTCTGCTCCGTCGAGCTACGAGTCCTGCGGCCCTCGGGTCGTGGGCTAGAAGGCTGAGCAGGCTGCTGCTGCTTCTCATTGGCAGCAACTGTGTTGGCGCGCTCACGGGGCTGAGGAACAACACTGGGAGGTTCACCGGGAGAAGAAGCCTCCACCTTGGCAGCTGCAGACACTCCCCCGGCATTTGAGAACAGACCCTTGGCAGATCTAACGATGGATTGCAATCGAAATTTGGACGCGCTGATCGGACCATCCTGTTGACGCGAGGGAGAACCGACTGGTGTAGTAGACCTGAGAGAGTCGTTGTAGGAAAAGGATCCGTTTCTCTTGTGGAAAGAACGGTGCGGGGATGTGTAAACTGGCGTGGAGGATTTCTCACGGGATTGTTCGGATGACTGCTTCGCGCTGGCCCTGGTCTTCTCGCCATTGTTCGTGCTGTGGACTTGGGAAACAGAGTCATTGTCCTTCTGGAAGCTGCGCTCCGTCTCAACAGTCGGGGACGAATTCTTCTCCGCAACATCTTTCGCCTGGGGTCTGGGCATGTTCGTCTTGTAAGGCGAGCTGAATGGCTTGATCCAATCGTCGTCGACTGCCATAGGTTCTGGGGCTGGCGTCTCCTCGTGGGACTTCTGGTTATTCTCTTCCGGTCTTGTGTCCAACTTGGTTGCCGGGAGTTCAGGGTATGACACTTGCGTAGTAGGAGCCAAACTGGGGGCCGAGGGGATGGACTTCGTGGGTCGCGACGGCTGAAGCTTCCCAAGCATGCTGATCTTCTCGTGAAGCCTCTGAGTGGACGACTTGGTGTGCAGTTTGCTTGCTCGAGTGTCCGTATCGTGGTCATCATCGCGGGTTGTCTCTCTGTTCTCATCGACGTCCATTCGGTCGTTCAACGATGCGTTGTCATCCGCAGCTGCCTGGGTCATTCTATGCCCACCCGTCTGTCTGCCAAGGTAGTTAGAACCGATACCACTTAGTTTGGAAGTATCAATGTGGCTAGTGCGAGAATGCCTAGTGCCGCCCAGGCTTCTCTTCATCAACGGTTCGCGAGCAGGGAGCGACGCGAAAGATAAGCTGCTCTTCCGGATCGGGGGGCGCTCGGGTGTTGAACCATCGGAAGGCGAGCCGAGGTCGTCGAGATTATCATCGAGAGCCATCTCATCCTTATCATCATTGTTTTGATTTTCTGGCTCTTCATGTTCCTCATGCTGGGGCTCGGAAGGAGGCTCCACGGGGTCTTCCACGGCGGCTTTCACTGGGGACGACTTGGCAGTGGTTTGCGCAGCCTGGTCTTCAGGTTTCAACTCCGGCTCCAGCTCCGGCTCAATTTCCTGCTCTTCTTTATCTTGCGCTTCATCAAGTTTCTGTTGCTCCTCGTCATGCGCCATTTCTGGCTCTGTGGTCGTTTCCGGGGCAGGTTCCGGTTCCGGTTCCTTTATCGGCTCGGAAGTCTGTTGTTGCACTGGGCTAGAAATATCGGTCGGTTGTTCCGGTTCTTCGGTCTTGGCCGGTGATTCAGGAGAAGGCTCGTCGGTATTCTTCTTCGGGGATGGCTCGACCGTCTCACCACGCTGACGGACATTCTCCTGTGCTGAATGGAACGAGCCTCCTGTTGTGCGACGGGCGGGGGACGAGCGGTGCTCCTGTGTGTTTGCTGGAGTTGGTTCTTTCTCAATAGGCTGTGTTGACGCCTGAGACTCAGGTTGCACCTGGGTTAGGACCATGTCGTCGTCGTCGCCGTTCTCCTCTTCCTCCTCTTCATCGTCATCTTGCATGCCATGATAGCCCGAGTCGGTGTTGTATTTGGGGAAAGAGTTGAGATTTTTGCTCAGGTCGGGGTACTCAGGGTGCGACGCATTTTCCGCGGGGTTTTGGGTTTTGGTCTTGGTTGGGCTGAGGGCTAAAGTTGGAGGGGGAATGGCTTTAGTAGGTGACCGGTGAGCTGCCGGGCTAGCGTTGAATTTGTTCTCGACGCGCTTGTGGGAGGAAGAAAAGACTTCACTCAAAGGCTATATATAGGTGGTCAATAAATAATCCAAGCAGAATCAACATTGGAAGGGGAGAGGTGCGCACCAGTCGGGGTTCATTGGCGTCCCGTTTTCGTGCAGTTCGAGGGGTTTTGCCTCTAAGTTTGCCAGGCGTTTTGAAGGCTTCAGTGAAATTGCTATGCGGGTGTCAGCGCGGGCAACGATGTAGGGGATATGTCGGTCGCAACGGACAATTGATTGTTGGAAAAGATCTCGGACATATGCTCGTTCAACCAATCCATCTCATGACGCACTGGATACTCGACTTCTTCCATTTCCTGATCCACCAGCTGCGTCACGTTCTCTTTTTCGGTCGAGATCCATGCGGCAGAGCCGACCGGCTTCTGCGCCCGCGCGGCCATGGCGATGTAAACAAAGGCGATTCAGCGGGAAACTAGGCGGAGAGGGGCGGATGGGATCTAAGATATGTGCAGGGGCAAAAGCAGCCCGAGCATTAAATGGCGACAAAAGATAGAGGGGGCATCCAAAGGGGCGGGTGGACGGCGGAGAGGGCGAGGGTCGAGTTGAGACTTGTCTTGACTGTCCGTCGCTGCGGGAAGTTCGAAGCATCAAAACAGAGAAACGCGTGCCCTCACGTGACCATTGCATCATGACTGCCTGCACAATCAGGCATCCACTACGATACATACATGGAGAGTTCCCTTTATACTATTCAAGACTGATGGACTAGCATCAGATCTATTCTGTCAATCTCTCATGACTGGTTTCCCGTTCAAGAACCGTAAAGATTCTCCATAAACCATGGAAATCACCGCGAATCATTCCAAATCAACCATGGGCACTGTTACAGCGATGTGATCGTGATGTCACCTTGATCTCGAACCACGGTCAAGAAAAACGGTTGGACTCGATGAATGAATGAACGAGAAAAATGCGTCGAGACAATGTTAGGGGCGCTGTGGTGTTTGTTGTCCCGGGGTGGATGATGCTAAATATACACGCATCTACTCCGTGCTCCCTCAGGAGAAACATATGCGCAGAACGTCAATCAGTAAAGGCAATTCCACAATTTAGCGGTAGGGAGTGTAAGCCAACGAGTGCCTTTCGACAGATCCTTCTGCGAGAAATCCCCCTTGCATGCGCCAGTCTACGTAGCAGATCTGTATGATGACCCATTCGGTGGCATTGTCTTGTCGCTCCCCTCTTGCTTCAAGATCTCCTCTCCCTGAAGCCGTTATCACATGCCGACCGGGTCTAGAATCTTGGTCGAGTTGAACTGAGAAATCGCAGCGAGATGGCGGGGAAGTCAACCCGACGAATACGGGGAAGATGATGTAAATTGTAGGAAAAAAAACAATTATCTAGATCGAAAGAAATAGGAGCCGTGGAATTTCAAACCGAAACTAGAATCAACAAGCGGTGATTCGGCGAGGTGGACTGAGCAGGTCCAAGTAGTTCGGAGTGGAAGCAGCCCGGGAAGCACACGACGTCTGTCTCGCTTGTCAATTGCATCACCCTCTCTTCTTCCTTCTCCTTCTCCTATCTTTCTCTCTCCGCCCATCCCTCACGTCGCCCACCCTCGACACGCTGATTCTCTTCTTCTTCTTGTAATTCTCTTTTTCAATTCTTTCATTCGTTTTCTTCCCTACACCTTGTACTTATTTCTCCTTCCCCCTGGGCTTCCCGTGGAACGCCAGCTTCGTTTGTTTTTCCGCAGCTTTATTTTTCTAAGTCCCTTTTATCCACACAATCTTCCGAGATGGCCGACGCTTCAAATGCTGGCTATGTGGCCTATCCCGAAACGAAAGCGGGCGGTAAGGTATGTGTGGACTCAGGAGATGCCTGGAATGTGGCTTTTGGGAGACACTTTGATGCTGACTCTGCCGTTATCGCCAGTTCATCTCGATCTCTTGAGGTTTCGCGGAATGTTACACAAACCCAGCTGATTTCCAACTTGGTGATAAGGTGTCAAAGATGCCATCACCAAGGGTACTTGGTTTTCATATTCTCCAACCCTCGTGGCTCTGTATCTGACAGGTGGTTTCTCGCAGGCCCCGTCGTTGATAACATCAAATCCGAAGCATCCCGTACCGGACAGGAATTTCGCGAATTGAGGAACACTCGGTCGACAACTCCAGTGACCACTGCGACCGGCCAACCCCTGACCCGTATGTAGTCGAAAACACTCGAGACTTCCAAGTTCATCGATTAATTTATGATGTTCCAGACTATCACTCCCTGCTGTACAGCCTTCTGAGCGTGAGTCTTGGTCAACCTCGGTGTCAAAAGCTGCGACTCTGACCAGTTCTTAGTGGGAGCAACCCCGAGCCACCGCCGCTTCTTTTGCGACCGTCGTCACCTTCATCTTTGCCGCCCGTTACCTGCCTCTCCTCCGCTGGGTTTTCAAATTTACTTATGTGGCTTTGGGATGTAGGTTCATATAATTGCTGCGTGATGACACAGCGATGCGTGCTAACAAGACTTTCGTTTAGTCACCACTGCCGCCGAAATTGGTGGTCGAGTCTTGTTTTCGCAAGGCCTTGTCAAGAACTTCCGTCCCCGCAAATACTACACCGTTCCTAAGGAGACCCTTGAAGGAGTGATGGAAGATATCGAGCAGCTTCTTGACTTTGTCCTGCTCGAGTTCCAGCGCATCCTGTTCGCCGAGAACATTGTTCACACCGTTGCTGTATGTTCGGTTTCCAAAAACGCTCCTGGCAGAAGATCTGTCTTCTAACAACTTTTCTAGGCTTTCTTTGCCGCGTTCTCTGCCTACTGGTTGATCAAGTTCCTGCCTTTCTGGGGACTGTCGCTTCTTGCCGCCACTATCGCTTACATCGGACCCTTGGTTTACATGAACAACCGTGAAGTTATCGATGCGCAGATTGAGCACGTCCAGGGCATCGTGGAGTCCCATGCCCATCAGCTGAAGGATCTGGCCGAGGAGCGCGCTTTCCGCGCAACGGGCATTGTCCAACAGTATGTCACTGACTGCAGTGTCAAGGCGCAGGGGCTTCTTCCCGGCCAGCGCCGCTCTGTGTCGCCGGAAGTCGCCAAGGTTGCTCCCACTCCCGTTATCAAGAAGGAGCCCGAGCCCGAGCCCGCGTTCACCTCTTCCGACTTCCCCGAAGCCCCCAAGACCGAGCCAGTGGCGGAATCCGTCGAGCAGCCCATTGAGCAGCCCGTCGAGCAGCCCCCTCAGTATGCGGAGAAGGAACCTCTTCTAGCGGCGTAAAGGAGGCCGCCACTGTCGATCAGTCGCGCCCGAACAATATTGCTTTGTCCAACCATATGAATACTTTTGATAGGCCAACAGTGACGAAGAAGCTGTGGAAGCGCGGAATTTGTAATTAGGAGAAGTTGGAGGAGAGTGTGTGGATCTGGCTGCGAACGGAGGATTTGTGGCATGAGGAGGGATAATTTGGTGTGTACGATGACAAGATGGTATGATGTCTCCCGAAGACTTTCTACTTTTCTTCCTTCCTATCCGTTGATGCTTGTCCTGCCGAAGCTATTCGTAGTCTGTATTTCCTTGTATCCGAGGTTTTACTTCCCCTCTACGTGACTTCTCTCCTAGCGGTGTATGTATTCCGAACTTCGTGCGAAATGCATCTCTTGTTTCACCATTATCTCGGACCGCACAGCAGCGTCGAGAAGCGAGAAGAACAAAATGCCGCTAAGGACTTGGGAGCTGGTTCTGAGTGACGTGAGTTGTTTGGCCTTCCAGGGAAAAGGTACGTCTTGTGCGAGTCACAAGTTGCTGCTGCGATTTTGTGCAAGGCTCGGGGGGACCGTGCCAGATTTCTTACCTTTTCTTCCATCCTCACTCTCCCACCCTCTATTTCCGGCTCTGACCCCACTGCCGAAGTCACTGTGACTTCAACATTTACTCTGGCATCGGCTTTACCCTGGTCCCTTGTCGTGCATGACAGATCCTCAACGCTGCGAATGGGATTCGACCAAGGGGCTGTACCAGACCCACGGTAGAGGCAAATCAGAAGGGCACGGGGGTACAAATTCCCTCGGAGCTGGGCACGGCGTCAGCGGGAAAGGGCCTTAACCTTTTCCCTTACCCCAGATCGAGACTCGTCGTACAGGTGTGTCCAGACTTGTTTTATGATGCCGTCGTGTGCAAGGACCATCCCGCGTAGTAAGGGAGACCGGAAGGTCATCCGCGCAACGGGGCTGCAGATCAAGACGAATCGTTTGATTAGCAGGGGCTTTGTCGGGACCGCAGATCATCGTGCCCCTGGCGCTGAGGCCAGCGGGAGGTTGCTCCCGGTACTCGGCAGAGTCTGGATTCTGGGCGCAGACAGAGTAATTGTCATTCATGGATGTAGCTATACTTCTTCACCGTGCAGGATGGTCTTCATTGGTTGGCGACCATGACTAAGGGTTGGGGATGTTTGGTTGGTTTGTTGTGTTTGTCTGGTTTGCCTGTTTGGCTGGTCTCTTTCCTTCTCTAGACGACGACTTCATTGCATCCCATCCCATCTCGTCTCTTGCATCCGGTCAGGACGTACATTGATTACAATTACCGAAGCTATCTGGCTCACTCAAATCCCTTTGGGCGGGGTTGATCATGATTAATTGAATCAATCGGACAGATACCCTGCCAGCTGAGCAGCCACCTTCAACCCCTGTCGTTTCCAACCTCTCTCTCTTTCTGCTTCTCTACTGGATGTAAGACAAATCGATTTGAAATTCAAGCAGACGGGACCCATTCCCGACATGACTCTGCCAAGATGCCCTCAACTCAGAGCATTCGTATGTCTCGGATATTGGGCTTCCCTGCCGTTTTCTAGATCTTCCATCCTGCCTCAACCTGGACAATTGTGATTGGCAGTGATTTCCAAAATTCCTCATATTCTCTTTCTGCTCTATGTTGATAAGGTAAACAAATTTTCTTTCTCTGTTGATAGACTATGGGTTCTGGCTGGGATGCGCCGTGTTCTTTCTTCTACAGGCATTCTGGCTAAGGTAAGTTGCATCTCCACGGAAGCCTAGACTTCTGCCTTCTGGGTCCTTTAGTTTCTTCTTTTTTTGTCTCATTTTCTGTTTTTCTATTTCTCGGTTCAATATTCGCGACAAGGCAGACTCATAATCCGGGCTTGGAAACCTTGAATATGTCCAAACAAATCGACCGAAGAGACAAGACGCCACCGATGAGTGGGAACGTGCAGAGAAGCATGCGTGGAAGTTTCTTCTAGATGGCTTTGATGATTTGAACTTTCTTGGAGAATCTTTGTCCACGCCCATCCGAATGCCAAACCGTTCGCACTTGACCTATTCCAACGCTGAAGGGCTGAGCAACCCAATCGAAGAATGGGTGTCACTTGCACCTAGGGAAGTGAGGCTTGAATCCAACTAGATCAGGTTCCTCATGGACGTTGCGGCGTCGCCTGACAAAGAGAGGGGCAGAGAACATGACTGCGCCCATGCTCCTTGGGGAGCTTGAGATGTAACGTCCAGTACCGAGTTTAGGGTTCCCGGGCAGACTCTCTGCTCACCGACAATAGACTACCAGAGCTTGTCTCTGGCCCGATCGCGGATTCCCATCTTTTTTCTTCCGGGGAATTTCACAAGAAATCAACCATTTCTCTCGTCCTTTGCGGTAAAAGATTCCGCCTGCATTATGACTGGCTGGTATGCAGTAGAGGTGGGCAGTGAAGAACAAGATAATGAAGAGAGCCTGGTACAACGACCTGTAGCAGCAGAGACAGTGGGGCTCATTGGTTGGCAGCAGAAGCAGCAGCAGGAATCCTGTCCTACAACAGTGTCATGCAGCTTTCCGAGAATTGTCTGAGACCTTTTCCTAACACCCGCCTCGTCGAGCGAACGCCGCTGGGATACCGTCTTTTCATTGGCCATTCGTGCTCTGAAGATCAACTCTTCCGGTTTCTTCAGCGGCGGATTTTTCTTGACGTCGAGGTCATCAGTATGGGTAGGCTGATGTTGATTCCCGCTGACAGAAATGGAATTCCATATATCTGAAAAGCCGGCAACGGAATACCTTCAGATGGTCGAATCAGACACACAGAGATACAAGTATCTGTGGATACCCTTTTACGTTCCATGGTTTCGTCTCCCCCTTTAGGCTTACGCTCGTCAGACTGCCGTCTTCAGCTGTTTGGACGGACCAGAGATATGGATCATCCAGGAAGCCACCGGCCTGGCTATTTCAAGTTACGGTCAGTAATGCAAGACCGTCCACATGGTGACAGGAGTCCCCTGAAACGTGATCTACCATGTCCCCCTTATGATTATGCGTTATCTCCTGTCTTGGGTAGCTGCAGATGAGTGAGTGGCACCAGCGAAGCCTCGAAAATCCGGAGGGGCGTACGCTACCTTTAATTCAATTTTCCGATTTGAATTTGAGAGGGGAAAGGGTGTCGTCAGTCAAGTACTTCTCTTGAACTAGCGCCGGTTTCGAAGAGGGAGGAACCCGTTACAGAATGACTGAACCCGGGGGCGAGGGAGTATTTGCCATACTCCAAAGTGGATTTTGGGTATGGCAAAGCTGGACTCGCCCACCTCTCTGTCCGGTTCAATCTGTCGTGTGCCTCGTGATGCCCTCCTTTGTCCAAGTACCGGGAGAATGTTTCTCATGCCGAAGGCCTCAGCCCATCCAAGACATCCGCCCAACCTAAGTTGTCTAGAATTAGGGCCACATCGTAGGAAGAAGGCTCACCGCTGCTCCAGATGGCTACACCACTCCCCCAGTCATTGCCTCGACAAGGACTTACACGCGCAATAATTCTTCTCGCACTCCGATGGGACAAACAGAAGGCGACCATTGAGGTCTCTTCATCAACTGCTGTCAAGTATCCACTCTTTTTGGAGGCCTTGTACCGATGAGTCTAGCAAGGGAGGTGAGTGTGGCTCATGATTTGTTTTTATTCTCTCAAACCTTGTCTTTGTATTTATTTTCTGTATTTATTTTAACTTATTCTATTTTGTAACTCCTGTAACTCCTGTTTGGCTAGTCTGATGATTGCTCGGGGCAATACGGTGAGCTAACATATCCGTGCCCTGATATCCGTTCTATTTTCCCTCTTGTTTCTCTTGATTGTCTCTCTCACCCTTTGACTCTGGCCAGACCTTCTAGAACCCATCGTTTCCAGTGTCTTAGGGATCAGAACCAGGAAGGTTTCTTACCCCCCCCCCCCCCCCCCCCCCCGCATATTTTCGTTGCATTCTCATAAAACCTCCGTTCGTCAAAGTTTCCTTTTCCCTGCTCTGGGCAGTATACTGGTTCCCTTGGGCCGATCGAACAGCTGGCTGAAAGTGTATATCTTCTATCTGACACCCCGAGGAGCCCTATTCATGGCGTCCATCGAATCTCTCCTGAACCCCTTGCCAGACTTGAACCGGCTTTGTCTCCCAAGTTCAGCAATGTCGAGCTCCCCCAGCATGATGGCTTCCCGCGCAGCATCTCGCCAGAAGAGAGAGAAACCCCCCAAGGATGCTGCGATTTTCAAGAGAGAAAAGATCAGGGGCCAGTTGCGATATCCGCCTTGTGAGGAGCGAGATGAAGAGTTGGCCAGAATCCACCGCGAATTCCAGCTCTATCCGATGGGCGAGATCGGGCTGTATCCGCGCCACATCCCGTACAACAGCGACAAAAAGTCATTTCAGGACCGGACGGGACGTGAGAGCTTTGAAGGTATGAGTCTCTTGAATGGATTTGAGGTTCAAAAAAGCACATGTGAAGCTGATTTGTGGTTTAGTTTTGCAGTATGAGTTCGTCATCCCGGGCGAAGACAAGAAGTGGATGGTGATGTGGGACTACAACATTGGGCTTGTTCGAACAACCCATCTTTTCAAATGCCAGGATTACTCCAAGGTCGGTGAACAGTTATTGGTTTCCATCTCATCCAACTAACTTCTGTCAGACAACACCGGCCAAAATGCTCAACGCCAACCCTGGCCTTCGCGACATCTGCCATAGCATCACGGGTGGTGCGCTTGCAGCACAAGGTACGACCATTCATCCCTCTGCCCTAAACAAACACCCAGACCAAGACTAAAACCACCCAGGGTACTGGATGCCTTTCGAAGCCGCCAAAGCAGTCGCAGCCACCTTCTGCTGGCGGATCCGCCATATCCTCACGCCCGTCTTCGGCCTTGACTTCATCGACATGTGCATCCACCCGACAGACCGTGCGCGATACGGCCGCATGATCATCCATAAATCCATCGTGGACAAGTCCACGAAAATGGCCAACTACTACCGCGCCCTCGAACTCCAATCCCTCCCTCCGCAACAATCACTCCTGACCTCGCGTCATCCTCCAGACCTGTCAAAACCGTTCGAGAAGCAAATCCTCCCGAAATCCTTCGACCATCCCCATCTTGGCCACCGTCTTCGTCATTCCTATGCTGATAGACTCGTGGGCTACGGCTCCTCCCCTGAATATACCTCCGGTGCTAGCACCTCCGATAAGTACTGCATGTCCCCGGTCAGCCCGATCCGCAACACGTTCACGCCCGTGAACACGCCGCGTAGCGCAGACGTCAAGATGGGGTGTTCGGGCACCGCGACCCCGCGAGACCTTCTCTGTTCGCTGCAGAACATGTCTAGGAAGAGGGCTATCGACGCCAGCGACGGCGAGAGCGGCAGCGGCAGCTCGGACGCCACGACGTCCTCGAACACAATATACACCTCATCCACGACAAGCGCCAACACTTCCAGCGACTGTCCGTCAGAAATAGACGACGACGCGGATGCGGATGCGGATGCAGATGAGGATGTGGACATGGATGTCGATATCGACATGGACGACGAGGATGCCGATGACGACTACCGAGACAGTTCCTACGACGACGAGGATCCCTCCCAATCCCCTGGTAAACGGGCCCGAGCAAGCCGCGTCGAAACGCGATCTCGACGCAATCCTAAGAAGTTGCTCCCTGCCGAGGTCAAGGCCGCGCATGCCCTGCTCAGTTTGTATATGCAGGACGCGGCCGGTAGTGGTAGCGACGAGGAGGGTTTTATGCGCTGGCAGCAGCAGCAGCAGCAACAGCAGATTAGCGGACGGAAGAGACGGAGAGCGTCTGCTTGATCTTTGGTGTGTGGTAATTGTTCCTAGCTCACGTAACCTGGCCAGTTCGTCCTCCAAGCCAGGGATCTACACAGTGAGACTTAGGAGAGCAGAAGAGCGGACGAAAACGGACGAATAACGAGGAATGAATGATAAATAGATCGGATTGGGCGTTTTGAGTGTATCACATGGGTTGTTATGTTCTGTTATGGGGTTGTTTGAGATTGTTTTCTAACTGTTTCTGCTTTTCTTATCTCTGATAGTTAAGTTCATTTTTTTAAATGCCTATCTCCTCTAGGTGTCTTTCCATCATCCATCATCCATCATCCATCATCCATCTATTTCAGTATCTATATCTTCTCATGGACAGTACTTACTCCAGTACTTAACCATCCCTTTTCATTGACTGACTACTTCGTCAACATCAACTCAATCAGTCGTCCCATGGAACGTAGACCTATCAAGACCTACCCTCACAAACCTTTCTTTTCGTAACTTCCTCACAACCAAGAAATCTTCTATAGAGGCACAGCATGCGTAGCAACAAGACATAAACATAAACCTAGACATAAGACATAGAGATACCCAGTCCAACCAATCCCCAAACTTATCGAGAACTAGGATCTACTATATGTATAGTACATACATGCATGTGCGTAATGTATGTACATACCTACAACCCCTACCTTACCTACTCCAAGTAAATAGAACAACCTCATCTATACGTCATCTTTCAACCAAACGCCAGCTATCAACCACCATAAACAGATCTCACCAGCCAGAAACGGTTCACATCGTATAGAAAGCAACCTCTAGGATATGAAGACGATTGATTGACTATCGATGACTTACTTCTTTGCCCGATGAAAGATCGTCCTTCGCAGGTGAATAATAGCGAGGAATCGGTCGTGAGGATGGAGACTCACTAGCTACCAACCACTCTTCTCTCGTCTCTAATGACTTCTAAGTAATGTATGTAGGCTTGTCCTTGGGTGCTTGGTGTTTCTGGATTGTTATTGGGGGATGACTGGGGGGCAGTGGGCTACTACCTAATACATCGCCCTTGATCGATTACTATGTCTTTCAGATTACCAAGGGAGCCTCAAGTGAACAGAATCAAGTCCGATTGCATATCAAAACCAGCTATCAACACGAGAACTTTCAACGTCCTTTAAACAGTGTACGAAAATGTAAATAGAAACAAAGGTGAGTGAGTCCCCGAAATAACAACAGAAGAGGAACACATTTGAAACAGAAGTAAAAACAGAGAAATTAACTCTAGAAGAACGTTCAACGTCCCCAATAGCCCCTTGTTCCAATCGAATGGTTTAGTCGCTTTCTTCAAAATCATCACCGAAGTCACCGTCATCCTCGCTGTCATCATCATCAACCACGTAGGTCTTCTTGGTCGCTGCGGTCCGTCGCGCGGGTCGACTGGCAGTCTTCCGGCCGGCAGGACGCACTTCTTCATCTTCCGAATCGTCACCCTTCTTGCCGCCAGCAGGAGAGTCAAGAATGTCGTTGGCCATGGCATCAATATCGTCATCCGAAAGATCGTCCGCCAGCTGCTTCTTCTTGGTGGTCGCCTTAGCATTCTTGGCTTGCTTGGAAGCGTAGGCCTTGGCAGCCGGGGACAAGGTCGTCTGCTTAGTGGCAGGAGCAGCCTTGGCGGCGGTGGTCGCGTCCTTCTTAGGTCGGCCACGGGGTTTCGCTGCGGTTGTCTTCGCTGCGGCACTCGTCGCGGCCTTGCCCCGGGCAGTAGTCTTTGCCTTGCTAGCCGCGGGCTTCACGGGTTCATCTTCGTCATCATCGTCGCCACCGCCGTTGTCTTCTTCAGGGTCATTGTCCTCCGACGTCTTCGGCTCCTTGTCTTTGGGCTTGACTTGCAGGGAGCGCCGAGGAGTGTGCTGCGGCACCAGCTTGCTATAGTCAGTTTCGTCCGCGTCGAAGTCTGGCGACTGCTTCGACGCCTTGGAACGCGGGGTCAGGCCGCTGCTTCCAGCCCGAGAGCGCTCCGAGAAAAGCTGTCGAGAATCAGAGGGCGCGCCGTTCTTGCCGCCGATGCCCTTCACCATGTTGCTGACATCACCAAGGAGATCTTCTCCATCATCGCTGTCGGAGTCGCTGATGGTGTGCAAGGGGGGTCCACGTGCCCTCCGGTTGGAACCATACGATGACTTGGCAGCCTCGGTCTTGGTGATTTCTTGGATGTCATCATCATCGAAGTCGTCGTCGTCCTCCTCCTTGGGCTGAGACTTGGCCTTGGACTTGGAGGAAGTGGTAGAAGCAGCCTTCGATGCCGGTCGGCCTCGCTTGGGAGCTGCTTTAGGGGCATCGTCATCCTCAGTCTTGACGGAAGCCTTGGAATTGGCTCGGGACTTCTTTGGTGCGACTTCTTCCACAACATCGGGCATGTCCTCGTCCTCATCCTCTTGCTTGGGCTCCAGCTCCAGCTCCGGCTCCGGCTCCGGTTCAGCCTTGGGTTGGGGTTTTGCAGCACCCCGGCTCTTCTTCGGAAGGATCTCCATGTCGAAGTCATCGTCCGAATCATCTTCATCGGTCGGCGGAGGCTTCGGCTTGGCTGCCGGTTTGGCCGCGGGCTTGTTTAGGTAGTTAAGAAGACCTCCCTTCGGTTCGGTCTTCTTGGCTGCGGCCTTCTTGGACTTGGGAGCGGCAAAATCTTCGTCATCCGGATCATCGTCAGTCGCGGCCTTGCGCTTCCTGGCGGCCAAACCCCGACCAGTCGTCATGAGTTTGGCGGAAGTGCGACGGCCCATGTTAGCCACCTTACGCAAGCGCCGGGCCTCGTCCTCGATCTGGAATCGCCATTCGTTGATGAAGTCCTCGAGGTCGCGCTTCCAGATATCCTCCTTGGACATCTTAATCAATGCGTCGATTTCCACCTCCTTGTCGCCAATCTGACGACGGAGCTTTTCGACACGCTCCTGGGTCAGGGACCAAATGGCCATACCCAAAAGATAGTCGTAAGAGTTCGAGAGAACCTCGGCGTCTTCCGCACCTTCTTCCTCCTCATCCTCGAGGGCGGGCTCCGCCTCACCGGCCTTGACGGCATCCTTGACCTTCGGGAAGGGCTTGAAATTCTTCTCCTTCAGCTCGGCGACGAGGGCGCTCTTCTTCTTCTTGGAAACCACCAAGTCACCGTCGATGATCATTTGGACAAAGCGGGCCTGGTTGCTCAGTCTGTCCAGCTCCCTTTGCATTTCGGAAAGCTGGTATTGCTTGCGGCGCTCGTAATACTTGAGACGGATAGTATAGAATTCCTTCAAAATATCGTCGACGCCGGCGTATTTGGTGATACGGCCTTCGGGATCAAACGCGACCAAGTTGGAGGTGGCGATTGATTTCGTCAGCTTGAACTTCTCCTCCAGGCCCTCGGACAAAGCTGCCGCCATATGCTTTTCGTCCATCTGGATAACGAAGTGAACCTTGTGGTGCGTGTTGTAATCCTTGTAATCCTTGATGAAGGAAGGCGTCTTCTCCGCTTTGATAATGTCTTCCAGTTTGTCCTTGAAATCCTGGGTCCAGGTACGAATGGGCAATTCAGTGATCTCCACTTCCTTATCGCCAGTTTCCTTGATGATACCGCTGAATTTAAAGCGGTCACCTCCCATATCGGTGACCTCACCTTTGAAGCCTCGGAACCACGGCTGCATAGGCTTGATCTCCTCGCCATCCATCATGCGCCGCAGATTTTCGACAATGTCCTCGGGGTTGTAGTTGGGAATTGACGAACTCCATCCGGTACCGATGCCATCGGCTCCGTTGACCAAGATCATGGGCAAGACGGGCATGTAGACTTCAGGCTCAATCTTCTCGCCATCGTCTTCATTGTACGTGAGAAGCGGGTCATCATGGGAATGATACACACGCCGGGCGAATGGCGACAGACGGGTGTAGATGTAACGAGCGCTGGCAGAGTCGGAACCACCCTGAAGACGAGAACCGAAGTTACCACTGGGCTCCAGGCAGTTGATGTTGTTGGAGCCAACGAAGTTTTGCGCCAGGCCCACGATAGTCTGCTGCAGGGATGCATCACCGTGCTGGTATGCCGTCATACCGGAGACGTGACCAGCCAGTTCAACCACCTTCATATCCTTCTTCAGGTTGCGCCGGAAGCAAGTGTACAAAACCTTACGCTGACCGGGTTTGAGACCATCAACAACGGAAGGGATAGATCGAATGTTGTCCGCCATACTGAAGAGAATGAGTTCCTTGTTGATGAAGTCGGTGTAGGTGATCTTGGACATGGTGTGATCCAGATAGGTTCCGGGCTTGAATTGCCGCAGCCATTCCTTTCGCTCGTCGGCCTTCTTCTTCGAAAAGGCGAGTTCAATCAGAGCGGCCTCGTTATCCTGAATGGTGTGGAATTCTTTCAAGTGGCGATCGAGATCGCGGAAGTACACCTGAGCGTCTTCAGTGGTACTGGTACCCAGACCCTTGTAGTACTTGTGCTCCCAGCGCTCGTTCTTGTGGGCTTCCCTGAACGCCTCGTATTCGGGCATTGTGAAGAAGGAGTGCTGCCTAGTCGGGTTCTTGGGGTCACCCTTCCACACCTTCACGATGGGAGTGATGAACTCGATCAGAAACTCAGGGATCTTCAGCAAGCTAGGAAACTGGGCTTGGAGGAAGTTGATGAGCAGACCCTTGATGTGACTACCATCGTGATCTTGATCGGTCATGATCATCAGATGGCCGTAACGAAGCCCGCGAGTATCGGTGTATTCCTTCTTGTGCTGCAATCCAATGAAGTTCTTGATGTTCTGGATTTCCGCGTTCTTCGAGATCTGCTCGAACGACGCATCGCGGACGTTGAGCAGTTTTCCTCGCAGTGGGAAGACACCGAATAGATCGGGACCGACAACCGCACGTCCAGCCATCGCCAAGCCCTTGGCCGAGTCACCTTCCGTCAAGATCAGGGTACAGTGGTGACCCTCCTTGGTGCCGGCCTTGTTGGCATCGGTCAATTTGGGGTTGTTCATACGGGAACGGCGACCGCCATCGGTCTTCTTCAGCATCTGGTCCGCCTTGTGGGCAGCGAAGGACAAGATATTCGACATGACGTTGGTCTTCAAGATCTTCTTGTAGAAGTCATCTTCGAGGGGACACTTGCTGCCAAACTGGGTTTGCTTGGTGGTCAACTGCTCCTTGGTCTGCGAAGTAAAGGCCGGGTTGACGATCAGGGCGTTCACAAAGATGAAGATGTGGTTACGGAGTTGCGCAGGCTTGAGCGTCGCGCCGTTCTTGTTCTTCTTCTTGAGTTCGGTGGCCAGTCGACCGCAGATCTGGTCCGCAATGTAGTTGACGTGCGTACCTCCGGACGTGGTGGCGATCGAGTTCACAAACGACACCTGCTGGAAGGAGCCGTCGGACACGGCGAAACCGACCTCCCATCGAGGATCGGGGCTGCATGTGATGATCTCGTCCTTGGGTGCGGGACCGTCATCTCCGCGCTCTCGGCGAATGGCTTTGGTGTACATCTCCATATACTTTTTGAAGTTGCGGATGGGAATGCGGCTGCCGTTCAGCTTCACGGCCACTTTGGCGGTTCCCGCCAAATCGTAGACTCGACGCTTCACCAGGGCCTCAAAGTCGTCATCAATGCCGGTCATGCCGAACTTAGCGTAGTCGGGTTTGAAGGTGACCTTGGTGAAGTCCTCGCCCTTGGCCTCCGTGATTTTGGCCTTGCCGACCTTGGTCATGTTGTCAGTCCAGGTTTGCTTGTATCTCTTTTTCTGGTGCGAATCCTGGGTTTCAAGGATGAATTCGGTGGAGAAGACGTTACAGAGCTTGGCACCGTAACCGTTACGACCACCAGTGACCTTCTGCTGAGTGTCGTCGTAGTTCGAGGAGGTGAGCAAATGACCGAAAATCAGCTCGGGCACGTAGATCTTCTCCTTTGCGTGCATTTCGATGGGGATACCGCGACCGTTGTTCCAGACACTAATGACGCCGGACTCGCGGTCAATGGTGACGCGAATCTCGTCCATGTTCTTATCGTTCTGTTTGTTATCGGCGGCGTTGACGACGATCTCATCGAAGATCTTGTAGAGACCCGGGACGTAGGTCACCTCTCGGAACTCCATTCCCTCGGTGGCCGAGCTGTACACCCACATTTGCTGCGGGGTCATCTCGGTGGATCCGATATAGGTATCAGGACGTTTGATGATGTGTTCGCGTGGTGATAGCTAATGGGTGGAGCTGTCAGCACAGAACCATACGATGGGACAGGAGGTCGTTACCTTCTGGTATCTCTCCGAAGCGTTGGTTTCCTTGGATGGTTCCTCTGCGCCCTCGCCGGTGAACGATTCATTTTCGACGTCGGCGAGGGGTTTCGAGCCAGCTCTTTTCGCGGCTGGGGCCTTTTTGGCCTTCTTGGGGGGCGTATGGGACAGGGCGGAGTCGTTGTCGGACATCTTGTCGACATCTGACATTTCGTCTTCGCTATCGGCTTTGGCGCGCTTTTTGGAAGCGGCTGCCTTTCCGGGGGCTTTGCCTGTGAGGGTTGTTTGGGTGGTCTTCTTGGGCGCGGCGGCTTTCTTCGGGGCTGCCTTAGCCTTGGGCTTCTGGAATGCGACAGTCAGTAACCAGTTGAATTATCAACAGATGAGAACAAAATCCATGCAGTACGTACAGGAGCGGGCTCTGGGATGAAGTCAGAGCTGCCCTCGTCATCAAAGACGGAGCTGGCCATCGAGTCGTCCATGGAGAAGTGGTGGGAGTGGAATTACGAGGGGAGAAATGGTAGAGAAAAAAAGGAGCAAAGAGTGACCAGGGTCGAGGAATTAAAATAAGAATTAGGAGGATCAACCTCCGAAAAAGGGGGAGGGGAGGATATAGGAGAGAACGCGAAGCAAGAACAAGCCAGACCCCCGAAAACGATCACCTCTTTGTTGTTGTTGTTGTCGACGCTGCTTTGTCGAGAGTGCAGTTGTTGACTTGAACGCGCTGCGACTCGCCGTTTGGGCTCCGGACTGGCAGAACCTGTCCTTCCGCCATCGGTCGCGGGTTCTTCCGGTCCGAGTGGCGCGGATTATCCCGGAACAGGAAATCTCCAAACACACGAGCCGAAAGGGGAAGGTGAGACCAAAACATGCAAGGCCGGGCGGGGGAGGGGGACTTTCCAGGTGGAAGATTCACTATTTCTAGAAACGGTCGCTCTTTCCTTCTTCCTTTGTGTGTTTGACTCTTTCCTTTATGGAATTCAACGGTTCTGGAGTCACCCATCTACCATCATGGCAACCAACAAAGAACATATTCTGTATGTGGAAAAGGTTCAACCAGGACCATAAACTGTCATCTTGTTGTGTTACTCTCTCAGTCCCTCCTATCTCCTCCTCACCATTGAATATATATCCATTCACTGCTGCGACCACTCCCTAGCTAGCACCCATGCTGTTATATTATGTATTCAGTCTGCAATTCAATCACATGATTATCACCTTAATTCCAAATATGACCATTCCACAGTCAAGCCACTCTCATCAAGTATATCAGTTGACGTCTCTCCCCTCCTTACCTCTCCGGTGGTTTCTAGAAAGAATGGAAAGAATCCTTGCGGCCGGACCCTGTAAGGCTGTTTTCCATAGTCCGGCACCTCGGCGGTATCTTTGTGTACTGTAACTTACACATAGTGGGGCGGGTTTGCCGTCAATAGTAATCACTAGCCAATGAAACACTGCCAAGACAATCTTTGGCGCTGTATGAAACGGTATCGAGACATTCAGGGGAAATGCAGGGGAAGTCTTGCTGCATCTAGAGTCTTCCGACACAGAGTGTTCATGGACATCTACGGAGTATACTCAATGGGAAAGAAGAACACTTCCTCCAGGTCAGGGGGATAGTATACTTATCCTCTGGTATCATCATCATTGGTCCCTCAGCAGTTCAAATTCTGACTTTTGCACCGTTATTCCCGCACATTCTAAGTTTCTAACGCCGTCGGACGATTCTCTTAATTAACCTTGTGGAGCATCGCCGTGGATCCCGCCGGATCCTCGTCGAGGCAACAGAAGTCGCTGGCGATTCTTCCAGCTCGGTGAATGGCAGAGAGGACTTCTGTTAAGTTCTGTAGACGACCTAAAGAAAGGCCACTGCAAAGATCCCATCCGTGGTTCGGCCGGTGGAGTTCCTGAATATCGATCGTCTTTTCCCCGGCTCAACCAAAGGAGGTCAAATAATCGACACCTTTCGGAATGCATTATTGAGGGCGATCGACGGGGCGAGACTCGAATGTCGGTGGATGACCCGGAGAGGCCTCGGATGCCCCTGAATTCTGTCATCTCTTCGCTAGTTAATGAGCCATAGCGACGTTGACGTTCCTGTTAATAACGGACCCTCCTAGTCAGAGTTATTTCCGTCCGACTCATCTGGATTTATTCCATTGGGGTCAAGTACGAAGCTCTAGTGGCCGGCACTAATCACCGCTAAAGGAAATAACCTCTCCATTTCAGTCCGACTCGTCATTTCAGGGAGTTCACTTTCTGAAACCATACTAACCTGCCTGTCTCCTCTCCCCTCTCGCTCTCTCTCGTCCTCTCTCACTTTCCCACCCTCACCCTGACTCTCACCTCTACCTGACTCCCACTCCCACTTCCTCCCCCTCAACGCCGCTGAATTGACCTACAAGACATGCTGTCACATTCGACAGCCCCTCTTGATCGTGTGCTATTCTTATCCTAATCCTCTACGCCTCGTCTATCCGACTATCCCGACCGCGACCACCGCGTCTCTTTCCCCTCCGCCCCCACAACCGACTCTCCCTCCCCCCCGAGGAATGCGCATTTAATTTTTTCACAATCCCGCCGTCAGAATTCATCCTAAAAGCCAAAAAAGCCATGGATCCCTCCAGTCCCGCCACTCGGGTTCAATCCGATGGGATCTTGAACCATGTCGCCCCGAACCATGCGCACAGCGACTCCATGGTCACCGTCTCGTTATCGTCCAATTCGGAGCATACCCAACCTGAATGGCGCACCCTCGATATTCCCCGGACCCCCGTCGAGGTGACATCCCCGGCCAACGCAGAAGATACCGAGACGAAAACTACGCCGACGTTGGGGCCGGCCAAATCGGTTCGTAGTGCCGGTACGTCGATCCGGTCCCGGAGCAGCGAGGACGGCGATCGGGGAGATGGTGATATGGTGGATTGGGAGGAATTGGAAAAGACGGAGGAGCAGGAACCTCGCCGTGAGGGGTCCGACGAGGTGCGTTGATCTAGTCCGAGCAATTACGCGGAAAGAAAAACAATTGACTTGGATTTAGTCGACATCTCTTCTGTTAGCTCGTCTGGAGCAGGAAAACAATGCCCTGGCAACCAACCCCAAATCGGGCCTGGCCAACGTCGCAAAGTCGCAGGAAATACAGCAACGACCGTCCCGATCGCAATCCCTGCATCACATCAAACGATTGATCAACGATGACCCTCGGTCCTCGCTGCGTTATTCCCAACTGCCACCTCCTCCGATGACCGAGCTCGAGTTCTGGGCCGCTCTCGTCGCCGACTACCCCCAGACCGCGCAGCGATTGCCGACGTTGACCTCGAATAAAATCCGCGGCGGCGTCCCGCCTCCCCTGCGCGGCGTGGTATGGCCTAGTTTGGCCGGGGCTCGGGATACGACGCTGTTGGCGGAATATCAGAGATTGTGCGGCGAGACGAGCCCCTACGAAGGCATTATCGGAAAGGATATCGGTCGCAGCTTTCCCAACGTCGAGATGTTCCGTGATCCGCACGGTGAGGGGCAGCAAATGTTGGCGCGGGTCTTGAAATGTTTCAGTCTGTACGATACCAAGATCGGGTACTGTCAGGGGCTGGGATTTGTGGTCGGTCCGTTACTGATGCACATGACGGATGCGGAGGCATTCTGTGTGCTGGTGAGGTAAGAAGCAGAGGCGCTGGATTGATGTGCAAGAGTCCAGCTAATTATGACCAGGTTGATGGACCACTACGACTTGCGCACGTGCTATCTCCCTGATTTGTCGGGATTGCACCTCCGAGTGTATCAGTTCCAGAATCTCCTTTCTCGTCTTCGACCCGGACTGTTTGCGCACTTGGAATCGCTGCATGTCGAGCCGGTGTACGTGTCGCAGTGGTTTCTGTCGTTTTTCGCCGTATCGTGTCCTCTGCCCATGCTTCTTCGCATCTACGACGTGATTTTCCTGGAGGGAGCGTGCGAGACCCTGATGCGCGTGGCACTTTCGCTGATGCAGCGCAATGAGAAGAAGATTCTGGCCTGTGCGGAATTTGAGGATGTGATGCAACTGCTGTTGTCGCGCAGTTTGTGGGATACGTAAGTACCATGGGAACGGATTCAGAGGCTGGGAGCTAATTCGGGCCGCAGATACGCCTGCCACGCGGATGATTTCGTCAACGACTTTGTCTCACTGACTTCGCTGGTGACCAAGGAAAGCCTGCAAGCGCTGGAAGCCAGTTACAACCAATCACAGGGCGTACCGACGGGCATTTCGTTCCCTCAAATGCAGGCGGCGGCGTCGCGCTTCTTAGGCCGCTTCTGGGCGGGGTCCGGCTCTCACAACTCCATGAAACAGCCATTTTCGCTCAACCCCAACCACGCCAGCACCTCGGCCAGCATTCGTCGCTCCGCCTCCAAGCAGAGCATGACTTCCACCTTAAATTCCATCGAGTCCACCTCCGATGCCAGTACCGCCCCCACCGAACTCTCCGCGGACGTTCCCAAGCCGCGCGCCAAATCCACCATGTCACAGAACAAAGATCGCGACCTGCACACGCAAATCGAAGATCTCCTGATGGCACTCAGCGATCTACAGCGCCAGCACGCCGACCTCACCCGGGACCTGCAGCACGAGCGCGAAGAGCGCGAGGAGGACCAGCAGATCGCCAAAGCCATGCTCCACCACATTAAGTCCGACGAGACCGCCGCGCCGACCGAGCTGATCGGCAAAGCGGAGGAGCGCTTCGTCGGCGCCGTATCGCCCAACCAAGAGGAGTCTATCGACCAGACCAAGCACCAACTGCGCGACGACCTCAACCGATGGAAGGAAATGCACACCGTCGAGGCCGGTCGCTGCCTCGACCTGACCCGTCGCATGGACGAGCACGAGAAGGAGAATTCGTCGCTGCGCGAACAGCTGCGGGAAGCGCGCGGGCGCATTCAGGACGGCTACCGCGATCGCCAGCGCCTTGAGCGAATGGTCCGCGAGCTGCGCTCCGTCAAAGCGCCCACCTCGACTGACACCCCGCCGGAATCCTACGGGTCGCCGACCAGCGAACCCGGCGAGGGCGTCACGCCGCCAGGCCTGCGCGAACTCAAACTCGTCCGCTCGAACTCGCAACGATCCATGTCTCAGCGCTCCGCCTCGCCCCGCAGCACCTTCACCAAGCGCTCCAGCAGCCTAGGCCTGCAGTCGGTGCTGGCGACGGAGAACAACAAACCGGCCGGCGACGAGGCCCTCCTGCTGGAGCTGGTCAACGCGAAAACGGCAGAGGCGGTCGCCAAGCAAGAACTCGAGGAAGTAAAGGCCAAGATGGAGGGACTCCGGAAACAGGTCGCCGCGTCACAACGCGCGCAGTCGCAGACCCCCGAACCGCCCAGTCGGACTCCTTCCGCGATGGGCGTGCACAAAGTGACCACAGAGCCGCCAGCCACCGGAGGCGGATTCTTCAGTGGCTGGGGACGACGGGCGGTCTCGACCAGCCAGGAGTCGTATACCGAGAAGTAGCCTCTCGCCTCCCCCCGAAAAGAAAGAAAAGAAATTGCAACCGGCTGTGTGGTAATAGGATTGGATAGGATTGGGTTGGGTTGGGTTGGGTTGATGTTGATGTACATGCTTTCTTTCTCTGTACATGCACACGCAAGAAGATAATTTTAATCGGCGAGGAGTTTTGACCGGCTTTTGTTGCGAATATTGGATTTGGGCTGGGATGGTGTTGCAATTCGATAGATTTTCTTTGTATTTTCTTTTACTTTCATCTTTTGTTGTTTTTACTTTCAGGTATATGTTATGATATCCTTGTTGTACATACAGATCAGAATCAATCAAATCAACCAGAACCAATAAACAATACCCCAAACTCTACCTTACTTAGATACCTAGGTAGTTAGGTAGATAACCCACACCCAACCAAGCCATAGGTGCATACATACCTAAAACTCACCCCCTCCCCTAGAACACTATACGCATAGTATGTACACAACTGTGTCCCCGTAATTCAAAGAGAGCTAGGTATATATAGAGAGGCATAACGGGAGAGGAAGAGATGGATAGAGAAGGGGGAAAAACAAAAAGAACTAGAAGAAAACAGCCCAAGCCTGCACGGCCCCCATCACCGCAACGACGATTCCATTCGCCAATACTCCGCGACGCAGATACCATGCGGAACTGGCCCACACGATACCTGTCATTAGGGCCGCGATGGCCTGGTTGATTGGTTGTTGGAGGAGGGAGGGGGTTTGGGACCAGGAGTAGTTTATTAGTGCTATTATCGTTGTTATTATTCAGATCGGTGTCATAGTTTGGGTATGTTTGGTTATGGTTATGCATTGGTGGTGAGGGATGGGTTGGTGATGATGTCATGACTTATGGATCTCCCTCCGCAAGTGAGCGGTTCCTCGGAATCTAGTAACGAGTATAGACAGATAGATGCCTCGAGTTGCATGATATCACATCATAGCATACCATAGCATAGATAGGGTATAGCAACGAATGAAATATGGAATTGAAAGATGAGACATACCCGTCATCAAGAAAAATGCACTTCCCTGGTACCAGCCGACTTTACCGCATGTATAGGGTAGATTAGGCAGGGCGCGGAACTGCGGCGTGGATTGCCAGTCTTTGGCGGAGAGCTGGTGTTCCATCGTTTTGTTAATGTGGTAGTTGATGTATGGCTAGAATCGGTAGGGTAGGTAATTGAGGGAAGGGAAGAAGGAGGATGTGTATACCGTGTGGCCGAGAGAAATGATGAGCCATCCAGTGGCTGTTGCTTGGAGGCGAGTGGACATCTTGATTTATCTTGATTTGGGCACTCGTGGCTTGATTGAGTTGGATTGAAGTGCAAGGAGATTGGGAGGTGGAAAGTAGAGACAGAGAGAGAAGGAGAGGGAGAGATCAAATGGTGAAGAGTGCCAAGACTGGGGTTGTGCCGAGGTTCATTTAAGGAATTGAAGGAATTGAGTTGGAGTAGTATAATTATAGGGATGATCCTTGCTCCATTGCGCTAACTTTGGGTTTTTATAAAAGGGAGTAGTCTCGGATATTCTTCCTTATGTACTTAGAAAAGGGAAGCTACGTTTTCCCTATACTGTTGACTATGGACAGCCAAACTGATAATCGGGCTTCTATAGTTCAGCGAGACTACGGTATGATGTTTGTAGAAAGATTGACTTACTGAAATACTAAGGTGCTGTAGGTGGGAGTTCGGGAGATGGGCTTGACCATCTTTGTCGGAATGCTTGGCTAATTTCCTCAGGCTTTCAATTATCTACGGCAAGAAGGCTGAGGCACGCCATGTGATGTGACGGTTGATGCATGAATCGTTGGATCACGTGTGGATTGGCATTCTGACGTGGCAGGGGCAATAACATCTTCCCTTACACCTACCTAATCAGTTCATTTCACAAGATCCTAGGATAAAGCCCCCCTAAATCTCCTACACATGACCACCAAAACTCGATCCCACGATGATTACACGGTTGGATGGATCTGCGCCCTTCCCCTGGAGATGGCTGCAGCCAAGCTGATGTTAGATGAACTCCATCCGCAACTGTCACAACCTCATCAAGATACCAACACGTACGTACTGGGGAAGGTTGCAAATTATAATGTGGCAGTCGCATGCCTTCCATCCGGTATCTACGGAACCACCTCCGCAGCAATTGTGGCGAAACAGATGCTGTTCACCTTTCATTCCATCCAGTTCGGACTGATGGTGGGTATTGGCGGCGGGGTTCCGCTTTTGGCTGATATTCGCCTCGGCGATATTGTGGTCAGTCAGCCCAGCGGCTGCCTACCCGGTGTTGTGCAGTATGACTCCGGCAAAACAGGAGAATCGGGACGCCTGCAACGCACTGGAACGAGAAACCTGCCTCCTCAAGAGCTTTTAACCGCCATGTCGCACGTGGAGTCGAATCGCATGACTGGGAAATCTCAGCTTCAGGATCTTATCTCTAAAGTGGTTATAAATGACGAGCTATCTGATTTCCACTCGCCAGGACCAGACCAGGACACGCTCTTCAACGCATCCTATCGTCATGACCCATCTTACCCTGACTGCTCAAGCTGTGATCGAAGCCAGATAGTGGACCGTAAGCCGAGATCCTCTGATTTACCTAGAGTGTTCCGCGGAACAATAGCATCTGGTAATCAGGTTATGAAAGATGGGCAGACGCGGGACGAGTTAGCGCGGGAATTAGGTATCTTATGCTTTGAAATGGAGGCAGCCGGCCTGATGGACCATTTCCCCTGTTTGGTGATTCGGGGAATTTGCGACTATGCCGATAGTCACAAACACAAAGCTTGGCAGGGGTATGCAGCTATTACGGCAGCTGCATATGCAAAAGAGCTTCTATCAGAAGTACCAGCCAAACAAAAAAAGACGACTCAAGAAGATAGTTGTCTTGGTTAGTATCATGCTTGTTGGGTGTAGAGGATCACGGTTAACCCCCATTAGAAAGGTTCACTGTTCGTTCTAGTACAATGGATCTGCCACAGACATCGAGTTTCATCGGCCGAGAAAAGGAACTTGCAGATATCGATCAAAAGCTTCGCAACAACAGTCTGAAACATATTGTTGTTCTTCATGGTCTTTCTGGAATAGGCAAAACCCAGCTCGCGGCAAGATACGTCATGGAACATCGAAGTGAATACACAGCTGTGTTCTGGCTGGATGCTTCAGACCCAAGGACATTAGGACTCAGTTTCCTGAACATGGCATATCGGATTGCTCTCGACCATGCATCCGAAGACAATTTGAAAAGCATCATCGATTATCAGAACTCTCCCGCACAACAGCTATCAAAGCAATTCAAACGCCTCAAAGACGATATGCAGACCTCCTCGCTGATCTTATTGATCGATAAGATAAAACATATGCCATATTTCAAAGGAGACGTGTTTGCACCAACCGCCCATGAAGAGAAAATGAAGGTCGACCAAGATAACCCTGTCGTGGAAGCGATGAAGATGTGGTTGAGCCAACCAGGAAACACTCGGTGGCTGTTAGTATACGATAATTACGATGCTGAGAAATACTCTTCATTACAAACAGAAGACCCTGTGACACTTCGATCTTTTCTACCCGATGCAATGCAAGGACACGTTATTGTCACAACCATATCAAAACTCAGGTTCGGAGACATGGTCCACGTTCAGAAGATGGACAGTCAGCAAGGGCTTCGGATCTTATCTTCAGCATCAGGCCGATCAAACCTGGAAGAAGGTGCTCAATTTTGCCCCAGTCTACTATAATTACTAACCTCTGATTCAGACCCCCTTGCCTGTGACCTAGTGGATGAAATGGATGGAGTGCCTCTCCCTTTGGCTACCGCAGGGAGGTACTTAAGCCAAGTATCCATCTCCTGCGGTGCATACCTTGATCTATATAGGAAAGAATACTTCAAGCTTGAAGAACATACGCCTCACCTACCTGATTATGAGAGAACGACATACAGCAATTGGATGATTATCCTTCAGAGGTTACGCTCGTTCAAGAGTCAGGGTCCATACTACCTTTTGCGTTACTGGGTGTATTTTGACAACCGCGACCTCTGGCGCGAACTTCTTCTAGATTTTGGAAGTTCGTCTATCTCTCCTATAGTCAATGACCCCTTTGCATTCCATGAGGCTATGTGTGTTCTTCTTGAACATGGAATGGTAGAGATTGGATCAGATCCGCGCAATGCAGCGAGTCAGTCCAGAGGCTATAGCCTACTCAAACCTGTGCATTCATTTCTCACGCACTACTTTGAGTTGACACCCAATAGATACGACCCTTTATCTGATAGATCTTTCCTATGCGTCGGAAAATATGCAAGCATGCTACTTGAAAGGCGCAATTACGATGATTTTCATCGCTGGGTTTCGCATGCAAATAAATGCTGGGACCTTGTCAATTGTGGAATTGCCGCCCAGGATCATGAATATGCTTCGCTCTTTGCTTACAGATGCCACGATATTGGTTTGGCGATGTGGCGAGGCAGTGAATGGGTCAATCCTAGGGCCTCGGCTAGGTATCTCAATGCTTTCAACGTTAACACCCCCAACCGCGTGGATAATCATCTGAGGGCGGAGCGTTGGTTGAAGCTTGCTCTAAATCTAGAGAGCTCTGCTGAGTCTAACTTTGTCACGAAGACTGTGATATTAAATGATTTGCATCGCATTTACGCATGCAATGGAGAGTGGTTGAAAGCCCTCAACATGGGGTTATCTGTATTGGACGTCTACCATAACACCAACCCAACTGAAAGATTCAGATATAGTTTTGGTTGGTGTCTTATCATTTACTCTATCTACGGGATGTGGTGCTTCCTGTGCTCCTGGGCCAGCCCGTTCTTGTTCATTGCTTTCATTTTTTCTATATCCGATACCTCTGTGTATGAAAAAGCTGTGATGATTGCTGAATCGTGCGTCTTCCTGCTGCCATGTCTGTTCTTCGCTCATTATCTAGCGCGCTGGGAAGTATACGCACTGTGGATGCTGTTGGTATTGTCCATGGAGGCCTACTTCTGGTCTTGCGGTACACTGCATGCGTTTGATGGTTATGACGCTGTGCGATACTGTATTATATTAATCTTTCATATACTGAGAATGGCTGGTGCAGCAGTACACACAGGGCTGGATAGGAATGCATAAATAGTTATGAGCGGATTGAATTCAAGATGGACACGATCTAGTGAGCATAGCAATTGATCCTTTTCTTGCTATAGATTCGCTATCTGGTTAGACCTTGTAGGTGTTAGTTGCGACGTCTCCCTTACCAAACTGTCTGCCGTATCTCTCTAATATCGTATCCATAAGGCAGTACTATAATATTGTGCATACAGTATAACCCCAAAGACTGCAAATGCCAATTACGCTAGAACATGTGACGGACTATCCTCCAAAGTCCATGATATGTCGAACGATGGTAATGGGATCTATTTCTTGAACCGGGGAATATATTGCGGCTTGCCGAGGATGCCCGTTATACTAGGTACCCTTGAAGTACTCGCACGATAAATCATTCAGGCAAGTCCCTGACGTCGCTCTGGCACTGCATATGGTGACGTCCATTGCAAAACAAACTCATATATCGAGAAGCTCAAAGCCCCCGAGACCTGAACCTTCAATCAGCACATAACATTCCACCAAAACCCAAATCGAAAGGAAACTCACACTCAACCTCACTAACCTCGGCGTCGTCCCTCTCCACAACGCCGAAACTCCCTCCTTCACGACCACCGACCGCAAACAGTCCACCGACCCTGTATACTGCTGACGCGCATCCCCCGCCTGCAACCTCGTCTTGATCGTATCAAACGGCATCGTCACATAAACCGTAACTACGCCAGCTAACGCCCCCGCAACCACCGTGATCATCGACTTGCGCCATCCCTGCTGTGTCCCCTCACCTATCATGACTGCAGTCAATTGATTCAAAATAAAATTATAGCTCGTGAACCGCACCATCGCATTCGCCGACTGCTTCAACGTCACAGGCACAACACCCCTATACAGACCCGGCAGTCCCTCTCGCGACACTATCGACCCGATCCCATGCGCCGTCGAGCGGTAACGTCTCGGTCCCGCCCGGTCATCGATCATCTTCGTTTTGATCGTTTCGCCAGGCGTCACGACTACCACGGCCTCTGCGATGCCGGCGACTAAGCCTGCGCACATGTTGCCTAGGGGTGCCACCTTCCCGTGTGGGTCGGTGGGCATGAGCTTTCGGGCGCTGTCGAAGGCGAAGAACCGGATGGCGGATTTCGAGGCGTTAGAGGCGCAGAATACACCGCTTCCTGTGTATAGGGTGCGGAGGCCATGGTGGCGGATTGTGCTTGTGAGGAGGGAGATTAGGGATTGGCGGGTGCTGCCTGGAATGGGGAGTTGTTGGCGGGTTTTGAGGTATTCGGTGGGATACTGGTGGTTTGGTTAGTCGGGGGTTTGATTTGAAAAGGGATTGGGAAAGGGATTGGGAAAGGAGGGCGGTGCTTACGGTGAGTAGACTCTCTGTGCCTCCGGCTGCTCCACCGGCGAGGATGGATTGCCAGGGTGAGATGCCTTTTTTGTTAGACATGGCGGAGGGTTAGATTGGTTGGTTGAGTCGATGCCCGAGAGGGATGGCAAAAACCAGGTATGACATTGTCCGTCATTTTTATTTTATTATGTATTTCAAGTAAGAGCCCTTTGAAACAGTTCACAGTTGCCCCGTTTGTTTATCCCGATGGAGAGTATTCTGAGTCCTGACGGAGATGGAGAAGCCGCGGAGTCACTCCGCGCTGGAGGAGTCCGGGGAGGCCGCGGGCAGTTGGTCTCGGAGCGCTCCGAACAACACAAGTTCCGGCTTCATCGTCCGGAGAGGATCGGGGATTTGCCACAAATGAGAAAGACCAAAGATCGAGATAGATTGGCCTTCTCCATGCCAAGGCGCGTATCCTATCCGGGGTTGTATTATTTATTCGCGAAGTTGGGTCTGTAAGTTGAGTTGGTTGCCATCGTCCGATTCATAGTGCATCAACACCGCATACAAACACCATGGGCTCGGAAGTATTGCAACTGTTTCCTAACGGTGGATGGGATGTTCACCACCATATTTTTGAGCGTAAGTCCCTCATCCCTGGCATCTAGATTTAAACATCAATTTTTATTCATTTTTTCTCGAATTTATAGCCGTGCGGTTCTCCTACGCCCCCGACCGCCATCTCACGCCTCCCCCAGCAACCATCAAAAACTACCTCGACTTCAAGCAAAAGCTCGGTCTCACCAACTCCGTCCTCACCCATGGCCTCTCCTACGGCGCCGACTGCTCCTCCCTAACCACCTTCACGTCCGACCTCGGCCCCGACACCACTCGAGCCATCGGTGTAATCGACCCTAGCACCGTAACCCCCTTGCAGCTGCAAGCTATGCAGCGGGCAGGCGTCCGCGGTATCCGCGTGAACCTGTACCGCTATGGGGCCATGCACGACGTCGAGGCGCAGAAGACGGCATTACGCGAACACGCGCGGGCTTTGGGCTCCCAATGCGCGGGATGGAGCATGGCGTTCACGCATACCCACCCGGAGTTCTGGAGTGAGTTGACCCCCGTGATTGAGCGCGAGATCGTGCCGACGGGGATCAAGCTGGTTACGGATCATTTCGCGCTGCTGAAGGGCGCGAGTATGTTGTCGGGTGCTGGGGATGGTCCTGCCAGCGATGTGTCGAAGCAGCCAGGATTCGCGGAGATCGTTGACCTAGTGCGGGCCGGGCATCTTTATATTAAAATCAGTGCTCCGTATCGTGTTAGCAAACAGGCGCCGGATTATGCTGATTTGAAGCCCCTGGTGCGCGCGTTCTTCGATGCTAATCCGCGGCAGGTTCTTTGGGGGAGTGATTGGTATGTTTCCCCTGTTTCGTCTCACGTTGGTGTTGAGGAAGTGGGCTAAGATTGTTTAGGCCTCATACGCCGTTGATGAAAGTACGGACTCACGAGGAAGCGATGAAGGAGACGCCGTTCTTGGAGGTGGATGATCTGGCGTGGTTGAAGAGTTTGCGGTCGTGGTTGTCGGCTCGGGAATGGCATATGTTGATGGTGACGAATCCGCAGAGTCTGTATGATTCGGAATAGTTATAGTAAGAATTATGTGGATGCCGTGATGACGTCCCGGCAGAATCAATTTACTTCAAGATTTTATTGAGTACATGAACAACTAGTGGTCACTCTAGGAGTATGCACCTGGTAGGGCAGAGCCACCCCCGTGATCTGCTGCGTAATCTCTTCCCGCGTGGAATTTCTACCCCGGAAAGCCAAGCGTCTTTTCCCCACTGACAGACACTGCGACTGCCACTTGCGCGCATCGTCTCTCTTCTCCACCATCATCCCAGTAGAGTTTTCATCCGCCTGCATCATGCAAGACCTGTCCAGATAATCCACATATTCGATCACAATGACCGACGCGAGGATGTCTTCGGAAGACGGGACCTCGGCCGCTCAGCCGCCGAGGAAAGTTCGTTCTGCGTGTCGCCGATGTCGACAGAAACGGGTCAAGGTGAGTTTTGCCGGACAGTCCAGACTAATGCTGTTTCTGATGGATGCAGTGCGATGGGACGATTCCGGCTTGTGGGAATTGTGCTCGTGCGAAGGTACCCTGTGTGGATGTGCATGGTGGGAATAATGACTTGTCAATCCCGCGGGAGTGAGTGTGGTGCACGAGAATCCATCATCGAAAAGCCAGCTGACAATTTCACAGTTTTGCTGTGCGATGCTGCGCCCGCATCAAATGGCTGGAACAGCAGATCTGTTCTCTCCATCCCGAATTCGATCTGTCGCAGGGTCCTCGGGTAAATGTGGGTTTCATGGAGAGGCTGTCATCGCAAGGCAGTTCCCGTACACTGGAAAATGACGTCCCTGACATCCCGCCTCGCACTGCAGAAGTTCCCGTGGAATCTACAGAAGAAGAGACCGGCAACAAGCGATCTCATACCACGATGGAAGACTTGGAAGGGGAACGGCCGATTTCCGCCAAGGCGCGCTCGGTAGCCATTGATCTTGGAATGCTCTCGCTGCAGTCCGACTCGCGTCAGAAGTATTATCTGGGATCTTCGTCGGGGCTGTTCTTCACAAAACTTGTGGGCTTAGATAGTGAGCTGCTGTCGTCGAACCCGACGGCTCTTACTACAGTGAATTCACGCCGGATAGCGCCTATGCATATCTCGAATGAGATTTACCAGTCGCTTTACACGAGGCTGGACAAGGTGAGAAGAATGCCTGGCGGCCCTGAATGAATTAAACTGACCGCTTGAAGGAACTGCCCTCGCCCGAAGATGCACGCATTTTACTAGAGATCTACTTCCAACACATCCACATTGACCACCCTTTTCTGCACCCGGCATCTCTGGTCTACGCATATAACGCGCTACGGTCATGCGTGCAGCGCGGATACCATGGATCGGTCGATCGGAATGGCTGGATTCATAACGTTGAACCGTTCCCATATAACGGAAAATTTGACATGCTGGCCGACCAAAAGTTCACGCCAATCTCAGTTTTCACCGCAGTGTTCCACGTATTCATGGCCATGTCCCTGGCTGCAACGGTGTTGACGCGAAAGAAAAATTACGACTTCTCTCCCTCACGGCTCCATCGCATGGCAATATCCACAGCGTCTGAGTGCTTCTCAAGCATCTCGACAACCGCGTTACAAGCAATCCTTCTGCTAGCTGTACAGAGCACGATAGAGCCGGCTGGTCTCAGCATTTGGACATTATCGCACTTGGCCATGTCGCATTGTGTCGATCTGGGTCTTCATCGAGAGCCAAGTGATAACTCGGAAATGTCCTCATGCGCTAACACGATTCGAAGATTCATTTTCTACACTGTCTACTCTCTTGACCGGTAAGAATGTTTCAACTCCTAAACTTTCTGCTGCTAACAAGCTCTGTAGATCCATAGCAACGATCCAGGGTCGTCCACTAGGCATACGTGACGAGACATTCGACGTCAGACCGCCAACAAATGCAGACATTCCTGACATGTTGACCGTGTCGGAGAACGAGCTTACAGTGCGCCTTCCGTCACCTCAGCATCTTGCGCTGTCAATTTGCCGCTTCAAATTGCTCCAGCACATCTCAGAGATCAAAATCCTTTTCTATCATCTCCCGACTCAAAGTCGAAGCTTCGTCTGGCCAACAGGCCTGAGCGACATCCAAGCACGGATCAAGTCCGATCTCGACTGCTGGCTAGCAGAGGTCTCGGGCATCCTTCCTACCGCAGACATGGAGGAAGATGAGGTGTTGAAACTGCATTACGAAAAGATGCGCCATGAACAGCTCTACCACTCCACAGTTTCCCTGCTTTTCCAGCCGTCGCAGGTGTTCCCTTCACCGACCCACGATGCGCTTTCCATCTGCTACCACAGTTCGAGCAAGCGTTTACAAATCTACGACATCCTCGGAAGCAGGGAGATGCTATACTACAGCTGGCGTAACATCCATGGAATTTTCTCGTCCGGCGCAACAATTGTCTACTGTGCCTGGGCATCTCGCGGTCTCCAGGGCATGGTGCCTTTCTCTAAATTAATGCGCGACTTGCGAATATGCTCGAATCATCTCAGTATCGGAAGTCAGTGGTGGCCATCGGTACGCGATGGCAAAGAGAGTTTCGAGAAGATGATTGACGTGGTTACCAAACATCTAAGCCACCTCCACGAGCCTTCATCCCTGCCGCCCCGGCAGCGACGACGCGGCTCACCGAAGCCTCAGCTGGATCTTCGAGAAAATGGCGAAACTGAGATGGGGAAAGAAAGTGTGAATGTCTTAGCCCATGATGGCGCAGGAAACGATCGGCAAACCCGGTCCTCCGTTTTCCAGGGCGCGAATGCCGCACTCACGCCGATGAGCGCTCAGCCACTGTTCGACGGCCAGTTCGATTTTTTGTCGTTACCGTTTGATCCGATATTCGATGAACTAGATGTCATGCCCATCGAATCGGCGATGGAAAATTTCATGGCGGAATATCTACACGATGATTGGGGCTGGGATCCGTTTTCTGGGTCGATGGGCACGTCCGATAATCACGCTGCTGGCCCTACTTAGACATATAGGACGATTACGCCTTCTTAACTCATGACAGTGATTCGATTGCTCTAAACCATCCTATCTAAATACCTTCAGGCCGTTCTTATTTTCTAAGTCTCTTGATCGTGGGCCCGATCTCGTCGCCTCTTTCTAAACACTTTCGGGTTTCCTCATCAATTTCGTACCGCTCCTGGCAAAGACGCACGCATTCCTCCACCGTGCTAGTAGGGATGGCCACGACTCCATCTACATCGCCCATGATATAATCGCCCGGCTCGATGACCACCTTCTCATCGATTTCCACATTCTCATAGGTAACAGGCACATTCAGCTCCGACGATCGCGTAAAGGTGTTCGATCCCAGGATACTCAGGCCGCGCGCAAACAAGCCAATGTTCAACGCGCGATGCTCCTCCACGTCCCGGAACCGACCGTCGATGACCACCCCGGCCGCTCCGCATTTCTGCGCCCGAGTGCTCATCAACCCGCCCCAGCATGCACTGATCAGTCCCTTGGGCTGCGAGACGAAGACAACGGCGTCCTTGGGGATGGCGTCGGCGAAATGACACGGGGGGCTGGGTGCGGACTTGTCGGCGGCGGGTACCATGCGCACGGTGTACGCGGGACCGAAGATTTTGGAGGCGGCGCTGGTCGCTGGTCCGGGGCTGTACATCTGCAGGCCGGAGAGGTAGCCGCCGTGAGGGAGTCCGAGTTTGACGAGAGCATCACCGATCTGAAATTTGCTGTCAGATTCTGCCCTCATTCATCGGTTGCGCGCGAAAATTGAAGGAGAGAAAACTCACGTCACAGGATGTGAACTGCCGCAAGGCTTGGATAGCTTTTGTTCGGGCCGCCATTATTGTGGAAGATACGGTCGCAAGGGATGAGCTGAATGGGTCTGACAATCGGCGTGGCGAGAATTCAAAGGTAAGTTGCCAGCTTGCCACAATAGTGCGGAGAAGGTTGAAGCAATCAGGAGATGCATCATCGTAATCAAATCAACGCCAACATTCCGGAGTTGATGCCGCAGGCTCCACCCGGAGCGCTCCAGGCCCCATCTCGGAGCGCTCCAGCTTCTCCGGATTTTCTAACTTGAGATACCCTCGGCTTTGTCGATTTGGCTGTACCGGATTAATTTCTTGGGGGGGAAAGTTAGAAGTCATGTTCTGTTTTGTGTTTTCTCTCTTCTCCTTTCTGTCTCCTATTCATCCTCTGTGTCATCGTTGAGGTTGCAACATGAGGCAGTACAACCTCTCGCAATTGTCGCACGCCGCGGCGGCGATGCGCATGCGCAACCCGTCGCATATCCGACACTTCGCAAGCTACAGCGGAAGCCAGAAAATCCTCGGGGTCGACTATGGCAAGCAACTGGCGAATCTTAACTTGCTGAAACAGCGATCGCGACAACGTCCGTTGACGTTGACCGAAAAACTACTATACAGCCACTTGATCCTGGACGACCAGAACGCAAACACATGGAGTCTCGATGAGATTGAGCGCGGGAAAACCATTCTGGAATTGCGACCGGATCGCATTGCTTGTCACGATGCGACCGCGACCATGGCCCTGCTGCAATTCATCAGCGCGGGACTCCCGCGCGTCATGGCGCCCACGACTGTGCATAGTGACCATCTGATTGTGTCGGAGAAGGGCGCGGAAGAGGATCTCCGGCGCGCGAAAACTGAACACTCCGAGGTCTATGAATTTTTGAGCAGTGCGTCGAGGAAATATGGGATTGGGTTTTGGAAGCCTGGGTCGGGGATTATTCATACGGTGATTTTTGAGAACTATGCGGTGTGAGTTTCCTGTATCCATGTTCGAGACCGGGCGGAAAGCTGACTTTTGATCAATTTTAGACCCGGTGGACTGATTATCGGAACCGACTCGCATACTCCGAACGCAGGTGGACTGGGAATGCTCGGAATCGGAGTCGGTGGTTCAGACGCCGTAGATGCCATGTCCGGGATGCCGTGGGAACTCGTTGCGCCGAATGTCGTTGGAGTCCGATTGACCGGCCAGCTGCAGGGCTGGACCTCGACCAAGGATATCATCTGCAAGCTGGCCGGCATCTTGACCGTCTCCGGTGGCAAGGGCCAAGTGATTGAGTTCTTCGGCCCCGGCACAGAAACGCTGGGAGCGACGGCCATGGCGACGATCTGTAATATGTCTGCGGAGATCGGGTCGACGTCTTGTATCTTCCCGTATTCCGAGTCGATGGCTCGCTACCTGGGCGCCACCAAGCGCGATTATGCAGCTCGAGCGGCGGACGGCGTCAGGGATGTTCTGTTGACTGCTGACGAAGGATCCGAGAACTACTATAATCAAGTCATCGAGATCAATCTCAGCACGCTGGAACCTCATGTAAACGGTCCGTTCACGCCAGATCTGGCGCATCCCATCTCCCAGCTGAAGAAGGCCGCTTCGGAGAAGGACTGGCCCGGCGAGCTGAGCCACGCCATGGTAGGGAGCTGCACGAACAGCTCCTACGAGGACCTGGATAAGACCAGGCAGCTAGTCGCCCAAGCCAAAGCGGCCGGGCTGAACAGATTCAAGGTCCCATTCCTGCTCAGTCCCGGAAGTGAGCAGATCCGCGCGACGGCAGAAGCAGAAGGGATTCTTGAGGAGCTGCGCGAGGCCGGAGCCACCGTTCTCAGTAGTTCCTGCGGTCCTTGCGTAGGGTCGTGGGATCGCAAGGATGTGGACGTCAAGGGGAAGGAAAAGAACTCGGTGATCTCCAGCTTCAACCGCAACTTCGTGGGCCGACACGACAGCAACCCGGCGACTCATTCGTTCGTGACGTCGCCTGAATTGGTGACGGCCTTTGCCTACTCCGGTCGTTTAGACTTCAATCCTCTGACCGACAGCATCCCAGCTGCGGATTCGCAGCCCTTCCAATTCTCAACCCCAACGAGCCACGAGCTTCCGGTCAGCTATGAATCCGGCCTCGACACATTCCAGGAGCCTCCGTCAGATGGATCCTCGCTCTCTGTCGCCGTCAACCCCCAATCCGATCGCCTTCAGCTGCTGACTCCGTTCCCCGCCTGGGAGCCCGCCTGCGCCAACAACATGGAGCTCCTAATCAAGGTGTCCGGGAAATGCACCACCGATCACATCTCCCCGGCAGGGCCATGGTACAAGTATCGCGGTCACCTTGAAAACATCAGTAACAACATGCTCACGACCGCCACCAATGCCTTCCTCCCACCGGGGCCCCAAATGCTCGGCCACACGCGCAACCCGGTAACGTCGACCAACGACCTGCAAGTCGTCCCAGATGTCGCCCGGGATTTACAATCCCGCGGCATTCGCTGGTGCATCGTCGGCGACCACAACTATGGTGAGGGCAGCTCGCGCGAACACGCCGCCCTAGAACCGCGATTCCTCGGCGGCGTGGCCGTCATTGCACGTTCGTTTGCGCGCATCCACGAAACGAACCTTAAGAAGCAGGGCATGCTGCCGCTTACATTCCAGGACGCTGCGGACTACGAGCGCATCATGGATGGGGATCGGATTACTCTAGTGGGTGTTGAGGAGGGGGAGCTGCAGCCTGGCAAATCCGTTACTATGAGGGTTACTCCGAGGACGGGGGCCGTGTGGGAGACCCAGTTGAATCACAGCTACCATGCGGGTCAGATCAAGTGGCTTCGTGCGGGGAGTGCCTTGAACCATATTAAGGCTAAGTTTGGGAATAACTGAGCCGCGTTGTAACTTGTGGGAGTTGGGAGGCGCTATGTAGCTATCTGTCTACTTCGGCCATGTTCCGGTCCGGTTTATCCTGTCTTATGATGTATGTAGAGCTAGAACTTGATTGTAGATATCGTTGAATACTCGTCCGGTGTCTGTATCTGGTAAACGTAAGTAGATCCTTCGCTTAACCTTAGTCTTAGCCACCGACTAACTGATAGGAGTGCTGCATTTGCCGAGTAAAAGAACAGAAGAGAGGCAAAAGGACTAGAACCGTCGAATCAGAAACCCTATAATGGACCGTGGTCAGCCTCCACAATGGACCCAGCGGAGCACTCCGCGTTTCTGGCTACTTGCCCTCCCCCAACTCCCGGAAGGCTCCTCACCCCGGATCGGCGGTCTTGGGGGGCTTGCTTGTGTTGCATGACTGACACGCCTGACAGGCTCGTCCGGGGTAGTCCTGGTCTTGGCTTTTTGTCCGGTGTGGTTCAATACGTCGTGGCGCGGGGATTGATTGATATAAACATGGAGAGGTGAACTGCTGTCGCAGAGGGAAGGTCAGGAAGATTCTTACGTTGTTTGCGAGTGAACCTTTCTCAGATCCTCCCTCTTCTTCGGACTTTTGAGCCTTCTCAAGTGAAGTGGATTCGACACGGCTATAATCCCCCATCCCAAGTCAAACATTCCCCACTTCCCCTGCACCGAGAGAAAATGGGAGCCGGTGGAGGAGGCTGGTCCAATGAGGCTATTAAACGAGTCCCGCCTCAAGCTCGCGGCGTGTACATCTGGCTCGCCATCATCTGGGCCTCGTACTGCGGTGGTCTTCATGGCTTTAACACGGCGAATATCTCGGGCACGATGAGTCTGAAGCCATTTGTCAGGGACTTTGGGTGGACGGAGTTGCCGAAAGCTACGGTGTCGGACTATTCGGGATGGGTGGTTTCGTCGATGTTGTTGGTAGGTGTTCTTTTCCTTTGTTTTCTGCAGTATTCGACTTCTGAGGATCATACGCTAAGTGTTGTAGGGTCAAACGGCAGGTGTCCTTCTTTGCGGACCTATTGGGGAGCGTCGGGGTCGGAAACCCGTCATCATGGGCTCCGCTGTCCTCTACACCATCGGGGCCATCCTGATGGCCGCCAATTTTGGCTCGCTTGCCGAGCTGCTCGTGGGTCGCGTCCTGTCCGGTCTGGGCTCTGGCTTCGGCATGGTCGTAGGCCCTATCTATATCTCCGAGGTAGCGCCCACTGAGATGCGAGGCATGATGACGACGTTCTATAACATCAACATCATGGCCGGCGTGGCGGGCAGCTACTGGATCAACTACGCCTCACTGGAAGTTATCCCCGCCACGTCCAGCTGGCAATGGCGTGCCACGCTCGTCCTACAGCTCATCCCCGCACTCGCCCTCTTTCTCGGATTCCCCTTCTTCCCAGAATCCCCTCGATACCTGATGCTCCGGGGCCAGGCACAAGCGTCACACGACAGCCTCTCACGCCTCCGCGGCCTGGACACCAGCAACGAGTACTTCGCGCGGGAATTCAACGAGCTGCAAGCCCGCATGTCCGCGCACGCCGAGTCGCAAAGCGCCCTCCAGGCCTTCAAATCACTACTCGGGTCCTGCATCACCGACCCCCCGACGCGCAAACTCCTCCTCTTCGTCGTCATCATCCAGACCTTCTTCATCATGTCCGGCGGCAACTCCATCACCTACTACGCCCCCACCATCCTCAAATCCATCGGTCTCGACTCCACCCAAATCCTCCTCTTCAGCGCCGTCTACGGCCTCGTCAAGCTCGTCAGCGTCCTCCTCTACGCCTTCATCCTGACCGACCGCTTCGGCCGCCGTCCTCTCCTCCTCATCGGCTCCACCCTCAACGTCATCTGTCTCTGCTACCTGTCCGTGTACCTCGGCGTCGCAGACCTTTCCGCCAAAGACGCCTCCCCGTCCCCAGCAGCGTGGGTCGCCATCGTCGCTATCTGCATCTTCGCCATCGGCTACGGCATCGGTTGGGCACCTGCGTTCTCGCTCACCGCGTCGGAGATCTGTCCGACGCCGATCCGCGGCACGGTGGTGACGCTGGCGTTCGTGTATCAGAACTTGCTGAACTTTGGCATCACGCGCGGATTCCCGAATATGACGGTTGATATGCAGGCGTGGGGTCCGTTTGCGCTGTTCACGGCGTTCACGGCCCTAGCGACCGTGTGGGTTTTCTTGGCGTTTCCGGAGTGTAAAGGGCGGAGTATGGAGAGTGCGGATAAGCTGTTTTCGTTACCGTGGTGGAGGATTGGGTTTGTGAAGGTTGGGGAGGATGAGGATGGGGTTCGGGGGAGGGAAAATAAGGGGGATGTTGAGGAGGGGATGGAGGTGGAAGAGAAGAGGAGCGAGAGTGAGCATTGGGAGGAGGTGGAGGGGAGTAAGAGGGGTTAAATTGTTAAGAAAGGGGTATGATTAGAGGTGGTAGGAGGTATATATTGTTGTTGATACTAGGGAATGTTGTTCCATTGGTATACTTGGTTACTACTATACTGTAGTACTGGTTGTTGTAGGCGATGGATGTATAGTTCCATTCCTTGGGCCAAACTTCCATCTTTCGTGCCACCTCTAAGGCTCTCTAGGTACCTACATACAACTTACTACATATCAAGTATAATGTGAGGACCCGTGAAAGTCACGCCGAAAATGACGTTCCACTCGTAACTCACTCAGCGGCGAGCCGCCGCTTTAATGTTCCCACCACGTGCCTCGCACCAGAGCTTATCCTGACTCCTGCTACCCTCCCTCTTAACCCCTTGTCACACCCGATCAAATTATTTGCCGTCACCAAAACAGTTATCTCCTCTGTACATCTTTGCTAAAAGTCTGCGCGGCCACGACTACGATTATACATATTTCATTTCGCCATGGGCTTCCATCATGCTGACACTCTCGAGGAACATAACTGGGTTGGTGGAGGACTCGACGCTTATATCTACCATGTCACTCCAACTATTGTGGTAAAAACCGTTCGTCGCGACCGAACCCCTGAAGAAAAGGCAGCGGAGCATCCTTTCCTCAACGAGATCGCGTTTTACAAACGCCTTAATGAGCGCCAGGATCGATGTTCGAATATTGTCGAATGCTTTCTCATACTCCCAGACTATCTTTTCCTATCATATTGCCCGCGTAGGGCAATTGCCCCTCGCTTCTACGAACGCCAGGAGCGAGAGACAGGGACGAATGGGTTTCATGGGCGTCTGATCAGGGTCAAGGAATACGAGGATCCTGCCCTGATCGCTCGGTGGATACAACAAATCACGTCGGCCCTTGAGTATGTGGAGAAAATGGGATTCTGTCACAATGATCTGCATGCAAGCAACTGTCTTCTTGACGGTGATTTCAACTTGAAGCTGGCTGATTTTGGTCGGGCCACCACGATTGGACAACCGCTTGAAGGTACCTTGCCTCCGCGGGCTAAACCAATACTTGCTGGACCATTGAAAGGCACATACGGTCTATGTTCCGCCAGAACGGAACAGTTTGCAGTTGGGACACTTCTATACTTCATGGTATATGGCCATGAACCCTATGACGACGTTGTCTTAAGCGCCGCGGAATGGGATCGTCGATTTGGGGAAATGGAGTTTCCTGAACTTAACCGCCATGCAGTTTTTGATGGTCTCATTGCTGCTTGTTGGCATAATGTTTATCCTACAATGGCCTTGCTAGCGTACGACTTTAAGCGCAAAACAAAGGATATGGTCTTGAATGCAGAGTACATCTTCATTGACTCTGCAAAGGAGACAAAGACCTGCGAAGCATTGGTTCGCAGAGGCTTGCTGGGACCTGAGTTGGCTCTCCGCTTTCAGCCGGCCTGGCGAAGACTTCTACATGCTATTGTGAAGAGAAGCATGTTTATCTGGCAGTGCTTTCTACGAAGATTCTGGACCTGAACTACTTGATCGGTTGGGGCTTGTACCATCTGGATAGCTGAGGTGCTTCAACTAGTGTGCATATTAAGCTAGTTTTCCGGTGGAGAATGGGCGCATTTCCGGCACTTGGGTAATCACAGGGCCCTCTTGTCAATCACAGGCAGATAAAATCGTCAGAGGGGATAGGAATTGGACAGAGACAGAGACTGGGGAGACCCGAAAGGACATCCGACATCGGATACCGTATATCGATTGCTTTTACGATGCCAGACTACCATCGCTATACGAGGAGGACGGTCGAGCGGAGACCAGGGGCTGCCTGAGTCCATGGTGTCAAGAGATCTCCACCAGGAGGGTAATGAACAGGTCCGAGCCAACAACGCAGCTGCGAATTTCCAGGATCGGGGTCAGACGACAGGTTGGCGACTCCAAAATCCAAAGAGGGAATGATGGGGAATGGCAGGGCGAGCGCCTTCTTAAAAAAAGGCGAATCGTCGAATAACGCGGCATCCTTCGCAGGAGGCAGTGCGCACCGGGCGGGAAGGACGGAGGGAGGGAAAGAGAAGGGAAGTGCGTCGTCCTTGGAGGGAAACAGGTCGGGGGTATATAGATCAGCCGGGGAAGTTGAAGCGGCAAGGGAGCGATGGAAAAGCGGCAAGAGAAGGGCGCTATCCCCAGAAGGGTAGACCATACCGCAACGCAGAAGGCGGTTCAATGAGACCTGTTTCCCCTGCTAATTGTGTCGTTTGTACACAGGCGGAACTTAATTTGCATGTTCACAGGTACTCGCTTTACAGAAATACTTACTGAGAACATCATAATCATCCTCTACAGGGGCTAGCCACCGACAATTACTCGGGAGAATGAGGAGAGAGGCAATTGCGAACAGGAATAGGGGAAGGGAAAACAAGTCAGTCTAAGAAACTGACTAACTAGATCTATATGGGGAGCAAAAAGAAAAGGCAAAAAAGAAACGTCCCCGGTCAGGATTGAACTGACAACCTCTCGATTAACAGTCGAACGCGCTAACCGATTGCGCCACGGAGACGTGTTGTTGAAAAACCGGGCTAGGAACTAGACCTAAGACCCACAGCCATCCTTAGGCTATCTTCAAGCAGGCCGCATTGAGAGAGAGAAAGCGAGAGTGTTGCAAATGCAATTGAGCTTCCTAATTTACCTCCTTTTAGGTTATTATTTACTTATCTACATTTGGCGGGCTTCATCCTGTTGGTAATTATCTGTCGTTTACATCATTCCTGTGATTTTTCATATTTCATTTCTTTCCCATCGACTCCAATATCATCCTACGGGTCCCCATCTTCTTCCTGCCGTTTGGACACTGATGCAATTATATATATACAGTCCGAATACAACACAATCCCTCTTCAATCCCCATAACCAAAAAAAAAAACCCACTTATACAGCCAGCATACCGGTAAACTGCCCAGCTCCCTCAAGCGGACAAACCCAAGCAATCCGATTCTCCGTGTAAATCTCCACCTGCGGTTTGCGCTGATTCAGAATCTCCACGTCATCCAGGATTCCCGCCCGCAGGATGGTGATGTCCTCGGGTTCTCCCGTATCCTTCACCTTGTGCCCGTATAGTGGAGTTCCTGGAATAGTGGTCAACCATCTGTCGGCGTTGCAGGCTTTGGTCGTAACCCAAAAAGGGTGAACGGCAGTACATACCGCAATTCGAGCAGAAATAGTTCTTGATGTGGTTGCCGCTGTCGGCTGTTTTGGCTACTTCCTTCGGCGTCCCGATGACCGTTAGATCGGCAGTCTTGACCACGAAGCTGTATGTGTACAGCGTTCCGGTGAGCTTGCGACAGCCGGTACAGTGGCAGAGGGCCTGGTGCGATGCTGTCAGACAAAATTATCATGGGGTCTAGAGGAGGATATAGTTACTTACAGATGTGAGAAGCCCGTTGCACTCGACTCGGACTTGTCCGCAAAAACAGCTACCGGAGACCATTTTGAGAATTTCAAATGGACTATGTTTAAGGAGGTTATTCTTTTGCTCGCAGCGGTCTTCGAAATTGAAATGTTCGGCGAATGCCCAATCTGGCAGCTTTTTAAACGGGCCGAGCGACTCGGGCCGTAGTTAACTATGTTGAACACGAGCTTACCAAGCTGACCCCAACGGCTCAACGTATTACGTTGAGGCCAGGCGCCCCAGGTGATTGAAGATTATAAATAATAAGATAATAGAACACGAGTGAGTTTTGCTTAATTGAGTTGTGGGAAAGAACGGAAATCCCCTGTTGAATCGGTGCGGTTTCGGGCGGTGCCTGTACAGATTTCGGGTTCAGGTTGAACCTGCAACCGCAGCGGACCAAAATATCAGCAAAGTAGCTATTTTATTTAAATGCAGAACCTTTTGAGAAAATAAAACTCAAATATACAGAAATTTGTTCTAATAAGTTATATGACAATAGTTGGCTGCGGTTCCCTATACGGTTCCTAGAGGTTACCGGTAGGGGTTCAACCCGCAATAGGAAGGGGTTCAACCCGGCCCGCAGAGGTTTGGTGCGGGTTCAGTTGCAAATCTGCGGGTTTGCGGTCCCGATTGCGAAGGGTTCAACCCGGACCGACATTGCGGATAATTCACCGGGCGGTTGCACTGCCAGATACCTGATAACTGGAGCGACAAGGACCACGACTGAGTAGGTCAGCGATGGTTGAGTGTATTGACCCGACCTCTATATTCAGATAGGCACAATAGGCTGGACTACTGTTATAGTTCCAACCCGAGGATGGTTGCGAAGCAGTCATCTCACCGTAGAATCTGAAGCATTGCTCACTATTGCATAGCACGTGTGCGCATGTCTCTATAAAAATGACTACCACATCGGGGCTCTCTTTCTAGTAGAAATCAACTATAACATCTGCGCTGAAGATAAAAATACATGTTTGAACAAAAGAAAATCAAATAGGAAAATTCTAGAAAAAATAATACATCGGACCAGTCCGAAAGGGAAAACCCAACTCCACATATAATCGGATACAGGCCACCTCTGCTAAACTAGAGAAAACCAGAAGAAAAACAAAAGCCGACTACCAGACCTTCCAATTCACGCCCTGCCGCATGTTGCAAACGTGGCGCTTTTGTCTCGCGTAGTTTTTATCAGTAGAATCCAAAATCCCCCTGGCTTCCAGGTTATCCAACAACGAGACCACATAATCCTGAGAGTTCCAAACGGGAATGTCATTGTTGAGGGGTACTTTCCGAGCAATTTCGCGGATCGTGTTGAGGAGGTTGACATTGACTTCGCAAAGGTAAGCCAGGTCCACTAATCCTGGCACTTTATGAAACACGACCTTTTCTGACTCGTACCGTTGAGCCCCCAGAGGGCCCTTGACCTGGAGGAAGTTGTCGCCCGGTTGAGGGTTGTCGGAGTCGTCGAGGAGTAGGCCCCAGTGCTTGTAATATTCACCGACATTGGTGGCAATGACCATGAGTGTAACACTCGAGGATGAGGATGAGGGGGAGGACATTTTGGTTTTTGATGAAGGATGAATTTGATCGAGTTCGCTAGACAGGTATAGGCGCTTCGAAATGAGAACTTCAATGATACCGCACATCAGTCTTTGATTCTTATAACCAGAGACGCAAAAAGGCGATTCGAAAAGGATTCGAACGCTATATTTATACTAACAATACCCCGAAGACAAATGATTTCCGAACAAAGATGACCCGGTCACGTATATATCCGGTTCATGGGTTATTTCTTTATAGAACTTTGGAACAAAGAACCAGGAACAATGCGACGGGGCTTAGGACATTGATTTGATTGGGCCATCTAATATCGTACTTGACGAGGTTCGACGATCAAATCAGCCAGGTCTCTTTGCGGTGCAGTTATCGACTATAGCATAATGACCATGATCTCAAGTTGGTCGTATTTTACTACTAGTCTCACAGATCGTGTAATAGACGATTCTAAATCCAAAGTGACACCAAAGCAGCCCGTAGGAGAAAGCAACCTAGTTACACTCGGCGCTGACCCTGATAAAGTAGGGCTGATCTAACCCAATCAGTGCACATTGCCTTGTCGCCTTAATGCCTGAACACAACTGCATGTCAAAAACATGCCGGAGATTCGAAGTTTCCGTAGAAAGAGGTTGTTTAATTATATGAGTGGAGCAATAATATCATCGCGTCGGTGGAGCCCGACACGGTTATTATTAAACACAGATCCGGGAAATACCCACCTTTGGACAGCTCATGTTTGATAGATCTACGCTGGTATAGGTCCATTCTATGCGGTAGAGATGATCAGGATCTTGATGGCGAGGGTAAACCTGTTAAAGTATTGCATCTCGATTGATGGGATTGCTGTAGGTAGAACAGTTCCCTTCAGGCTTATTTTTTCTAGCCATGGTATGCCACCGCCCCTGTTTCACACGGCTAATGTTGTTTACATCACGGCCCACCGATCTTGACTCGCGCTGATCTCAGTGTGGTAAAGTCGCTCAAGGGGGATGAAGATCGTCGTCTATAGATCGCCGCTGCGGGTGGATGGAGCGATTATTGGATATCCAGTCCGGCAGCCCCGTAGCTGTGGGGGGTTGTACCAGCTTCTGACGAACCTACCCAAAGTTGTTTAAACGTTGTTTACATTTAGCCCCTCGCCTATATTCCCCTAGTAGGTGAGTGTTATTAACTTCCTCCTTTCCCACATGGCTGTTGAAAAATTTACACAACACCACCTCATACGGCCAGATGCATGGGTTAAGACCGTCGCCATCGGGTGCCCTACACCTGGGAATCGCGCTATTAGCGATCGGCGCAAATGCTACACCCCTAACGAAGCGCGGCGTCGATAACTGGAATGACGTATGCCTCTCACCGTTGTTTTAGGATGAAGCGCGAGACTGACTAGCCAGATCACTCCCTCTTCCGACCTGACATGGACGTCATGTTTCGATGATTTTCTCTGCGCAAAGCTCCAGGTACCTCTCGACTACGAAAACCCTGATACAGGTACCGCATCGCTGGCGTTTATCAAGCTCCCTGCCGAGCATGACCCCGACTCAGCGCAGAGCTTAGTCTTAAACAACGGTTCGTGCGCCAGCTTGTCTGTCCGAAAATCGCTAACCACCCATGAACAGGTGGCCCCGGCGCCTCGGGCATTAATTTCGTGACTTCATACCCCTCGGAGCTTCGCCAGGCATTCGGATCCCAGTATAACCTTGTCTCGTTTGACCCGCGTGGTGTCAATAACAGCGACCTCGTTGTGGACTGCTATCGTGGTGACACCGCAGCTCGAAAAGATTTCACTACTAGCTTCTATAGCGAAGTTGCAGATGCATCTCCTGCCGCACCATCGATGCATTTCTCAGCGATTCAGTCCTACGGAAAATGGTGCAGCGATACCCTTAAGCAAAACACAACTGCAAAATACATCAGCACACCGGCTGTCGCGCGGGACTTGTTGACATTTGCGAAAGCGGAAAGCAAAGCGGCAGGAAAGTCGGAATCGGACGCCAAACTATGGTTTTACGCAATGAGCTACGGGACTGTCATCGGATCGACTTATGCGTCGCTATTTCCGGAAAACGTGGGCCGGTTGATCCTGGATGGTGTCATGGATGGCGAGGACTACTACAACGGCCAGTGGAAATCGCATACCGAAGACTCGGATAAAGCGATTCTCACATTCCCGAAATTCTGCCATCAAGCTGGAGCAGAAACGTGCGCTTTCTGGGGCCCTTCCACGCAGAATATCACCGATCGAATGGATAACCTCTTGACGAATCTCAAGTCGACGTCGTCTAATGAGACTACCTCTGGGGCCACGTACTCTGAGCTCGTCTTCGCAATGACTCTTTCTTCCTATGGACCCTTGCAGATGTTCCCCATGCTTGCACAAGGCCTCGCCGCATTGGAAAAAGGTGACGGCAGCGCAATCGCGTCCATGGGTAGCTGGCTATCCGCACAGTCGTCTAATGACGCACGGGCTCTCATTTCGTGTGTCGATACCTATGGTCTCGCCACTCTAGCCAATCTGGACTCCTTGAACGACTATGTGTCTTATCTCACTGGAACCAGCAAGTATCTCGGCTCGGCTATGGCGGAAATCGCGCCTCGAGCCTTATGCAGTGCAATCGAGATGGACCTTCCTACTGGGTCGAGCTTCCACGGTATGCAATACCCGTTACATTATACTCAGCGCGAGATTCTAATCGGAACAGGCTCTCTACCCCCATCTAGTAAGAACACAGCATTCCCTATCCTATTCGCAAGTAACACCATCGATCCCGTGGCTCCGTTAGCAGGGTAAGTACAATGCCCACCACCCCAAAAGTAATACAAAGTTAATATAAAACAGGGCCAAGAAAATGTCCCAAGCTTTCGCCGGCTCTGTGCTTTTGACGCAGAACAACGTCGGGGTAAGTTGATGGATTAACAGGCTTTCCATAGGACAAGCTAACATGATAAATTAGCACACGGCCATTACCGCCGCATCTGACTGTTACCTTCAAAACATCAAGGACTACCTGGGAGGAACCGTCCCTAAAGAGGATGTGACGTGTGATTGGGATCGGGTGCCGTTCCAAGACCCAATATTCATTTCTCCTATGTGAGGAAACTTGTTAAGAGGGATTAATCTTCTCAGGATGGGTATGAAGGCTGTCATGAATCGGCTAAAGAAACCAATGTATAGAGTTCTTGGGAGCTCTATTAGATCTGTGGCTTTCCGTTGGTCTATGCGTATAATGGCCATCTCTTCTAAAAGGATGTACTGTGCTTATGATAGGTATACAACTCTGAAGACGACCATACCAAAGCGTATCTAATGAAGTGTAGTTACCTAACGTGCACCTATAGAGAATCTTGGAAATGAACACTGAATTCTCGCCCAAATTGTTTCATATGGAAGTTACACGTAAAAGTCGATCAATAAAAAAACCGAAGGGGGCCTGAAGAAAAACATCACGTATAGTTGCTTTGCTTAAATGATATGGTGTAGACACTTCCAAGTTCGACTCGAAAAGGAGGGAGGATGTGCTGCTTGTTCTCCACAGTGTCTTTGGCTTGTTAGTGCAAACAGCTGGTAATTATATTAGCTGTTTGCCAACATAGGCGAGTGGTTTGAAAGCGGTAGACTCGGCAAGCCATGCCACAACATTTGGTGGTGAAGTGTTCGAGTCCCGCTCTGCTCAATTTTTCACGTTTCACGTTTGGTATATATCTTTCTTTCTCTTTCCGCATCCCCCGCCCTTGATTTTTTTTTTCCTTTACTTTTTTCACAATGATTGATTAATAACTACTTCCTCGTCTAATCGGTCATTTCCTCACTGTAAGATGAGAATAAATAAAGCTCTTCCTTCCCAGGAACTGCAGGTCTGACTCAACCTTAGATTGGAGCACTTCTCTACTTGAAATTCCAGCGCCAGGGCTTCCTATACGCCCTGTGCCTTGTACGCCTTACCTAGGTTATTCATGACTTGGCCAACCTCTTGCTCGTCGCTAGTCAAAGCGCCATGATTCTTCTCTACTCAGTACTGCCCTGCCTCTCTAGCGCTGGGGCCCACAACCCTCTTGCTGAACGTAACGGCACCAAGGATCTCTCTATGGGTCGCCCTACCAGGGAAATTTGCGGCTCCCTGGGCAATTGCAGTCAGGTAGCGACGTTCTTAGGATAATTGTTGAATGTTCGTTTGGTTTTTTCAGATATCCGGTGCTAGTGACACCAGCCAACAACTTGCATCCACCAAGTACTGGAAATAAATCATGCATGTTCGCTTCTCCTAGGGTAACCCACGAACCCAAGAAAAAGACGAAAACAGCAGGGACAGGTCTGTCCTTTCTGAATGACTTTTCTTAGTCACCGAGTCATACAGCGTCGCGCAGTGCTGCACAGCAAACAGCCCGACGGAATGTAACACACGGGACATTTACCTACAACGTTGAATAAGTGTACAACCAAAAGCTCGGCCAAAATAAAGAATGCCCACGTGAGATATTGGAAGAAGAATGAGTTTTAGCTTGATTGATTGCCAATATGAAAACAAAACTCGATGCAGCGACGTGATCGGTCGGTGGCGAATGTGGAAAGAGGGGAATGCCGGTTTATCCGCCTTGGGGAACAGGGTATCTGATTTGATATTAGCCAGGATCCGAATCTTGGGTAGGTGTGTGATACTAGACTGGCCCTGGAATGCAGAAATCAATCGGGGGGTAGCTCTCATATCAACCCGATGATGCAGAGGACTAGAGACTAGAGACGGACTGCCCTGCAAGGCAGTGGCAATAATGTGCCCAATGGCACTTCGATAACCAAACGAAGGCCCGGCTCGTTGCATGGGTCGAGAGGAAGGCGCCTAGATTGGTGGGAATTATCCTGCGCTCGGCATCATGCCTCGAATCCCTTGCCTGACGTGCCAGCTAACCGACTGGCGCTAATGAAAAGAGGGGTTTTTGCTGAAAGTCTACTGATCATGACTCGGCTGACTGAACCATGTAGCTGAATTGACGTGTAGACAGACTGCATGAGATGTATCAGGATTGTACACGCATGTGGGAGTCCATCCAAAGGATCCCTGTCCTGTCAATGTCCTTTATTACGGCGCTGCCCCAAGGCCTGATCAGACCTTGCCTTAGATACCAATCTACCTCAGATAGTCGCACAAACAATAACCTACCGCAATGACGCTGTTCACCAATCCCCACCACGAGCCTCTCGCGATTGTGGGCATTGCATGCAAATATGCTGGCTCTATTGATTCCCCATCCGAGTTGCAAGAGCAGATTTTGGCCGCTCATTCCATGCAGGGCACAATGCCTCCTAATCGCATGGATGCCTCGTTTTATCACCACCCGAACTCTGAAGCAACCGGCACCACTCACACAAATGGTGGATACTACCTGGACGGAGATGTAAATGCGTTCGACGCGCCATTTTTCCAACTGTCTGAGTTGGAAGTGTTGGCTATGGACCCGCAGCAGAAGTTGCTTTTGGAGAACGTGTATCATGCGCTAGAAAACGGTACGTCGCCTACTACCTAGCAGCAGACTGTGCGTGACGCCACAACATGCTGAAAGAATTGTAGCTGGGATTCCGATGGAAGAAGCTGCGCCGTCACAAACATCTGTTTTTGTTGGATGCTCAAATAACGACCACCTTGTCCTTGCCAACGCCGATCTCTTGATGTCGCTGAAGGGCAAAGGAACGGGAACCTGTCCATCCATTCTGGCGAATAGGATTAGCTGGTTCTTTGATTTTCGAGGGACAAGTCAAACGATCGACACCGCATGCTCGAGTAGCCTTGTCGCCTTTCATCAGGCATGCGTGGATGTAAGAACAGGGGGATCTGCGATGGTGAGCATACCCCATGTCTCAGGCACGTCCGACTCACGTGGGACCACGGGACTGACAACAAACTAGTCAGTCGTCAGCGGCGTCAACCTCATAGAGCATCCTGGCCCAACGATCTTGCTTTCTAATCTCGGTGTGCTGTCTTCGGATGGACGGTGTCGGAGTTTCGACGCGAGGGCAAACGGATACGGACGCGGCGAAGGCGTCGGAACGGTCATCATCAAGCCACTGGGCGCCGCTCTTCGTGATGGGAACCGCATTCGAGCTGTGATTCGAGGCTCCGGATCCAACCAGGATGGAAGAACGCCAGGAATCACCGTTCCAAGTGCCGCAGCACAGGAGCAACTAATACGCGAAGTTTACACATCCGCAGATCTTGATCCCTTGCAAACAGGATATTTCGAGGCTCATGGTACCGGGACGCCGGTTGGCGATCCATATGGAAGTGCAGGCCATTGTGTCTGCCTTGGGCGAACAGCCCCGTGATACGCCGCTTTACGTCGGGTCCGTCAAATCTGTCGTCGGCCATCTGGAAGGAGGAGCTGGACTGGCGGGCCTCATATCTGCTACGCTAGCTGTGGAATCCAAAACCATTCCGCCTGTGGCTGATCTGAAGACATTGAACCCAAGGATCGTCCAAAGAGACGATCTGAAGTTTGCACGGGAAGCAATGCCATGGCCCAGGAATGGCATTCGTCGCGCGTCAATTAACTCGTTTGGGTTTGGCGGTACCAATGCACACGTCGTCCTGGACGATGTGGAGGGGTTTCTGAGCGAGTTCTTTAGACATAAAACTACTGGGACGCTGCAGGTGACAGGTGCCTCTTCAAAAACGATCAAAAGAAGCTTTCATGACGCTGGGAGAGATGGTTCGAAACTACTCGCAAATGGGGAATCGAATGGCAAGAATGGCATTCCTATCCTTAGTTGGGCGCCGGAAAATCATGTGGTCATTCTTTCGGCGTTTGATGAAGCTGGCTTGAACCGGAACGCGGCGTCAATGATATCTCACCTCAAATCATTAGAATTCAAGGGAGAGTCCGACCAGGAAGGGGCTTTCATGAATGACCTGTGTCACACATTAAATGAGAAACGCACACTGTTTGACTGGCGCAGCTACCACGTCGCTGACACTATTGAGAACCTACAAAAGTCGCTTCGAAATGTCAGTCCACATCGTCAATCGACAAGCTCGAAGGTTACCCAGTTCATATTCACGGGTCAAGGTGCGAATTGGGCTGGTATGGCCCAAGATCTATTGGTTTACCCGTTGTTTCGACAACGGATCCACGAAGCTGCGGTATTCTTGAGAGAGATTGGATGCGAGTGGGATCTTTATGGTATAATCTTCTCATTCATCTCTTTTCTCCTTTTCGTTTTCTTCTTTTTTCCGCAAATTATCGGGTGACGCCGAATAACCAAAACCTCAGACCGAATGGCCTCACAGCAAGGTGACCTAAACGAGCCCACATTTGCGCAATCCTCCTGTGTAGCCGTGCAGATTGCGTTGGTGGACCTGCTCCATAGCTGGAAAGTGACACCAACGACGGTAGTATGACATTCGTCCGGCGAAATTGCTGCGGCGTATTGTGCAGGAAGAATCTCACGCCAATCAGCCTGGAGAATCGCCTACTGCCGAGGACAGGTTTGTGCAAAACAGACACATGGAGATGGCCGCATGCTCGCGGCAGCTATGTCTGTGCATGAGTTGGAACGACTGTTAGCTCACGTGAACCAAGGTCTACCCTCTAAGGTCCAGGTCGGATGTTATAACAGTCCCAAGAACTTGACCCTGACAGGCCGACACGAGGGCATTCTCCGTGTCAAGGGCGAGTTAGACGAAGCGGGTGTGCTAAACCGTTTGCTTCCGGTCAAGGTGACTTACCACTCAGCCTTCATGCGAGAAGTCGCTCCGGAGTACTTAGAACGTTTGGGAGATCTAAATGTCGGTGAGAAGATGAACGATCATGATAAAGTGACCATGATATCCTCAGTTACAGGACGACCTGTACTTGTCGGCGAGGTTGAGAATCCTTCGTACTGGGTTGACAACCTTGTCTCGCCCGTCCATTTCTCCAGTGCACTTCTCACGTCCCTGCAAACATGGAATCAAAACCCATCTAGCGAGTACGCACTGATCGAAATTGGACCGCACTCTACGCTCCGCACGGCCATCAATGAGACACTTGCAGACCATCCTGAACTACAGCCGTTCCAATATGGTAGCCTGCTCAAGCGACATGAGACTGACGGAACGACAATCTTGCGCACGCTTGGCCTACTGGCCTGTTGTGGATTTGACATCAACCTAGCTGCTATCAATGGTTGCCAATTGGGAAACAAGAAAGCCCCTCAGATTTTAACGGACCTCCCGCCATACTCCTTTGATCACTCACGGTCGATCCGCGGCCAAACTCGGAAAATTGAAAGTATAAAGTTCCCAACATATAAACGCCACGAGCTTCTAGGTGTGCCAGTTGAAGATACCAATTACCTCGAGCAACGGTGGAGGAACATACTGAGACCGGATGATATCACATGGTTGCGCATGAACAGAGTGGGTACTTGGTATTAAAATCGGCTAAAGCTAACTTTAGCCAGATGAAAGGGAGTATATATTTCCCCGGTGTCGGTTACCTTTTAATGGCCATGGAGGCCGTCATTCAGCGGGCTGGGATGGTAGACTCTATCACCGGTATTAGACTAGGGAATGTGTCTATGCTGGCCCCCCTGCCTGTTCCGGATACATCGGAAGGTGTCGAAATTATCTCTTCAATATACCCGATGAACACGTCAGCCAGGGCCACAGATGACTGGTGTATCTTCAGGATTATCTCCCACGAAACTGTTGAGGACTCTTGGATTGAGCACTGCGTTGGTTCAGTTCGTATACAACCGGGAGAACAGAGGGTTCATGCCCATCCCGTTGACAGTCAGCTCTCGTCAATGTGTTCCGAAGCAATCGATATAAACCAAATGTATCGAGAATTTGCCTCTGCGGGAATGGAATTTGGCGAATTTCTGAGAAATATTCGAAGCATGAAGCTTTCCGCGGACCACAAAACCTGCATAGCGACAATAGTGACACCGGATATCCCCAGGGTAGCCCATGATCAGTATTATATCCATCCGTGCACGTTCGAAAGCATCTTGCACGCACTTCTGCGTCTATGCAAAGCAACACAAAGCCCCATGGTGACTAATTACATTGAAGAGGTCTTCATATCTTACCCGTCTCAAAACAGCGCCACTGGCTACCACGCTTCAGCCCAGACGGAGAGGATCTCGTCCACGACCTGGAAGTCAGATGTGACAATCACTGCTGAAGACAGCAAACAGGAAATTTTTATTAAGGGTCTAGATTTAGTTCAACTTCCTCCGAGCGACAGTGACTCGTCGGAGGTCGACTCGTTCTACGTGGTGAAATGGAAACCAGATATTCACTTTGTTACATCAGCGGATGCTCTATGGGAGTCCGCTCCTGTCGAGATAGATCAGAGAGTCCCAAGTCATGATGATCACGAGGGATTCCAAATCGCCTCGGCAGTATTCTTGCTTGATACAAAGGATTATTCTCAAAGAGAAGAACTCCCATCTCTCCCACCCCATCATCAAGCCTTCATAAGATGGATGCAACATCAGTGTGGGTCAATCACAGAATCATCAGTCCCGTTCATTGACACAGCTGTGGTGGAGGCAATTCGGGAGAGTCCAGACCGACGCAGGGGTTTGTTTGACCGAGTAGCCAGCCAAAGCGCGCGAGGGGAGCTCTTGGTGCGAGTTGGTACCCGTATGGTTTCTATCCTTGAACAAAAGGTCGACTGCCTGGAGGTGATGTTTGGCCAGGACGACCTCATGGATCGAACGTACGAGGAAGGGCTTCCTGGGCAGATCGCTTCTGCGGTCGCTGGCTACGTGCATTGCCTCGCCCATAGTCGCACGGATCTCGAAGTCCTCGAGGTCGGCGCCGGTACTGGTAGTGCGACGAAGGTTATTTTAGACAGCTTAAAGCCTATGGCTCGACTTGATGGAGGACGTCTTGTTTCATCTGTTTCTACCTATCATTTTACTGATATATCAGGGGCGTTTTTCGAGAATGCGACGCAGCGATTCCCTGACTGGACGGACATTTTGCGCCCGGAGGTCCTGAACATTGAGAAAGATCCAGTCGAACAAGGGTTTGAGCTGGGGTCTTATGATTTGGTTATCGCGACACATGTACGGTCTCGTCGCCTTTGGTTACCATTTGGTACTAACCGCATGTAGGTTCTTCACGCAACGGCGGATCTCAGTATTTGCTTAAATAATGTAGAGAAACTGCTCAAAGAGTAAGTCTTCCACTCCTCTCTGATTTAATCAACTCTAATCTTAGCAGTGGCGGTGATCTTCTTCTGATCGAGAACGTCAAGCCGGAATTGATGTGCTCCCCTCTTGGATTCGGCTTACTCCCAGGATGGTGGCGCAGTGTCGAGCCCTTTCGACAGCTAAATCCCCTGATTAACGAAGACCAATGGCACGAGGAACTAAAAAATGCCGGCTTATATCCTCGATTAACATTCAAAGACACAGATGACCAGGTTCACGAAATGTCTGCCTTTGTGGCCACAAAAGTCCCACCACCGCCGTTATCAAAACGCCTTTACAGCATCATTTACTCATGTGTTTACACTGGGCAGTATGAATTAGCTTGCCTGATTGCTGAGGAAGTGACAACAGCTGAGTGCACTTGCGCTCTAGTCGACTTGGCTGATATCTCACCCACCCATATAAACAAAATAGGGGTTGTATTACTCGGATACCAGGGTCTGGACCTCTCCGCGCTATCAGAGTCAGAATTTGAGAAGATCCAGTACATTCTCAGCACATTTAATAATCTCCTCTGGGTTAGTTACTTGTGATGCTGACAAAACGCCTAAGTCTGCCATGGCAACCGGGCTCATTCGAACGGCGCGATGGGAGCGAGACCATGACGGCATCAACTTCCTCATATTAGACATCAGACAGCGACTCCCCAACTTGCAGGGAATTGTATCGAAAGTTGGTCAGGTATGCAATCGCTCATTTACATCCGAGACTCTTGTGCCGCGAAATGCAGAGTATCGCCTTCAGGATGGAATTCTGCTCACCAATCGCTTGTTTCCTGTCTCTGGAGCCAACGAGGCTATCGATTCAAGCTCAAGATCACGGTCTAAATTAACGCAACTACGGCAAGTTAGCCACCCAGTCAAGCTAACCTCGATCGGCGCTCATAATCCGAATGGATACTATTTCATCGAGGATGAAGGCTTTGACCAGCCACTGCATCCATATGAAGTGCAGATTGAAGTGCGGGCTGTGGGTCTCGATGAACATGACGCTGACCAACTCGGTCGCTTGATTCCTGGCGAAAGCATTGGCTGGCAGGGAGCGGGAATTATCGTCGGCCTTGGGAATGCTGTGGAGGGCCTCAGAGTCGGCGATGCGGTCATGGCGATGCGCACGTCGCCAAGCGGCTCCTTCCAAACATACTTTCGCACGCACTCTGCTTCTGTCATCAGAATTCCGACTGACATTAGCTTTACCTCCGCCGCTGGGGCCCTGATCCCATTATCCACTGCGTATCACTGTCTTGTGAATGTCGCTAGGTTGCAGAAAGGAGACACTATCCTGATTCATCACGTGTCCAGCGGTATTGGGCATGCTGCAGTGCAAATTGCCCGATATCTCGAAGCTACAGTCTATTGCACAGTTTCAAATGATCCCGACAGACAATTATTACTCGATCAAGGTATTCCCATTAGCCATGCCCTTGACACACGGACTTGGACAGGGGAGCTTATGGCTAGCAACACTATCGATGCAATTCTTAACCTCAGTCGCCGAGGCATCGAGAGCAGTGACTTGCGCTGTCTTTCCTCTTTCGGGAACCTCATAGATTTGCAAGGCCAGGGCATCATCGGACCTTTGCCTTCCTCGAACAGAAACAGGAATTTTTCTAGCGTCGACATTCGGTCCATGGCCGTTCAAAAACCCAGAGCTCTTCAGTGCATACTTCTAAGCGTGACAAAACTCTTAGCAGAGCAAAAGATCCAGCTTCCCTCGCCAGCTGTCCGGGGATTTTCTGGTCTCCAAAATGCTCTCGCCGACATCAGACAAGGCATACACAGCCCTTCGGTCCTTGAGCCAAGACCAACCGATTTGATATCTGTATGTTCACTATCCTTAGGTTGGTTGATGATTGGTCTTGCTAACATAGTTAGGTGGCAATCAAGCCAATAGGACGCCACAGGTTCGACCCGAGTGCGTCTTATGTGCTTGTAGGCGGCTTTGGTGGTATAGGCAGAAGTGTCGCTCGATGGATGGCGTCTCGCGGCGCGAGAAACTTCATCTTTATCTCAAGATCAGGCGCGAGCAGTGCCGCTGCCAAAAGGCTATATGTAGAGTTGTTGGATTTAGGCTGTCATTTGTCTGATCTGACATGTGATGTGACCAACCAAAATGCCGTGACACAAGCGTTCAATAGCTGTCAGTCAAGCATGCCTCCGATCAAGGGATGCATGCTGTCCACCATGGTTCTTGAGGTATGTCTACGACGCTCATGGCTGCACTCACTTCAAGAGCCAAGCTGATCAAGGAATTAGGGCGCTATGCTTAGCAACATGACCCACGCGCAGTTCATCTCCGCCATCACCCCTAAAGTGCACGGAGCGATTAACATTGCGTCCACGCTCTCCGCCTCACCTCTCGATTTCCTGATCTTCCTGTCATCGTCCGCCGGAATAATCGGCAACCGCGGGCAAGCAAACTACTCAGCCGCGAATGCATTTCTGGACGCTTTCGCTGCATCGCTAGTTCACCAAGGATATCCCGCTACCTCAATAAGTCTCGGTAACGTCCTCTCCGTCGGCTGGGTTGCCGAGAACCAAGACCGTCTACCAATCGCGCTCTCTTACAGGGAGATTTCCGAGTCCTTACTTCTCTCGATCCTGGAATATCATATGGATCCGCGGTGGTGCGCAGCCCAAAGCTCCGAAACATGTCTTACAGTTGCAGGAGTCCGCTCAGCGAAGGATTTTCATCAACTCTCTATTCCTCTGCCCGGGTTCATGGCGTATCCTCTCTTCTCCCCGCTCCGCGCGATAGCCAGCTCTTCTGGTGCCGACAAACCAGAGACCCAAGTTTCAGTGACCCAGGCGCTCAGATCTGCACGTTCCATGGAAACGGCCGTGGAAGTTATCACGAAGGCAACCTTGACAAAGCTGGCACGAGTGATGGCGATTTCGGCGAAGGAGATCGACCCCGCTAGGACGTTGGCGTCGTATGGAGTTGACTCGTTAGTGACAGTGGACTTAAAGGCATGGTTTAAGAGGGACGTTGGAGTAAATGTTGCGTCGGGGGATCTATTGGGGGATATTTCTATGCAGGGGTTAGCAGAAAGAGTGGCTGGGAGGAGCGAGTTTTTGTCAATTGGAAAGTAGCAGACGAGATATTCGTTGTTCATAAAGATACCTCGCTCCACATATCATGTACGACACGGAAAACATGATAATGATAAAAATATTGTTATTCTACTTGGCCTTTGGCTATACCTAACCCTATTTTGCCTGTGAAATGAATAGTTATTTCTCTGCGTATGTACACAGGTAACAGGCATACCATGTGTAAACAGGTAAGATACTGAGTCACAACATGAACAAAAATACTTCTTCTGGATCATGTAACACACATGTCAGCACTCCCTAGGACATCATGCATTGGTTACCCAATATATTCAATTACTTTGATCCGGTAGGCAATTCATATACTTCATAGAACCCTCGAACGGCTCATGGACCTAAATACTCACTGGCTTCCGAATTTATGTATCACGAAGCACAACTACCCATGCTTCGCAAAAGATAACCAACACGTACATAGTTTGTCCAAGGTCCTGCTCATTTAGAGCTTCGCCTGCTCTAACACAGTCAACTTCCTCAAAGGAGGCCCTCCTCGACTTCCATCTCCAGCCATACTGATCTCCCCGGTTACTTTGCCCTCTGGCATCGCCAACCTCCACTTCTCCCTCAGCGAAGCATCCGCCTTTTCTTCCACACAATCAGCCACGTATCTTCCCAGCACAGGCAGGAATTTGAAAGCACTGTGTAAACTCGTCAGCAGTCATCCTAAGTTAAACCGTGCAATAAAAAGCGAATCAAGAGTAGAGGACAAGAAACTTACTGTCCAGCACCCCCAGTAGCCACAAACAACCCCTTCAATCCCGGGTGCCAATCAACAATGAAATCGCCCTTCGGCGTATCCGTATACCAACACATTCTCCGATACAACCACGGCCGATCTCCAAGCGCAGGGAACAACTGCTTCAGTCCATCTCGGAGACCCTGATCGGCGTCCTGCGGTAAGTACCCCGTGGCCGCGTTACTTTCAGTCGGCTTCGGTCCGGAGACAATCGAACCCGTGACTTGGGATTTCTGGGCCGTCGCGAACCCGAACCCATGGCGGGCTAGTTTGAGGATGTTGGATCCGGGCGTTGGCGGGAATGCGAACACGCCGGTCGTTAAATTGACGATCACGGGTGTCTTTTGTAGGGCGTGAGCTTCCTCGGAAGTCAATTGAATGAAGCCGACGGGTTGGCCGGATGCAGAGGCCGCGTGGGCGAGGTTCAGGAGCCGAGTTGACCAGGCTCCAGTGCTGAGGATGACATGGGATGCCGAGATATGGGATCCATCAATGATGTTGACTCCGGTTACGCGATCCCCTGACATGCGCAGCGAATGGACGGTACCGCGAGGCCCGGTGATGAATGATACGCCTGCGGCGCTGCATTGGGTGGCGAGACACTGAATTGCGCCTTCAGCGTTGGCCCATCCGCCGATAGGGTTGTGGTAGCCATGTGCGGCGGCAAGGTTAGCTTTGACAGCCGGGCGAATGCTCTTGAGAGTGTTGATATCGTGGAATTCGTCGACCCTCCCGCCGGCTTGGTAGATGATCTGTTTCGATTTCTCGATATACGGATGTCCGGGACCTTCGGACAAAATGGCGTAGCCAGAGGCGTCGAAGAAATCTTTGTACTCAGCATTCCAGCCGCTGTAGGCCTCCCGGGCCATTTTGGCATACAGTGGATCGGCATAGTCGATTCTGATGATGCGCGAGATGTCAACGCTGCTGCCGTCGGGGACCGGTGGGGCGAAGCGGTCCAGGACGGTAATATTGGTGTATCCTCGTCGAGTGAGCTCCAAGGCCGTTGAGAGGCCAAAGACGCCGGCTCCGACGATCAGGATCGAGTCGTTCTTGTTGAGTGGCATGGTTGATATTGTTGTTTGGAAGATGGAAAGAAAAGAGAGAGAGAGATTGGGGAAGGTCGGTATATATCGGTGCCGCCGGATGCCCTCCGGACTGGTCCCACTTCCCCGGAAGCGGTCCGGGTCCGCGGTACTGAGCTCGCAGGTAGATGTCAGAGTATTCAGATGTAACTCATGCAACATCAGGTAAAATTTTGAAGTAGAGTACCCGTCGTGCTTTTGAACGAGAAGCTTAAATTCCACCACTTTGACCTTAAGAGCATATGAGACCAGAGTGTACGCACAACGGTCCAAGTTATCATACCGGGTGTTACCTACTTCCCTGGCAGAAGTGAGGCAGTGCAAAGACTGTTCATTCTTCGTCGTTTCCTGCTCTTGCTCTTCTCAAGGTTGCCCGTCTACTATCCACTTCCTTACGCCACTTTTCTCCAGATCGTACAGTGAAAACGACTAGACCCGCTCACACAAAAGCAACCGTAGCAGATATGGTGGATATCCATCCTATCCCGAACCGCCAGATCAAATAATGGATAGAAGTCCGATGGTCAACATGGTTCTAAATTCAACCAATTCTCAATCAAACGACCATAATCCTGTGGCTGCAATAGTCCACCACCAGCGGTGCCAGAAAGCCCTAATGCGGAATTTCCAACAAGCCCTGAAAGGTCGAGATCAAGAACTGCATTGTGGCTTTCGTCAGGCTGCGGAAGTTCCTCTGGCGGATATGTGACTAGCTCTTTAGCCACCGTCCGATGTCCAGAGATGCCAGCAGACCCGATGAGAGCAAGTTCGGGGCCCGACAGTGCATCATCAGACTGCGATGAACTTTGCACGATACTGTTTGTCAGACAAGGTCCGAATATATCTTTCGAAAAGCCCTCGGACAGTTTGTTGGTAGGAGAGGACACCAGAACTTCCCACAGAAGGTGCACGTTTACAGACCAGGCCTGCTGAGAGCCGTGTGCACCACTGGAGGAGATACTATTCCTCAACTGATGGAGTTTGTTCGCCTAGAGGAATTAGCTCGTTGCAGCTAATAGATTGAGAGATCCTTACCTGTCGCTCTAGGTGCGGCCACCGTCTACCCATTTTGTAAACGAAACTGACGCACTTATCGTAACCAACCTGTGCCTTCTGTCGAAAGCTTGGCTCCTCTACAAAACTATGCTGAAGGAAGATGGTCGCCACGATAGCCACACACTGGCCAAGCGTTGGATCGGATACCTCGAAATCTTTCTTCTCGAGAAGAGTGACAAAATGTAACACCCAGCTTGTGTTTAGGGTGATCTGCTCAAACGAGTTCCGTAGAAACGACTGCGGCATGGTATGACGGAAATTCTTCAACCGTATCGACAGCAGTAAGGGATGATTGACAAGGACTAGAATTGAGTGGCAGACAAACTGGAAGAAAAGCCACGGACCCCAATATTCCCTCTGCTGGTTGAGCTCAGCTCCCGAGAGCTCAGGGAATCGGCTTGCGTGCATCCGGTATTTCAAAGGGATTCGGCTCTCGCATCCCATCAACTTGGAATTGATGAGGGAATAGTCTGACTGCGCCGACCATGGAGGTGGCGATTCGGATCTGATATGGGCCGAGGCGTAGGCTCGGGACAGTTCCCAAACCTTACTGAATTGCATTGTGTAGGCGACTAGGCCGGGATCTGTTCTGGTTATGGCGTTGACAAGACTGTTGTTTACTGTGAAGGACGCGTCTCCGACTAATCCTTCAAGCATATATACTGCCCAGTGACAGAGCACTCGTTCATCGCGTTCATCCTCTAGGTTATCTGGGAAACCTGGTACATCCAATTCGAGGCACTCGACCAAGTACTTAGCTAGACGAAGATTCACGCCGGCTCGGATGATATTGCTGTCTAAGTCTCATCAGCAATTACCACGAGGGCTTAGTGATATACTAACTTGTGTAATCAATCATTGTTAACAGGCACATGGCCTGTAAAGTAGACAGTTCCACTGTACCTTCGGCCAAGCGGCCCATCACCATGCGCCGGGAAGATTCCGTCCAGTCTTGAACCTGTCGACTGACCTCCGGGTCAGCCACACCCCTGCCATTGAATCTCTGACCCAATGCCTGAATTGCAAGTTGAACTTCTACATCCCGGCTATCATATAATTGTAGGAAAGTCGCATGGTGAAATAAAGGCAGCGGCTGAAAGTTACAATATGTCAGAAACAAATCAGCAGGTGTCTGTGTAGTTGCATTCGATGCATCTCTGGTCATTGATTAGCGTACGGAACTGAGATATTCGAGGAGTTCCTACATTAAGGGGCCAGTAGGGATGGGATTGTCTCCAGTAGCATCGAGACTCGGCCTATTAGAAGGCGCAGCTGCGGCGGGGTGGCGATCAAAGCAGGCCAACAGCGCTTCTAGCTTGCCCTCTATGCCATCGATACGTTGTTCCTGGGAAGTCAGCTTGTAAGGCTATATTGTTGTCTAGTGCCACTCACCAAGCCCCTGACATAGTATTCCGGGGCTTCTTCCGCGGCATACTCGCAGTGGTGTCCTAAGCGGGTGCAATTGGAGCACACGGGGCGCTCCCCGGAGCATCGGGATTTTTTCCGACTTGATAATTAGCACTAATACTGCGATAGAAGAGCCAAAACATACCGACATGTCTCGCATGCCCGCTTGATACGCTTTGTCGGTCTTCCGTCCTCGTCCATCTTGCTGACAGAGGCGAAACTGCAGCCTTGAGTCTTGACGGTCGGGGAGATCCGGACAAGATGGACGTGAAGATAAGATAAGGCGGCAGGGATCCGGATGACCTCATTCCTGACTAAGGACGTCTGGATAAAGGCGACTGGCAATGATACCCATATATTATGCTTTCACGGGTTTAGTTTGGAGGAAATCGTGTGCCGCTGTAGTGAGTCTTTTAATTAGATATATTCCCATGTCCTTCTCCAAGCGTGACATTATCCCTCAAGCCAGGGATCGGAGAGTAGTTCCTCTGCGGTTGCTCGATCCTCTGGGCGCCATTGCAGCAGTCTCGAAATAAAATTCAAAAACATTTGCTTCTCGTCCCCTTCAATGACCGTGAGACTTTGCTCAAGACCCCGTTCCGAAGGCACGAGATTGGGGAACCTAAAGAGCCCTGTTAAATCATCAGTAAGAAAAAAGTTTTAAACGCTGGCATAGTGTGATCAAAATACCATCGGTATCGAAATATCGTGGACTTTGACTTCCTCGCTTGAGCATATCTTCTGGCGGAGGCCCGATCAAGGAAATAATGGACGCGAGGTGCTTTTCCTCGCGGTAGGACGAGCCCGAGGATGTTGAATAATCGAAAGGACCGGTCCCGCAAAGTAGTTCCCAGATCTAGTCATACTGTTAGCATAATTAGATGAAGTAGCCCTTTCCGTCTCACCAATGCGCCCAGGTTCCAGATATCCACACTGTAGTCCCAAGTGGCCCCAATGATCACCTCCGGGGCTCGAAAACCATTTGGCTGAATAGGATGATTATAAGGGCCCTTGTCTCCATAAACCGCAAGCCCAAAATCTGTGATCACTGGTCTGCCTAGGCTATCGACTTGGAAGCCGGAGTTATTGCGCGAAAGGTATATTGTTCGATCATCGGAAGTTTTCTGGGGCAGTGGATGTTCTATCTCGTCCCGGACTACCGTGTCGAGTAGAGAATGGTCGCTAAGGGCCATTAGGACATTGTCGGATTTAAGATCTGACAGTCCTTAGACTTTGCAATAGTTTAATTCTTTGATCATACAACTAACCTGTATGAATGATATGGGATTCGGTGTGAAGATATTGAAGGCCCATTACAACCAATCGAATGATGACCCTAAGGACGTCGGGTGGAAGAGCCTTGCCTTGGAAGCGCTTTTTGAGCATCCAGAGGGGTTCATAAAGGGGGTCAAAGACCATGCAGACATGTGTGCCGTGTGGTCCAGGCAAGTCAAACGAGTCAAGCAAAGTGCGCACAAAATACCGGCCTTCATGGGCTGAATTTGCTCGGGTGATGCGTTGCGTAATTTGTAACTCCTTCTCCGCACATTCTTTTAAAGCGTAGTTGTTTGCATTGATCTTTATCGCGACATAACGTGGAGAAAGCCAGCGCCACCTTAAAAGTCAGAAGAAGGATATAATGTATGATGATTGGACTCACTGGTGAAGGTCCTTAGCCAGCCAGACAGTCGAGCTGGTTCCCCATCCGAGTTTAGCAGCCACTTGATATCTGTTCGCTAGTATTGCATGAAGTTGCATGGGGTAGAAGTATTTGGGACTGTAATGAGGTGCGCGCTCCTCTTCGATACATTGAGAAGCTCGAATCGAACTAGCCGGGATGGACTGGGGTTTGTAAGGGTTTGATCGCAACAACCACAAAGGCGACAGTTTTGATAATCTTGACGCGAAAGTCATTATCTGGCCAAAAGGCCGAGTTTGTGATAAATTATTGGAGATTCCGGAGAAGAAGAGGAGATCAAATACCCTAGTCATTCTGCTGCAACGCGTCAGAATCTGGCGCCGATTGGCACACCCCTTGCTTGCGCTTTGATGCACGGAAATTTGTACTCATCATAGTCACCACAGAGAATGGCAAGTATCTGTCAAAGTATCAGACACATAGGAGTAGCAATAGAGCAGTTTACTTCGTACTTCAACGCATAACAGCGAGGTCTACTTTCCAGGTGCAAAGGTTTTGTCTTATTTATCCCTGTACTGTGTGAATTGCAGATGGATCCAGATAAGATAAGACGAAAGGTAAGATAACAGACTGGCTGACTCAGTCCTGACTAATGCTTTTGCGCTTCCCATCAACAAACTAGGGATGTCCTGCAATCATCACTTTGATCACACTCTCCTCGCCCCGCCTCACCAGCTCAAATGCCTCCTCGGCTTGCTCAAATGTGAATCGATTCGTGATTAATCCTTTCACGTCAATTTTTTTTGCTTGCAATCAGATCTACCGCCGTCGGATAACATCCCGTCGTGTACCGAATTGACCCTCGAATCGTCAGGTCGCGAATACAAGCGGTCGTGATAGGGAACACAACATTCTGACCCCTGGGATCAGCACGATAAAATCGCTTATGGAAGTGTCACTCACCTCTTTCCCCATCCCCGCTTGCACGCAAATCCCTCCCTTTTTGACAAGATGAATCCCCGTCTGAATGCAACTCTGCGCCCCAGTCGCCTCGATCACCACGTCCGGCCCTTCGCCTAGCCCGAACCTCTCCTTCATCATAGAGGCCACCCGTGCGCTCCACTCCGATTCATCGGTCGAATTTCCTGGCCTGTCAGGCGGCAAATACACCTCGTCCGCAGCAAATAAGCTCGCAAACACTAATCGCGACTCCGATATATCCACCCCGATTACCTTTTTGGCCGCGTAGGCCCGACAAACAGCTTGGCAGAGGAGACCGATAGGGCCGCATCCGAAAACCACAACGGTCTGGTTCGGTCGGACATTTCCGACTTTTGTGATTTGGACAGCGACCGCGACAGGCTCGACCATTGCGCCTTCGTCGAGACCCATATGCGCGGGGATGGGATAGCAGTAGTCTGCCTGGGTGATGTAGTATTTGGATAACGTGCCATTGTGAGGCGGAGTGGCTGCGAAGACCGTGTCCGGACAGAGGTTATAGGATCCTTTGCGGCAGTACTCGCAGCTGGATAGATCAGAACCGACTACGTAGATTGATGGTAGGTGTCACATACTGCCTGCATGGCACCCCCGGCTCAATAGCCACGCGATCACCGACCTTGATATTCTTCACGGCAGTCCCGACTTCCACGACCGTCCCGGCGCTTTCATGCCCTAGCACAATCGGGGACTCGAGTATAAAGTCTGATCATATCAGCTACAATGTAAATTTATCAGTAGGTGGATAAAAACCTCCGATCCGCCCTCGTTGCCAGTAGTGCACGTCGCTCCCACATATGCCTGTCTGAGCGATGTGAACGCGGACATCCCACGGGTCTTTCAGAGAGGGAACAGGCCTATCTTCGAAAGCCACGTCTTTGACTGCTCGTAGGACGAAGGATGGGTTTGTCTCCTGATCGATTAGCTGGGCCTCTTGTCACTAGCTGTCTACACACCATATTTGAACTTTGTCTTGGATCTGGAATTCTAGGGATAGGAAGATGTTTCTTTTGCGATTGAATTCGATCAACTACCCCGCCCTACGAACTGAGCCCGGAAGTCTCACCTCCGACGCTTTGTTGCAGAAGTACATGAACGTATCTGTGGCTGGCGAGCGGAGAGAGGTCCCATGATGTCATTTATAGAGGCATATCTCCGCGACGTAAAAATCTCCAACGGAGAAAAGTAGTGGTATTCCAGTATGGCCACTCTATTTTCTCAATCGCTATTGATATCTTCTGACAAGAACATATGGATAACTCGATTAGCCATAATTCATGATATAGACTCAGACGTTTACGCGGAGCACAATCCTCCAGGCGCGGGGCACCTACGTCCGATGCGGGGTTCTGGAGATAGCACCATAATCCTTTACCATGGACTTTAAATGCCATAATATTTCTTTCTTTACACCTTTAGAAAACATCTTTCAAAAAAGGAAAAGACAAAATCTCAAGATGGTTCTTGCCCAACCAGAAAACAAACACGTTCTCAAAGCCTTTGACCTAACGGGCAAAGTCGCTGCCATTACTGGCAAGGATGCACTGGCCAATTTTAGCACAGAAAGTAACTAACGTGTACTAGGAGGTGCCCGTGGAATCGGTCTTGAAGTGTCAAATGGTCTGGCCGAAGCAGGAGCAAATGTATATTCCTTCTTCTCGCCTTCCTCCGAAGAGAACGTGCTGACACAACTAGGTCGCTCTAATCTACAACTCCTCCAGCAACGCATCCTCGATAGCCAACGACATCGCAGTTAAGAACAACATCCGAGCAGCTGCATACCAAGCCGACGTCGGAAGCCAACCGGACATCGAGCGTGTCATCCAACAAATTACCTCCGACTTCGGAAAACTGGACATCATCGTCGTCAACTCCGGTATTGCATCCAGCGTGCCAGCAGAGGAGTACACAGTCGAACAGTGGCATAATGTTATGAAGGTAAATCTCGACGGGGCTTTCTATAGTGCACAGGCAGCCGCTCGGATCTTCAAGGCTCAGGGACACGGCAATGTGATTTTCACAGCGTCGGTTAGTGCTACGTTGGTCAATGTGCCGCAGAAACAGGCTGCTGTAAGTTTTTAACTCCTGTAATCTCTGGATTGGGGTTCGAAGAAGTCAAAAACTGACTGATACTCTCCACGTAGTATAATGCATCCAAAGCTGGTGTCGTTCGACTGGCCAAGTGTCTCTCCGTTGAATGGGTGGATTTCTGCCGAGTCAACTGCATTTCGCCGGGTTATATCGCAACAGAGATACTAGATGAATTCCCACAGGAGTGGAAAGATAAGTGGTATGACTTGATTCCTGCAAAGCGGATGGCGGCCGCGTATGAGTTGAAAGGGGTAAGTCTGCGATCGAGAAAAGAGAGTATAAGAGCTAATATTGGCAGGCATATGTATTCTGTGCCTCGGACGCATCGAGTTATATGACTGGGGCGGATATTATAATTGATGGAGGATATACACTTCCTTGATTTAGGACCATCAGATAAGATCGTGGCGTAGAATGTGTCTGCCCTAATTCAGATGACATAACACCTGTGTTGAAGGTCACTCAACAATGACTTTTGAATGAATTATCCCTTTCATGAAAATTTCTACGAGACTGTCTAGGCACCAACAAATGGAGATGACGCTACACCTGTGTAGTAAACTCAGCCGAAATCGTGGCTGTGCAATTGTGCGACTGTCGGGCCATTATCTGAGCCCAGGGCCATTGCATCAGATATACGGTGAAGCAGCGGTCTAATCAACACTCCAGGCATAACAGCTCGTTCTAAAAGAGCACGGTCTGTGGCGCTACGTGTCAGGCACTTATCCACCGCATTGCGATGAGACGAGCCTATCAGAGAAACGTCCGTTGACCAGCGTCGATCCGAGCTCCAATAACGCGCCCAATGCGGGGCAAGAATTCCCCTAAAGTCAATGCTTCTTCCCACGGTTCTCTCCGATATTTTATCAGGGACAAATCAGTAGATGATATTTAATATTCTGTAGCAAGCGGATCACCCCATCAGCCCCGACGAAGCGACTAGATGGCCTCGCATGCTTATTCAGTCCAACGCTAAGGCATGCAGCACATCTGCATATAAGATAAGATCGTACACCGCGCCTGACCCTGCCTGCCCGTAGCGGAATCTCAAATCCATGTCCTTCTCGTCCCCACAATGCCAAATCGTAACCTCAACCTCCTCAGTCTCGACGGCGGAGGCGTCCGTGGGCTTTCTACCCTCTTGATCCTGCGCCAGCTGATGGAAGCGATCGATCGTGAGCATCCGCCCAAGCCATGCGAGTACTTTCAATTTATTGGTGGAACGGGGTCGGGTGGGTGAGCTATATCCCCTCTCCTCGTTTTGTTGGTTCAGCTCCTAATGAGAGTATCGCAGCGTGATCGCCATCATGCTCGGTCGTCTTGAGATGGACATAGAACAGTGCATTAGAGCCTACACGCGGCTTCTTCGCCGTGTGTTCGCTAGCAAGAGAACCTTTCCGGTAGGCAGCAATCTACGCATGCGACCGAAATACGATATCAAGCGCTTAGGATCGGCAATGCGCGCGATCCTCCGGGAGCTGAATTACGACGACGATATGCTTCTGCGGGATGAGGATGGTACATGTCGAATGTATGTGCCAGTCACCTTACTCTTATCCATTGAAACTATGAGTAGAAAAAAAAGCCCCCAACTAACTGAACTTTCCAGATTCATCCCTGTCACCGACTCCACCAGCCGCAAACTCGTTCCCTTAACAAGCTACCCCAGCCCGTACTGTCCCACGGAGCTCTACAAAACAACCAGAGTATGGGAAGCGGCCCAAGCCAGCTTCGCGAGCGGGTCTCTCTTCGAGCCCGTGCGCATTGGACCCAGCGGTCGCGAATTCCAAGACAGTACGCCAGAGGTAAACAACCCAATGCGCGAGGTGTGGATCGAAGCCCGCGGCCTGTGGCGCTCAGGGTCCCTCGAAAGCCAGCTGCGATGTATGGTATCCATCGGAACGGGGGTTCCCTCGATCAAGCGTCTCGGGCGGAATATGTTCGGGATGTCCCGATCAAAGCACGAGGTGGTTGATGCTGAGACTGAGACTAATCGGTTCCTGAAGGAACATACGGATTTGGATGATGATCATCGCTTGTTTCGGTTTGATGTGCCTAATGGTTTGGCGGATATCAAGCCCGATGGAGTCGATGAGATAGAAACCGTCGTGGAGGCGACCGAGGATTATCTGGCCAAGGAGCTGATGTATAAGCAGGTGAGGAGGTGTGGGAAGGCGCTTGATGGGGTTTAGACCTATTAGGCTTTTCGTTTCTGTAGCGCTCTGTGCTTTTGGGTGGTTCTATTGCGTGACTTTCTAAGATAGTAATTGCCGGAATCATAATCCACGATTTCAAGAATGTTAAGCAGATGAGCTTGTAATGTGCATCGTGATCCTATTGTAAGTATACCTGCTTTTAGGTCTGTCGAAAGGCCTAAAGGCCTAACTCTGTTCATCTTGAATGAATGATTCACACGTCCAAACTGCTCCAATATTCTATCTTATATCCTTGTTTCAATTTATTTAGCTAGATTACATATTTGAGCTAGCCATACGTGGTTGGTCTTAATATAACCCTGTCGGCTTTGTTGAACCAGGCTGACATCAGCGCTTTAACTGGCATCATTATCAATAACTGAGAATTAATATGTTCACTTGTATCTTCCAGGATACTGTGTCAGTTGCTCCTGAGTTATCTTCTCATTCAGATCAAACCCAACAGCTCCTAAAGTACAAATACATCCACTGTCCCAATAGACGAACATAAGACATGATATCGTACATAAACTTCCTGAAAAGCCCACAGCCCAAATTGTTAGACAAGGATTTTATCCCTTCAAAGGATCATGACCCCAGTTCTTCAGCGACTTGTAACTCTTGCTCTCAGTATCCTGCTTCGCCTTCTCTTCCTGCGCCAAATGCCTCTTACAGTACGACACGACCTTGCGCATATGATCAATATCCTGGTCTCGATAAATATCCGGGTCCTTGGAGGGATTATGCTCGAGGATGTTCACAATCTTGCGGCCGCTGCGGCGATCCGTCAGTATGTAGCTGGATAGTTGAACAATAGGGAAAACGAACCTTTCATGTCCGACCGTCTCGCCGGAGCCATCGTTTGTCCATCCTGACTCCTGCGACTGTTCTTCTTTCAACCAGTCGCGAAGTTCATTTGGGGTCATGTTCACGATGTCATTGAATTCACTGTTCGAGTTAGTCGCGTGTGCTTGAGAGTCGGTGGTGATGAGGGTCGTACTCAATGACTGTTTCCTTGGCTTTTACCATTCTGCTGCGAATATGTGTCACTTGTTCTAGTCTTCTGTTTGCTATCCTTGGTCTTGGTTTCCATTCACATTTAGTTATGGGTCGAAGTTCCCTTATATACCGGTAAGGCATGACGTCATGGCGATCTGGCGGCCGAATTACAGCGGAATGACGAGCCCCTTCAGATTAAGTTGAGATTTGAGGAAGATTCGGTTATTCACTCTCTTTATGTTGTAGCGAGCCTGAAGAAGCATCTTTGATCGATGTCGTCATGGTTGGGTGTTATGGAAGGTCTGGACCTTGGTTATAGGAAGAGAACCGGATTCTACGGAAGGCTTATAACCAAAGTGAATATCTTATAATCTAATTGCTATTTCGGACCAAGGGTATATTTACAAAAGTGGAGGGCAGTTATAAGGGTGCGAGCTTCGCGGAAATATCGCTCGTGAAGAAATTGTGCCCCCTTCCCCTAGCTTCTTAATATTGGAATTAAGAATGAATAGGATCATAGACTATCCGCTTTCTGAAATTATTTCTCCTCCCCGAAATAGTGGTTGAAGGAAAGCCTTCTTTATAAAAAGTTAGCCAGTATCAAGGCGGACCCCAAAGCACGTCTTACAGACCCCAACAAGGGAACCAACAACTCAACCAGCACCAAGCCACTCCGATTCATCCCCAACGGGAAGGCTCAATAGCTACCAAGAGCTCCAATGTCTCAAACAGGGGCCGGGGATCCTGCCCTCACTCTCACTACTACCACAACAACAACGCTCGTGTTTTCAACCAAGATAGCTCGCCTTGGCCAGCCAGACATAGACAACATCAGGAAGTCGCCACTTGCGAGTCATGCAAATACTCCGGCGGAGTTCCACCCTGTAGCTGGCGATAACGATGTGCTAATGGAAACCATAACCTTCTATTCTTTGTAGCAGCTCAAATAACATCTCCGATGCCAAGATATCTGGAACACGCCGAGACCCAGACACATGGTGTTGGCTATTGAGCGTGGCTTCTAGGAAGAGCTAAGGGGGACGAATAAGTGCACCGTAGGGCGTAACTATCAACGGCGCTATTATTAATGAGTGTTGATCGACAGGTTGACATCACGTAAACTATACTCAATAAGTTATGTCGTTCATGGAGAGAATAGCCCCTGATGCCTGGTCCAAGAACTATCGGTCCGGGAGCGTTTCGGATATATGTTCAACGGGGAGCAGCGGCTAACTATGAGATCTGCCATTTTAACAGTTGCCAGCTTTCCCTGCCGATTAATCGACCGACTAGCATTTGTGAGCTTGAAAGAATGAAGAAAAAGAAAAAGGGATGAGTTCATCAAAAGTCATTTTCAAGAATTTCTTGTAGCGTTCAAGGCGGACAGGCGAACAGGTATTCCGAGTGTGATATTTCGAGATAGTGACGAGGAGAGGTTTCTCCGGGGAAAGCCCGGGGTTTGGTCTAGAAGGAATTGACGGGGTTATGAATCAATCCCGGGGTTAGACAGCGAGGTGACTGAGTCATCGCCCGAAGAATGACCAAAAAACAAGAGAGAGAGAGGTTAATCTATCAACGACACGGCCCCTCCCGATGCGGTAATGCCAACCCTAAGTCAGACGAATGGCTCATAGGCTCAACGACCCGGTGGAGACGATCGCATTTGAGCAGATTAATTCAGGATGGGCGCATCCTACTTCTCTTAGTGTCTCGGATCCACCTCCGTCGCTTGGCCTGTCTCGCAGTGTGACAGCCCAGACCTGCCTCGGTCCTCCCATTCTTCCTTCGGCCTTTTCGCCGGAGAATCCGAGTCGCTCAGTTCTCGGCAAGGGGGAGGAGTGAAGAATGGAGGGAAAGCGTTCTGGCATGGAATGCAACCAGTTCAAGACTCCAAGCATGTCAGGCTTTTTTCTGCGCAGTCTTGGCGTCACAGATGAGCAGATTTTGGTCTTGGCGAATCCACTCTGGTTGAAGCTGTGGATCGTCCGGGAATAGAATCGCCGTTGCAATGGATTATGGGGCAGAATATTAATATGACGAGCTTCCCCCCCGCCGGCGGCGTCGCTCGCTGATAACCCACACTCACTTTTCGCTTCACGTCGTTCCTTTCGTTCCCCCGGGATCCTGGTTGATTCCCTCACGAGTATTGACTACTCGTTCATCATGGCCATGTTGTCCCCTCGCCATGACATGACCTCGTCGGGCGGCGATATGGAGCCGCACTGGGGTTATTTTGATCGAGAATTACCATGTATGGTCGATGCCGGTAAATGCGCCTACCTGGACGTGGTCTACCACAGTCACGATCTGTCCGTCCTTTACAGCATCATTCTGTGGGCCGTGATCCTTGGAATTCTACTGCTGTGCTTCATCGGCCACTACTGCAACCCAGTCGGCCGCCAATTCAACACGTGTGTGAGCAAGAAAGAGGACGTTGAAACCCCCGGTCACAGTCAAAGCTCGCTATATCGCATGCGGAGAGCTCTCGGATCGTTCTACCATCGTTATCTGGTCGCTGAATTCCTTCCCTCTGTCTTCGGCAACACGACCCGGTTCAACGTCCTGATTCTGGTCGTCTTGACTGGCTATGTGACCGTCTTCAGCTTTGTCGGCAACGTGTATAAGACCTGGTACAGTCCGGTAGAAGGCAGTCCCGACACCATTCGGGTGGGCATGGGCCCCTGGGCCGATCGCATTGGAGTGTTGGCCTACGCTTTGACGCCGCTGTCGATCCTTCTGTGCACTCGCGAATCCATTCTCTCGCTTGTCACAGGTATCCCTTACCATCACTTCAACTTCCTGCACCGCTGGCTCGGCTACATCATCTACATTCAATCCGTGCTACACACTATCAGCTGGACCATCGTTGAAGGAAAGCTTTACCAGCCACAGCCATCCACCTGGAACGAGTTCATCAAGCAGGAATACATCATCTGGGGAATTGTGGCCATGATTCTCTTGACTTTCCTTGTGGTTTTCAGCACGAAATGGGCCATCCAACTGACCGGATACGAGTTCTTTCGCAAATCTCACTACATTATTGCCATGATTTACGTCGGTGCCTGCTGGGGCCACTGGGATAAACTGGCATGCTGGATGATCGCCTCGTTGGTTGTTTGGCTTCTCGATCGTGCCATCCGACTTTTGCGCACACTCATCCTGCACTTCGGCACTTTGTCCACTACGAACGCGTCCTACCGGGGCCTTCTTATCCCCAAAGCCCACATCACCCACTTCCCGCACAACGAAGACGGCGACGTCGTTCGTCTCGACTTTCAGCACGAGCACGCCCCATGGGACATCGGCCAGCACTTTTACCTCTGTTTCCCCGGTCTTAGCATCTGGCAATCGCACCCCATGACCCCCAGCTCCGTACCCGGCACCCGCATTCAATCACACACGTACATCATCCGTGCCAAGGGTGGTCTCACGCGTGAACTTGCCCAAATCGCCCGTCACCCAGACCCCGAGAAAAACGCCAGCACATCCATCGTCCTGAATGGACCCTACGGCCAATCTATCGTCGATAACGACCTCGCCTGCACCGATGACATCAACCTCTTCTTCGTGGCCGGTGGCACGGGTGTCACCTTCGTCCTGCCTCTTTTGCAAGCCATCGTCCTCAACCCGCTCTTCAAGACCCGCCGCAGCCAAATCGAACTCATCTGGATCATCCGTCGCCGCTCCGACATGCACTGGATTTTGAACGAGCTGGACGCCCTCCGCACAGCCACATACACCTGCTCTCACCTTCGCATCCGAATCTACGTATCCCGAGAGACTGAATACGAGTCGGAGGTCAACGCAGACAGTAACCTGCCGTCCTACCCTCTCCAAGAACCACCCAAGGATTTTGAAACTGTCCCGCTCAGCCCCAAGGCCAAGGAAGTCGGCTTCACGATCCAAGAATCATCCACGACAGCGACCAGCATGTCCCCGTCCATCAACTCCGTTGAAAAGTCTCGCCCTGCCAGTATGCCGCCTCACAACACCGACGGCTTCATCGTGCACTCTATCGGCGCTGGCGCCGGTATGTCTAAACATCCGGACCTGGCGTCCGAAGTCAGCGAGTTCGTCTCGCGCACGGCGCGTGGCCCGACCAGGGTCGTGGCCAGTGGACCGGCCGGTATGATCCGGGACTTGAAGCGAGGTGTGGCGGGTTGCAATGACCCTGGGAAGGTGTTGAAGGGGGACGAGAAGTTCGATGTGCAGTTTGTGTTTGATGATCGGTTGGAGTGGTAGATTCCATCTCTCGACCTCTCTTTCTATATATACCTTGTCCTTTTCCATTTGTATATATTTCGGTTGTGTGTGTATAGTTGAGCGTGGCTGAGATACTCGTATCTGTGCTGGACATGGGTGCATATGCATAGCTAGGCGAATAGTTGTTAAGGAGCAGTTGGAGCGTGTTGTGAGATTTACTTTATATACCCCGCATCGCAGATGCATAACTCAATTCTTGAGGTTTTAATATTTTTGGAGTTGTATTATTTAACGTCTCGAAAATATATAATTTTGAACAATCAGCAGGTAGTAGATATTGATGTTTGGACCATCGGTGTGAATGTCTTCTATCAGTGCATGGCATCACAATATGTTGACCCATGCCGCCGGTACTATTTCTCAACGCACTCTGGTAATCTCATTTCGAACTTGAGCATGAATGAGGATGCTCCCTGATAAAAATAGAAAAGAAAAGGACACAAATTATCTTATGTCACGTATATTCCAATCGGCAGGGTGACTGTTGATGGGTCTGGTCCCCAACAACTGCGAACTTTAAGAATAAGCAACTGGCATTAGCGCATTTTGAACTTCTCCACAGTGTCTTTTGTACAATAGAACGTAATCAAAAAGCTGGGCTCTATTAAAGACGATAGTTGCCCCTCTCAGAGCTAGAGTGTTGAATTCTGTTCTTATATTAGCAAAACCACCCTCATCATGACCGGCTTCCGCCACACAAATGCTGTCGATTGCAACACGGACTTTGACACGAAAAGCGTCAAAGGCAAGACTGCCATTATTACTGGTGGTAAGTGGGTTTCCGTATGCCCCCATTAAAGACTATGTTTGTTAAAATTGAGTAGGCGCAAACGGCCTTGGGGAGGCATATGCTCGAGCACTCGTTGCCGCAGGGTAAGACGGTAGCGAATAGCACTCAGTCTTTTATTTATCATCGACTAAATACTCACTCCATATATAGATCAATGGTGGTAATCGCCGACCGTGACGCTCAGAAAGGAAAGAAACTCGAGGACGAGTTGAAAAGGTATGTCTACCGTTTTCTGATGAGAAATGTGAACTAATTCTCTGAAGAGTGAAGTTCATCGCATGCGATACCGCAAACTGGGACGACCAAGTCCAGCTATTCCAAAGCGCAGCCTCTTTTTCCCCGACTGGCAAAATATCCTACGTCGTCGCAAATGCCGGGATTCACCGCAAGGACGAGGTCTTCGCTTATGACGGAGACGGCAAATTGCCTCAGAAGCCTGACCTCGCCACCATTGATGTGAATCTCATCGGGACGCTATATACCGCGAAGCTCGCGTCGCACTACTTCATTAAGCAGAACGGACAAGAGCCGTCTACGACACAGGAAGATACTTGTTTGATTTTGATTGGATCTGGGGCAGCCTTTTTGGATTGTCCCCGAGCTCCTCAGTACTGCGCTACAAAATGGGCTATGAGAGGTATTATGCATTCTTTGCGAAGAACGGCATTCTATTATGGGAGTCGTGTGAATGTCATATCACCGTGGTAAGAACACGAAATTCCTACTCACCTATCAAACATTTTCTCCTGCCAGATACTGATGAGATCAGGTATGTCAAGACGAATATTCTCTCGGAGGAGGCTTTCACGCACGTCACAAGCGTAGGCGTTAAGTTCGCGGAAGCTTCTGAGGCAGGGGAATGTCTGTTGCGAATTCTCAGTGATAGTACGATCAACGGTCGCTCCTTCTTTGTGTCTGGTAAGAAATGGTCATCACGGGGATATCTGGATCTGGATATTGATCATTATGAGGATGGTTCTTTGATTGAGGATATTCAGAAAGATCAGGTCAAGTCGGCTCCTGTTGAAATGGGGCTGTTCGTTTAGGCAGGGTTCTGCACTGGAAGGGGGGACAGAATTTCAATCGTCTCAGACTAACCAGGGGTTAAAATTAGCTGGATTTGCCGGGGTTAAGAAAGAATGAGCGAACCAGGCTGACATGATGGACCCATGGGTTAGAAAGATGAATTACTGGGCGGTTCCTGGCTTTGCAGCACCGCTTCGAGACACTGATTGCGCCATCGCTACTTTTTTTTTTTTTTGGCTGGATGGAAGTGATCGTCAACTCCTAGCTTCGATGCAGGCTGTTCAGGTGGACATCACTTTGAGACCCTTGATACTACTTTGCGCTGGTGGGTTAATTGGCCCGATGGTTACGAAATTCGCCGAAAAACCATATCAAGCATACGAGATCTGCTCACAAGGAAACCAATCTGTTTCTCGCATTTATGAACCGGACAATACATTTTTCCAGACAAGGGGTTTCTCCCCTCTCGAGCTTCTCCACTGATTTGTAGAAGCAAGCAGCTCCGGTGAGCCACCAAGTAACCATTTCCATTTATGTGCAAAAGCCTCCGTAACTTCCCAATTTCTTGCATCCCACGAGTCTCCCCAAACAAGCAATGTAGCTGCGGTATTCCGCGTGTCCCAGAACGCCATGAGATCATGGCACAGGTCATCATCATCAAATGAATCCCCCGCAAGAATCATCGCGTCGCGCATGCTCGGGAACGGGAAAAAGTCCAACCACGGATGATGCGGAATGCTTAACTGAATGAATGTCGGACGTAAGCAGGGCGGAATGTTCTCGACTGAAATGCCGAACCCGGGTTGCGTTAAATTAAATATTGATATTGACTCGTCACTTTGCATCCATACGGGCGTCATTCCAATGGCGGTGATGTTCTCGTTGATGGCTCGGTGCACGTTTAGTCGACTTAGACTGATCAGGTGGTCTCGTTTCGGTGCACCTTGCATATAGCTTTGGTACGCTTTTGCCGCGAACCATTCGCGGAATTCTCGGGCGTGTGGAGGAGCAAGTTTACATTCCCACATTTCGCCACTTTGGTCAAGTGGGTGTAGTATGCTGGGACTGGATAGATTGGAGGGGACAGTGGTTGCGATGTCAGTAGCATGCGATTCCGCTTGACTATCTTGTTTTCTCAATCCTAGGACGTAATGAGCTATGGGGACTATTGTGTATTTTGGCCTGAATGCATAGTCAATACGTACGGAATCGCCGCTGATTGAGTCGATTCTGCAACTTCCTTCGTTCTTTTCGGTTTATTACCCCAGTCCAATCGTCTTGAGCTTCACGAACTCCAACTTGTTGGGGCATTCGGCCCAGCGGAATAACCTGCGTTTCTGATGAGGGATCTGCCATTGCGTGTCTTGTACGGAGGAATGTATGCAAGTTGATGACAAGCTAAAAGGGCAGTCGGATTAGATGGAGCAGGTAGTTAATAAAGCACAGGTGGGGTTAAAGATGTAGCGGCACCACTAGAAAAATCTCGTCTGCCTGTTGGGCAATGCGTGGCGGTGGATCCTCCGAACGTAGCCCGGATTGGCTTGATTAGATGAATGGACCCATGTAAGCAAATGTCCTATGATTGATTGGCCTGTTACTTCAAGGTTCCTATCAGCAGTTTCAAGATTGCGTGGATTTAGGTCTAGCAGTTCAGTGAAAGAGTAGGATCGTCTATCACATTTCTCCCGGCTATCTAATATTATTACACTTGTGTTGATGTCACGACACATGGTCGAGCAAAGCTCCACAAGAGAAGGTAAGAGGGAAAAATATTGGTCGAAACTTGACGGGGGAAATTCTATTGTTGGATTTAGGTACCTACGTACATACATACATGGCTAGAATGTTTGCCATGGAGTTAGGCGGCACGCCTGCAGAAGTTGTGACGAAGATGGAGCTCAGGGGCCGTAAACTTGGAAACTCTCAACTCTATCTGACAGACTTAACTACGGACAATCTACGATATCCAACTCATTTAAGGTTACGGAGTAGAAGAGTAGTAACTATTATCTAGTTATAGGTATGAACATAAGTTTGGCGCTCCTTACCTCGTCCTTTCTCCATATAAGTCTCCTTTAGAACCTCTGATCTCTCCGATAAGTAATACGTGTTGCCAGTAAATAGGAAGAATAATCTCGGGCGTGAAATAAAAGGCATCCTTACAATGACATTTGGTAAGAATGGCATTTCTATCGTAAGATCTCGCTGAGAGCACTGCCCTGCTTGGCAAGGTTACTCCCTTCCCACGAGTGCGTGGGTGATTTTAGAGAGGACATTGGAAGTGGTCATGATGTCATCCGAATGTCTTGGACCCCTGATAATCTAGACCGGTAGAATCAGTTATTGTCTGGTTGTGTGATACTGTGTCAAAGCCGAGGTGTCATCCTCCGACTAGGCAGAAGCAATTTGACAAAATATGTAGCTTATATTGTAGAAGGGAGTGTCAGTGTGAAAGACCACTGGTATGAGACGGCAGCTTGAGCCAAGAATTGATCATCCTGAATGGAGCACACTGATTGGGTTCCAGGATCATAGAGAGTAAGCAGTAGGCATTAGGCACGGACCTATCTCGGGCATAGGAACTCCGAGACTATATGGAGATCTTTGATGACACACTAGTCTGTACCCTGTACCTTGGACAAAGGAAGCACAGCCTTTGCTTCCATCATGGTTGAATCAAACCAATCCACGGATTGGCCAGATACCATACCAAGATTAGATCTTGGCAAGACGACATTGCATGGCCCTATTATCCACCTCATCATTTATAAACCCAAGTGCCTGCCATTTGATGGAGAGACATCAACTCTCTATCGTTTCCTGTTTGTGTCTTACCATCCACCAACGACATCACCATGAAGATTGTGGCAGGAAGCATCACCGCGCTTGGCATGGTGGTTTCAGCCATGGCGCAGAACATGTCCTTTGGCGCCGATAATTTCTACCGCAGCAACAATGTCACGGTCCAGCAGGTCAACTTCCCGACTCAGTACCAGACGACTGTCGTGGGTAATCTCTTCTATCCCAGAAACCGCAACCAAAGCACCGGCTGGCCAGCCGTCGTCGTTGGTCACCCCATGGGCGCTGTGAAGGAGCAGAGTGCGAACCTCTACGCCACCAAGCTGGCCGAGCAGGGGTTCGTCACGGTCTCTATTGACCTTCCCTTCTGGGGCGCCAGCGAGGGTGAGCCGCGCAACTCAGTCTTACCGGATCTCTACGCCGAAGCATTCAGCGCGGCAGTCGATTACCTGGGTAGCCAGGACGTCCTATCTGTGGATCGTGAGCGGATAGGAGGCCTCGGTATCTGTGGCAGCGGCTCCTTCTTGATCAGCGCTGCGAAGCTAGACCCGCGTCTCAAAGCCATCGCCACAACGAGTATGTACAACATGGGCGCTCTCGCCCGTCAAGGATTGCAACGTTCTCAAACCGTCAATCAGCTCAAGCGAACCATCGCTGAGGCTGCCCAGCAGCGTTGGACCGAAGTCGACGGCGGCGAAGTGCAGTACACCAGCGGCACCCTGAACCACCTCACGCGCAATGCCACTCCGGTTGAGCGTGAATTCTACGATTACTATCGCACTCGACGCGGCGAGTTCACCCCCGTCGGCTCTACTCCAGAGCTCACCACCCACCCTACACTTTCCACGTTCACCAAGTTCGTCAATTTCTACCCATTCAATGAGATTGAGACAATCTCGCCGCGACCGATGCTGTTCATTGCGGGCGACCAGGCGCACTCTCGCGAGTTCAGCGAAGACGCGTATTCGCGAGCCGACGAACCGAAGGAACTTTTCTGGGTGCCTGGTGCCGGCCACGTCGACCTGTACGATCGCACCGAGCTTATCCCATTCCAGAAGCTCACCGAATTTTTTCAGAGGGGTCTTGCTTAATGGGAACAATCGAGTGGTAGCACGACATAGAGAGTTTGGGTGCAGTTAAGGGGCTATGGGCTTCCTCTCTACGGCCGATGGTAGAGCTGATGTGTTGCCATAATTTGTCTCTCAGGCTCTGACTGACATTGGGGAAGCAAGGCTGCATGTAAATTAGCATATGCGAGCACTTGAATTTTGACTAGTTTTCAAAACCGGATTTTCAATTGCCAGACCTTTATGTTAAGAATGTTTCTCCATGTTACTTTTGTATTGCCATCTCAATGGTTTCAAAGGTTAGGCTGGATAAGTAGGTCTTTAGATGTACTCAATACCCAACATTTAACATTGAGTTGTCTAGAAAAGACAGTCTTGATTAAGAAATGCAATAGTTCGATGAGAAGGTATGTTTATAATGCCAGGACATTGAGACGTTGCTCCGGAATTGACCTCTACAGTTAGGGGCTGAGCGTGGAGAAAAAGCAACGACCATCAGGACGACTTCGGAAGAGGAAGATATCTACGGAGTACTTAAAGTGCCGCTAGGTTTTGTTACGTTAGTTCAGAATAACGCCGAACATACCCTATTATCAGACAATGGAACATATCATAAAGTTTAATTCCACATGAAGTGCGTCTTTCATTTCCCGGATGCAACCTCAAGAGTGCAGTGCGTGGGGTTCGGCCCTACAGCCAGCCTCGTAATCCCTTGCATATATTTAACTGCTTGTGGCGGAGGATCATCATTTGGCGTACTAGGACTCATGCGTCTGGCTAAACCTTCTCCTGCCTATTTTGTGCCTCTGGTCGGCGCCACCCGACAGGTGATATGTCAGTGTGCTGGTTATTTTAGTTATACTGGATCTGGTTATTATGCAGCATATTTCAACCTGTGCTACATGATTTGGACCCCAAGATTATTACTCTTGGGTTTTGAGTTTCTCCTGTGCGTTCTCAAATAGCTAGGGGTATTTGACTTGGGTAATCAGTATAAAATTTGAATGTGTATTAAGGAAGCTTCAACAATCGTACGGAAATTGGCAATCTAAGTAGTCGAGGAACAGGCAGCTCAATACAGATATCATGTTCCTCTGTGCCTCCGAGATCAAACAAATACTGGAATAAACATGACTTCTCTCAACCGGTCGAAAACCACACAATGGCCCTCGCCCACGACCAATTCCGTGAAACCGACCCCCGGATCTTATCAAGATTCGTATCCTGGCTCACCCCCCGGTTCCTATCTAGTAGCGTGAAACCAGCTTTCACGAAGATCCAGCACTCGGGTGGGATTCTGCGCACGTGTAGCGCATACTCGTGACACATAGCAAGATAATCGGTTTGGTGTTCTTCCCACCAGAACCCAAGTTCGCCACAAGCGTCTTCCTGGGCCGCGGTTCCTCTGAGGCCGAAGTATTCGGCCAGAATCGGTCACTTGCGCGACCAGGACCCGGGATCAGATCTGTCTGCGACGTTGAAGGCTTGTTCGTTTGCAGAGTCTGGGGTCATGATTGGGAGGTATATTTCAGCTTTGCCAAGCACATTTTGAGAGTATTCATGGATGTGTAATTGTAGTTTTTGAAGGTTCCGGGAAAGGGAACTTTGGCATCTGCGCCGTGGACGTAGCGGTAAAGAGAAAGGTAGAGGGCAATTGGTTCCACGTAGGTCATTCTGACACGTTTGGGACGAAACCTTCAAAACCGAGAGTTAGTTCCGGATTCGAGATGCGTTGGCATATCGTTCGTATTTTGGAAATAGAAAGGTAGTACCGACCTAGGATCTGATCCGGTCGAACCTCGGTAAAACCCCATGATCTGTTCTTCGACACAGCACGTACGATATCCACCTGATCGTGGTAGAATATCTCGTCTTCGTATGGGAAGGGGATGCGAGGGACATCTTCTTTCAGTGGTGGGTTGATAGAGATCTTATTAATGTGTTGAAACACGGCGACACTATAGTGCTGGATAGTAATTCATGTTCAGTTGTTGAGTCACCCGCATGGCCAAGGCAGAAGATAACGGCCAAAAGGACATACATTCGTTCCTGTCTGCAGACAAAAAACTTCAAGCCCGAACAAAGCCTATCCACCACATGCACGGCATTATATGTCATACGAACATTGATCGCCCTGATACCCATCACATCTTCCGTATATGCAGTTGCATTGGAATATGCTGCTCATTTTCCGAGTTAATGTAATGTCAACATCCAACATCCCAGAACCCAGGCCGTCAATATACTAGCAAACAAGCCCAAAACTGAGCGAGAAATGTCCTGACATACCGCAGAAACATGTGTTATATCATCGAGATTGGCAACTTGGGTCCTCACAACAATCTGAATTTAATTCACCCGCAGATCTAGGCCTGCGTACAAATTGATTCGCGGGACCCAAGGCAAACCGCTTAATTTAATGGTTCGAGGCCGATGGGTCAAGGCAATGACGCGCGCAAAAGGTCGTGGAGTTTGGAAAGGAGAGAAGGTTCTTGGCGACAGCCCAGCCGGAGATACCGCTTGCACCGAACACAAGCGCGACATTATTTTTCCTGTAATTTGTGGCGGGGATAGACTTGTTGAGGAGGTAGATGTGATGTATCGAGTTGCCGGCGGGAAGAGATGGACAAGGATTAAAGAGTCAGGAGAATCCTTCCTACGCATCAACTGGGGGACGCGTTGTATTTCTCTTGCTTCTGGAACTTAGGACAAAATGCTCCATTCTTTGTACTTTATTTTCTATTTTCTTGTGCATCGCTTGGGGTTATAAATTACGGCGAATGCCGAAGTTAATGTCTGTGTGCTAGACTCGATCTGGCATTAACCGGTCGCTGTCAGTGCATGGGAAGAGGTCACGGCCAATATTCCTGGCTTTGAGTTTGAAGATCATAGATCAGCATTGACAAATACGAGAATGGACAAGTTTTATGAACATAACGGGAGAAGACAGAGTCCAGGCACTTCTCGGGTTACCATTTGAAGAAATCACTAGGGCTAAGACAGGCCCCTAAGCCCCACTCCTCGTCGCCGACTAGGCCGTTTATCTTCCGGGTTGTGAGATGTCAACTGCAGCCAGCCCGAGCCAGCCCGTTGGCGTAAAGCGTGGCAATGGAGCTTTTATTTTTATTTTTTTTGGCTATCGAAAGTTGAAGTGATCGGCTCATCAGGGACTTGAGTGTGAAACCGTGGGACAGAGTCCGATTGGCGGTTAGTCAATCTGACAGATCGTTTTCGCTGGGTCGAAGGGTCCAGATACGGATAGATTGGCGGCAGACTAGAGGTACATCCTTGTTTATGGCGTCGGTATAGACGATTGGCATTAGACAGCGGTGTTTGAACCAAGAACGATGCATAATAGTCAGGGTTCGATCCTGGCTTGAGGGGAAAATTTTTAGGAACGGGGGGTTACGGGGTTGGGAATATAAGAGACTCAATGGACTCGGGTAGGAGATCGCTGGCATCTTTGCACGGGGAATCCCTTCGCTTGAAGACACTTGCAGTGATCTGTCGCTCGTTTTGCTTGCCCCATTTGCGCAAAAAATGGATCTTCCTTCAACTCTGCTGCCGCGTGGTATTGAGCATAGCAGTCGCCAGGCGTCGGTATTCGGGATCGGGGTTAGTTTCGCGGTGTTCATCATGGTCGTGATCGCTTTGCGATTGTATGTGCGGATCTCCCTGATCAACGCGATCGGGGTCGATGATGGTAAGTTATTTTGTTGCTTTTGACATCGGAGAATATCTACTGACTGGTTTTCCAGTTCTCATGGTTATTGGTGCTGTAAGTAGCATACAACCAGCTGCCGCGCGAATTAGCCCTAACTGTCTAGATATTTACATTTGGTCTGTCTGTCGCATCCATGATAGGTACCGCTCTCTCATTCTGTAGGATTACCCTGATTGTCTACAAAGACTAACACTCTACAGCTGCATACCACGGCACCGGGCGACACGGTAAATTCCTCATCAATTCACACTGGATTATCTGAAACTAACCAGCGAAACAGTCGAGGACATCCCAATACCCTCCCTCCCACCTATGCTCAAAGCCATCTACTCTACTCGCCTAATTTATATCATCGCCATGCTGTTTGTCAAAATGTCACTACTCTGGTTCTATCTACGCCTCGACCGCCGCCGACGCATGAGATGGACCGTATATTGCCTCATGGTTTTCGTGATCGGTATTTCTGTATCCAGTTTCTTCGTGCTCGCTTTTTCATGTTATCCACCCGCCATGTTCTGGGATGTCGAGGGAACTGTGAAAGGGAAGTGTATGTCGCCAGGATCGCAGCAGGCCTTTTACGACGCCAACGGTATTTTGAACATCGTGACGGATATCTTTATCTACTTGACGCCAATTCCGATGTTGTGGGGAGTGAAGATCTCCGGGGTACGTCGTCTTCCATACTTCGTTCCAGTGTTGGTCCATGAATGGGGTTCAATTACGATAGATGCTAACGGAACTGCTTAAATTCAGAGGAAGAAGACGGCTTTGTTCGGCATCTTCGGGTTAGGGATCCTAGCTGTCGCTGGTTCGTTCGAACATTCCCATGGCTATGCTCCAACTTGATCCTTCGCTAATCACGATATTTTTTAAAGCTGGTTGCGTCCGGTATGACTATGTGCGCCTCCTCTCCAACACCGCGGACCAATATTATTACCTCGCGGACTCTTTAAATTGGTGCAGTATTGAGATCTACGTGGGTAAGGAATGATCCATCCCCTCCCCACTTGCTTGGACATTCTTATACTAAAATATCACAAAGCCATCTTCTGTGGTTCCGCGCCCGCTCTATCTGTGCTCATCAAGACCTACGCACCCCGTGTCTTTGGCAGCTCGTATGGCCGCCACGACTACCAGAGCGACCGTCACACGCCGGGAAACTCGTCGGGCCAAACACCCGCGCAGAAACTCTCCGGTCGGAGCAAGGACGTCTGGCACAAAGCGAAGATCAGTGGACGGCGGGGACTCCAGGACACTACACTGACTGGAAGTGAAGAGGCAATTGTTCCTGGGGACGGAATCGTCTTGAAGACGGAGTTGAGGATGGATGTGATGCAGCGCGAAAGGGAGAACATTGAAGCTGCGGTAGCGGATGAAGCTACGTATAAAGGGAAGGGGGTTAGACAGAGCGTGTGATTTTATTTCTGGGTCCATGGTTTATCTTTTCAGGTGAGGGTCGGTTTTGACGAGCGAGTCTATTTACTGAATTAAGCCTTCCCTGCACTATGGGTGGAAAGTGATTGTGTTGTAGGATAAATGACACAACAAGAGGAAGGCGTATAACTGCCTAATTTACTGTGATAAAACCTTCCCAAGCAATGAGACATGCTTGGCCTGACTCACACTTTATGCTAGTCTCAACAAAGAATGGTATGGCGTGTGCAATGCCGTAAATAGGTCACCGCGGCTCCGAATCCGTCCGACGGAACACCGGAACTCGGGATATCCCGGCCACAAGCGCCATGTCGAGGGAAACTTCATCTCAGTCCGGAGATAGAGGGTCAGGTGGACAATGATGAGCAATGCAGTATATCCACAATCTCAAGGGTATATGTAGAAAGAGCTTTCCCTGTCTTTCGCAGTATCCTTAGTCCATACACATGCTCTTACTATAGCTATAGTGCAGCCACCTGAAAGTTCTGACTTCTTTTCGTTGTCTTCCTGAATCTTGATCTAAACATTCGCTAAAAACAGAATGAACTTCAATGAAATCCGACCCCGTCTCGCGGTTGTTCTTTCTCTAACAGCACTCGGCGGAGTGGTCGCATATCTCGGACATCGTCGCCTCGCCCGGTCGTGCCGCCGGATCGCTGTCACGGAGCTCCCAAAAGCGAGCGCATGTCGCAAACTTGTCGAAAAAACAGGAGAACAGATATCTCAAACTCCATGGGGAGCTGACGCGTCAACCCTGCTATCCCCGTGGTCGGGCGGAGCCAAAACACACTGGATCTCATCTTTCACTGCCCTTCAAGTCGAGGTACCGGTGTCCCTTCTTCTAGGGTATGGCGAGTCCCGTGATCCAAATGACACCGAAAAGAGTGACGACACATATGAGCTAATGAGGAACTTTCTTGCTGCATTTCTGGATGGACGAGCCACTGGGCCCGAGTCATTTGTTTTGGACAAAGACGTCCCGTCCCTGTCTCTTAGACCTGGCAGTCTGTTATTCGGAAGACAATCCGGTCTTGGGGCATTTTTGCTTTGAACATGGGACTCCAAAAGGTCGAAGTCTATCGAATTATTGAATTTGCCTTCCACTGTCCCTCAACCTTGCACTGAATTCTCTTCGAATAGAGAAGGCATTCAAGATAATTCCGTGGACACTGCCGGAGCCGTGTTTTACTGGAAGTTTCCGGATGGTCTTGTCCGTGCAGTTGATAGTGCAGCATCGTATGGCATGCCTTGGCGACTAATGGAGGGTGGGTTTCAAGAGTTCATTGTTGAATGGTTTTCCAATGATACAGCAATGTTGACATATGTGACGGTCGAATGTACAGACCTTTATCCCGCGGCTCAGTCTTCGAGGGACTTCAAGGTATTGCCAAAACTGCTTTATGAGGCCCATGTGCTTTATGCCCAGAGTCTTTTGTATAAGACTGTGAAGCAATTAAGGAAGCTTCAGTGGAACAATTGAAACTTCATGGCTGGTTTGTATCTAAATTTTGTACGATTATGTGCTCGTCGGTGTTTCCGCTTTAATTACCTTCTGCAATCTCCTGAGGTCTAAAAAGGTGTGACAATTTAGTGGTTCGGCCATTGTAAGGATAACTTTGTATTTTTGACTCCTTCAAGTAAATAACTAGCCCCTCATTTGCTCAAGCTGTCGTATTTTATCAGTCTCAGTGACGAGACACAAACTCAACCACCAGCCCAACTCCACCCCCAATATTCCTTCCTGATCATACATCACCAGATGTCCAGCTTCCTCAATCAACACGATATCCTCAGCATTCAACGTGTCTTTCAATCTCTGTGCCGTCTCGACAGGAATCCATTTATCCTCCTTTCCCCAGATAATTCTTACCGGCATCTTTCTCCCGATCTCAGGATACCTCCCTTCCACTTCCTCCGTACTACGACTATTCGCCTGCACCATTTGTCTCACAAACCCCTTCCTTCCCTGTTCATTCTTAATCCACGGTCTCTTCAACATTTCCATAACCTCCTTACTCAGCTCCCGATGCGCCGCGTCACGAATATACGACTCCACAACGCCTTCAAACACTGGTCCCGTCAACGCTTCAAACACGCTCTGGTTCTCCGCAATTAACTTGAACAACGGCTGCCCGAACGGTCCCAACGCAACAACATCAATAAGGCACAAGCTTGTATATTCACAACCATGGAGTAAATTTGCTCTTAAAGCCATCAAGCCCCCGTGGTCGTGCGCAACTACATGCGCTTTTTGTTGGCGTGGGGGCCAGCTGGCTTGCCAGGATTTATACAGCGCGGCAAACACTTCTGACTGCTGGGATAGATCCGCGTCTAGTGCTATCTTATCGCCGATGAGATTTGTTTTATCGGGGAGGGGTTGACCAAGGGGACTCTCGCCGAAGCCTGGATTGTCGAAGAGATAAACGTGGAAGTACTTGGCGAAGGATAGGGCGTAGGTGTTCCAAACTCGTGACGACCATGGGGTCCCGTGAATGAAGATTAGTGGAGGGGATTTGGCATCGCCGAGAGACTTCCAGCGGATTTGGTAAGAGTGGGTAGATGTGGAGAAGGAGAAGGTCTCGGTGAGGGTGATGGCGCTTGAGAGCGAAGAAGAATCCATTTTGTTTCAGTATTGCTTTGGGTTGGGAAAGGGGCGGATGTACGTTCAGGAGGCTCTCTTAAGTTGTCAACGAGTCGCTTTCCAAACCGGATTGACCTTGATGTTAGTTAGTAGCGTGGTTAAACCTGCTGTCACACTTATAAAATGACCTCATCGGGATCGGCTTCCCCGCACTTTAGTTGCATTGCATCGGCTTACGGTCCCCGTCTAGGAATGAATTATGAGTAGGTTATGCTGGCTTTCTAAACCAGGTTAATTAGTTCACAGGTCGACGATTAGCAAGGCGTTTCTCCCAACAAATTAACGTCGGATAGGCTGACACTTTGAATATATAATGTTGTCAACTCGGTACTAGAAGCCGCGTACTACTTGATGACACACTACGGACTATATTAAATCAAGAAAATAAAAGCTTCGTAGGAAAGAAATATTTTTTGATCGTTCTTGTGATTTAGAGGCTAACTGATAAGTGGTATCATTCAAAGATTAAACATTCAGAGAAAGAAACGTCTGCTTCGAGATATAAACTAGCTAGTACTCAAGGTTGGATCCACTCTTCAATAATGAGAGGCTCATACAAGGTCTGCCATTTGTACTCCTCAACGTAGTTATGAAAGGGTACCGTAATATGTACGGAGCTTCTAAGATGGTCTGAGATTCTGTGGTGCACTTTCCTTGCGGTATGCGTGTCTTCATGATCCGAAAGATCATTAAGCTCATACTTGAGTTTCATGCGGACGTTGTCTCGGATAGGCAAGCATCCTGCATTTTTGAAATTGGACATCGCCAAGCGTCGAGCGATCCCGTCTCCAATAGCGAGGCAGACATCTCCATAACGTAATCAACGGGCGAGCGACGAATACGGGCGAGCGACAAGTTTCCTCACCGTCTCTAAATCAATAATTTTCAACGCGTCTTTTTTGTCAATATACCGCAAAAAAATGCCTTTATTTTAGAAGAATCGTATTTAAATGACTATTTTAGTCTATGAAAAGAAACAAATTAAATCAATATTAAAGTCTGTAAAGACTTTTGATGTGTCAAAGACTACTCTTCGTGCGTGTCTTGAAAAAAAAAAAATCGCACGCAAAAACACACGTCAACAACCACAAATTTACAAAGATCGAAAAAGAATTGCTTCGAAAGCGATTTTTAAATGCAAATAAGCGAGAATTTCCGATTCGATCTAAATTTCTACGTAAAATGAGTGAGATATTATTTTGTGCAGATTTTCAAAATTTTAAAACAAAAATCGGAATTAATTGACTTTATATTTTTGTTAAATGCTATCTAGAGTTTCATACACAATATACAAAACAAATGATTTATCAACGTGCAAAACAAAAAGATTCAACAATTATAAAGCTTTGATTTGAGACTGTACAAATCATTATTCAAAAACACAATATACATGAAAACAATATTTAGAATTTCAACGAGACTGACTTTGCAATAAAATTCTGTTTTATTTCAAAAGTAATTATTACAATTGAACAAAACGAGCGATCGCGCAAAATCACTCAAAACAATTATAAATGTGTCAAGGTGCGGGCTGGCGGGGGTGGTAGAGCTGATGGCAGGCAGGTAGGCTAATAGCTCACAGTATCTCTGAATTGCTACAGGGTCAAGCTATATACAGGTTGATAAACAAGACATAGCTCGAAGAGCTACAACAGGATCTTCAAGCAAGCGAGAAGATATGCAAATCCTGAAACGAATAATATGATCTTCCGGGCCATAGTTAAAAGATGTTTCAGACATCAAAATCTGCATCATGACAGTATGTTTCTTTTTTATGGCCGAGTTCCGTGAGACTGAAAAAAATTAGATTTATTAGAATATCGATGGTGATAGTTTTGAATAATTTGTTTTGCGTATTTAAAATATTCAACAAATTCAGCGATAGGGTCCATGTATTTAATCTATTTGATAATATAGATCAGGCGGTGGCTACGGCCGCGATGGTTTTAAAACGAATCAAAGATATTTTTGATTTTTCATTTTTTCAGTTTATTGATTTCCATGTGCGGTGGCGAGAAATGATGTTGATTAAATAGAAATTTTGGGCAGACAAAAATAAATAGATTAACATTAAATATAAGATGTATTTTTATGTTAGGCGGGAACTTCAAACAATAAACGTGCGAGTTAATAATTTCTTCAATACAATATGGATCCAAGATATTCCAATCCAGCTTTTTGTTAGATTGTAAAGTTTTAATATGGCGAGTATCTAGTTATACTAACTGGTCTTTTTTGAATCTTTGGACGAAATGGTGTCGTTTATTAATTTGTTTAATGTAACAGATTTGAGTTGATAACATTTTTGTATAAGCAAATTTTATAATAATTTGTATTCAGATAATAAATTGTTCTGTATTTCGAATAATGAGTTAATTGCGATTACGATGATTCTCGATAAGTATTGATTCAAATCTTATACGGAAATAGAATTTATAATTTATAAAAAATGGAATTGTCTTGATAGATTTAGAATGCGTAATATTTAGAGTAAATTTAGTCAAGGGAAGTCAGATATTTCAATTATTTTGCAAATAATTCACGTAAATTTGCAAATATTGTTTTAACATGACATTTACATATTCAGTTTGACTGTTGGTCTCAGAATGATAAGTAGTTGATAATTTGTTGGTGATATCTAAGCGTTTAATCAAATGTTTCCAGAATTGAGCAATAAATTGAAAATCTTTATTGAACAAGATCGATTGAGATAATTTATGTAATTTTTATATATGTTGCATGTATATCGCGATTACAATTGGAGCATTGACAGTTAAATTGCATGAAATCAAATATTTTATTTTAGTTAGACAGTTCACAATAATTAAGATTATGTTGTAGCTCTCGCTTTCAAATAGATGCATGATAAAATTTATAGAAATATCTTTTTAGACGCATTCAAGTACAGATAGAGGTTTCAGGATATCTTGTTTCGTTTTATAAGACGAGATTATGTGGTGATAGATATGGCAGTTTATTGTTTATTGGGTTATATATTTATATATATTGAATTAATAATAATTTTAGAACAAAAGTTTATATGTTTGAGTTTTTTTTGGATGTTCGGATGCAGATTTGTTATAAATTAGACAGATTAAATCTGTTTTTAGTTGATTATTGTCAGAGATTTATAAACGATTTTCATAAAATAAAAAATTGTTTTTTCGCTCGCAGGCGGTCAGAGTGATTTTTAAATAATGATTTTTATTTATAGTCAAGATTTTTAAAATATTTTAGATTTTTTTGTCTTTTTCATAGATTTCATGTAGGCGGAATTGTATCTTAGGAGGTAGTTGTAGGTTTTGTTTATTTTCAAAAGTAACAATTTTTCGAGTTCGGATTCTAATAATAAGGGCTGATCAATTAGAAATCTTATTTGTGTGTGAGATTTCGAGATTCTCAGATGAATCAATTGGTTCAGGCAGGCTTGTTGATTTAAGCGGGTTAGTTGATTTAGGTTGGTTGATTGATTTAAGCGAGCTGGTTGATTCAGACAGACTAATTGATTTAAATGAATTGATTGATTTAATCAGATTAAATAGATTAAGATTTTCACGTTTTAGAACAATTTGGTTTTAATGTAACAGACGTTCATTTTTTTTCTTGAAAAGATCTTTTAATTTTTTGATTAAATTATTAGATTTTATTTTATATTTTTCAGGTCGATAAATAATTTTAAAATTAAAATAAGATAAAAATTTGAATCAATAAATTTGATAACAATTCAGAAATTTTGTCGACATAAAATATTTCAGATTGCGATAATCAAAAATAATTTGAATAAATGAAGAAGTTTTTTCGAGTTTGAAGTGTTATTTTTCGAAATATTAAATAATAGTGAGTAATTTTTTGTTATAAATCTTATAATTGCATTTAATCGGAAAATGTTTTTTTGAAAAGAACGCAATAAAATGTAATATTTTATCATTTTTGTATTGAAATAAGATTTCAACAAATATATAATTAGAGATATCAATTTCTAAGATAATGTCATGAATTTAATTAAATAATTGTAAGATCAAGACATCAATAAAAGTTCTTTTTAGATTATTTAAAATTTTTTGACAAATAGATGTTTATTCTCACGGGACATTTTTTCGAGTCAAGGCAACAAGCGGAACAATAAATTTTGAAAAATCTTTAATAAATTGGCAATAAAAATTGTCAAATCTCAGAAACGTTTGTACATCTGTTACACAAGTAAGAATGAATTAATTAATAATTGTGTCAATTTTTGTAGAATCTATTTGAATGTTTTTTCGGTTGATAATTAAATCCAAGAATTTAATTTCGGAAATTGCGAATTTGCATTTAAAAAGCTTTGCATACAAGCTAGCGTTTTGTAATTTTTGAAAAATTAAACGGACATGCTTCATATGTTTGAAGTGAATGCGGTTATAGATCAGAATATTGTTCAAGTAAATAGTATAAAAAACATTAAAGTAATTTCGCAAGATATTATTTATATATTGTTGAAATGTTTCAGAAGCTTTTGTCAGTTCAAAGGGTATTATTAAAAATTTATATAGATTTAAATAGGTTTGAAAGACAGTCAATCATTTCTGTTTATTTTTAACACGGAGATTGTTAAATGTGTTAATAATATTGATTTTGATAAAATAACGCATGTCTTTGAGATTGTTCAAGGTTTTTTTTACAAGAGATAACGAATATCGATTTTTGATAATAATTGCATTTAGGGTTCGATAATTGACACAAAAGTGTAAATTTTTGTTTGATTTTTTTATGAATAGAATTGAAGATGCAGCAGGCGAAGAATTTAGACGAATAAATCTTTTTTTTAAATTTTTTAATAATTATTTTCAAAATGCTAAGAGTTTCTTTCGAGATATATTGTAAAATGGTCTAAATGAGAGTCTTTTTTTTTGATTCAAGAATAATTGTATGGTTGTAATCTCGGTGTGAAAAATTTTTTTTTGTTTTTTTTGAAAAAAAAATATCTGCAAAGTTTTTAAATT